TCTATTCTAGTCTAGTCTAGTCTAGTCTAGTCTAGTCTAGTCTAGTCTAGTCTGCTCTGCTCTGCTCTGCTCTGCTCTGCTCTGCTCTGCTCTGCTCTGCTCTGCTCTGCTCTGCTCTGCTCTACTCTACTCTACTCTACTCTACTCTACTCTACTCTACTCTACTCTACTCTAGGAATATTTGACTGATTCACAAATGTTACTATATAGCCCATGGGGGAAAAATACTGGGAAGAAGTCTCAAGTCTGTTTGCCAATCACAACCTATTTATCTTTATTTAAAAGTAAAAATGTCCTCATCATGCTTGAGATCTTTTTATAGGTTCAGTTTTTCCAGTAATATTATTGTATATATTGCCCCTAATTTATGTGACATCCTATTATAAAATTTGATGCTAAGCATGCTCATTGAAATTGAAATCATTGTTAAAATCTAATTGTTATGGCATATCTATTTTAATAACATTTGTCCAACACACCCAGTGCTGGAGATTACCGATTCCTCATCAGGGTCATGAAGAAAAGACACAGAGAGTTGTTTGCTGTTTCCAGTGATTATGTACCCCTATCCTCAGGAAGAGGAATAACAAGGGAGGATTCCCAAAATTCCTTCTTAAACTGAGTTGATTTATACGTATAGAAATAACTATTTGTGCTTTAGTCCTTTGCAAAGGAATAACTCAAGTGCAAAGAAGACTCAATTCTGGGATCAGCCCATTCTCTTCCTGTGAAAGATTTAAGGAAATCTGGAGTTAAATCGGATAATAGCAGAGTGAATGAAGCCAAATATATGTATCCCAGAATAATGTTGCAGGATTCAATCTGGGTCCGTCACTAGAACCAGAAGTTTAGTCTTCCAAGCTTTCAGACTTGTGCTGGAGCCCATCCTCTGGGAACTTCTGGTACTTCTCTGTACCAGAATATTTATAGAGTGGTAGAGTGACCCATTTGTTCTCTTCCATAATCTTTTAAGGGCTACTTAGTTCTGAAGTAATCTTTTTCCCCCCTCTCTTTAATGTCATCTTTTTGAAATTTTACTCCTATGCAACACCTATATATAACTAGCAAAATGAGAATACATAATAGAACTGTACATTCTATTGTGTTATCTACTGAATTACATAATGGCAATCTAAAGTTTTATTTCTGCCTAATTGCAAAGAAGCACTTGGAACAGCTGTTCTATTTTTTTCCACATTTCTGGCAGTTAGAAGTTTTAATGGTTACTTTGGAGCAGACAGTTTTGAAAGAGCTTGATTTAATTTTTGCATTATCAGTTGCTTAGCGACCGATGAGAGGAAGTAAGGTGCTCTGAACACTGGAATGAAATCTCTCTTCTTAACTTCCTGTCCCTGCAGTTGTATTTTGCCAAGCTCTTGGTGTAAACACTATTCTGCTGTAGGAAGTTAGCACTCACCCCTCTCCTAGAAGAATGAAATATTTTAGAAAATATTAAAAAGAATATTATATTTCCCTGGATGAGAAATGGAGAAAACCAAGGCACTCCCAGCATCTCACCCCTTTTTTTCTACTCAGAAACTCAAGGCATGTGATTCCTGTCCACCATTAAACCATCTTTCCAAGCAGTCTCCATGTTTCCAGTGTCTTTTTCCCCACTTGGAATTGAACCCAGATGGACATTTTGACATATGTGACATATATTCAAATGTTTATGTAACCTTGACAGTGTCAGATGGTGGCATAGCAAATAAAGGGATATACTAGAACTGTTTTTTAAACAAAGTTTTATTAAAAAAATCCAATGCTTGTTTATTTAATTTATATAGCTGCCCATTGCACATTTATGGCTCTGAGTGACTTTAAACAAACAATACTATCCCCCCCTAAAGTAATCATTCAAACATTAACAATTGAAAACTGCGCAGGACAGTCACAGGACAGCACAATCAACTTAAGAGTCTTACCAGTGTGGGAAGGATTTCATAACTCTGGAAAGATTTTTTTAAAAAAATAATTTTTTTTTTGAAAAAAGTTTTTTTTTAAAACATAAACATAAAACATATCTTTTCCAAAATGAAGCATTGATCCGGTCACAAATTAATACAAATCATTAACAAATCTTATTTTCCTATTAACACAACTTAATATTTTACTCAGTTATTTCCCAAAATTCTATCAATTTAACTATGCCATTGTCCCAAAAAACCCGTTACTTAAATCTTAAATCCTAACCAAATATCATTCTCTCTTCCTTTTTGCTTAGATGGATATATTTTAACAATATAAATTATTACAGTTATTGTAAACATTTAAAAAATATTTTATCTATTGCTCCCAATATAATCATCTTCATTACTTTACTATTAATCCTAACACAATCATTTCATTTTTACTATAAAATAATTTTTATTAAACAGTTTGTCTTTAAAAACAACACAAAAAACAACCACATACATATAAAAACAAAACACGTCAAGACATAACGTATTGAACATTACATAACATTAATGGTAATTTTACAGTTATTTTTTTTAAAATTTGATTTATATGCCGCCCTTCTCCGGAGACTCAGGGCAGCTTACAATGCGTTAAGCAATAGCCTTCATACTTATACAAAGTCAGCTTATTGCCCCCACAAACTGGGTCCTCAATTTACCTACCTTAGAAAGGATGGAAGGCTGAGTCAACCTTGAGCCTGGTGAGATTCGAACTTACAGTAATTGCAGGCAGCTGGTGTTAATCACAATGCTATCAGTCTGCTGAGCCACCAGGCCCTATGGAAAGAATTTTAATTCCAATTTTTTTTTTTAAATTTGATTTATATGCCGCCCTTCTCCGGAGACTCAGGGCGGCTTACAATGTGCTCAGCAATAGCCTTCATCCTTTTGTATATTTATACAAAGTCAGTTTATTGCCCCCACAACTGGGTCCTCAATTTACCTACCTTAGAAAGGATGGAAGGCTGAGTCAACCTTGAGCCTTGGCGAGATTCGAACCTGCAGTAATTGCAGGCAGCTGGTCTTAATAACCAGCTTAATAACAGGGTGCCTTAGACCACTGTACTACCAAGGCTCTTTTGTACCAAGGCTCTTCAATTTAGATTTATACTGTCTCTGACCTTCCTTTCCATATTTACATGGCCCACAAATAACTGAAACTAGAAGACCATGTTGCAAAGATCACTAATCTACTTCTGTAATTAATGAGCAGGCTAAACTAATTAACTTGCACAAATAAGAGAGAAAATCCTTTCACAATACAGAATTTCCCTGGGTACACACAGAGGTGGCACCAAAGCCCCCAACATAGAAGCACATCAAAGGGAAAAGATCTACACACTCAGCAAAGTAAGTTAAGAACGTTTCCATGAACATCTGAACATCTACCAAATTAAACATTAGAAAGGTTACATTCACAAACTTACCCACACCCCATCAAAGAACTACCACTCCTATGCATATGTCTGATCTCTGTCCATTTGTAGGTACCTTCTGAAGCAGATTCTTTGCCTCGAAGAAAACTGCCTGCCTCTTTTTTAGTCTGCTGTCCAGTGTCATTCTTACACAATCCTGCTTGGATTGGATGCTCAGATACTTCTAACACCCGCATTTTATGGTCCCTGTACCACTGTGTGTGGATTTACAGATGGCTCTTACGTATAAACTGGGTTAACAAAACCAGAAATGAGGAGGTGATAAGCCACCTGCGAAAGCCAAGGGAAATAATCAAAACCATTAAGAAGTGAAAGTTAGAATATTTCGGACATGTGATGCAACACCGGAAAAATACGGCATACTTCACTTAATCCTCTAGGGAAAGATTGAAAGCAAACGAGGTCCAGGCAGAAGAAGAACATCATGGCTTCAAAATCGAAGGGACTAGTTTGGAGAAAACTCAACAGCACTTTTTTGTGGGGCTGTTGATAAAAATAGGATCATCAACATGATCGCCAATGTCTGATGACGGATATGGCACAACAACAAGAAGAAGCACCACTCTGATCCCTAAGCCTGATGGCAAAGCCAGGTCTTTAAACCTTTGTGGAGACCAGCAAGGCTTTCCATTGAGAGTCTGTGTTAAAGTTGTTAAGAAGATGTTGTGCAAATGCTAGTAGGGGCGTTCTAGATTTGGGGTGATCATTGTCACTGCTTTTTTTGTAAATTTGGTCATCCAGCACAGAAAGCCTTCATTCAGGTCTTCTTAAGATCTCTAGTAAATTTCCACAAAATCACCCTTTGTTTCTTTCATTCATTTAACTTTTAATCCTGTTAACCAAAATCTCTCAACAGGACTTCTATGTTGTAATTTGTGGATTTCTTTAGTTATCAAGCCATAATCTTTGTATAAAAGTTACCATTTGAGTATTTGAATTCCCTTTTAACATCCAAAGGGCTGTATTTGTATTAACTTTTCAAACTATTCTGAAAAGAATCCACATTACTTGTATTGTTTAAGCCATTAATGTCTGTGTCATATAGAAGTTAAGCTTTGATTTAGAGTTAGAAAAAAAAGTTACTTTATCTCTCTGAGTCTATAAAAACTTTAGCAAAAGCAAGAAACATTAAAAATGGGGACAGTGCTAGATATTTTTTTTCCAATGTAAGGTGTTAAAAACTTTTTAAAAGCTTTTAAAATTTATTTTTGCGGTCAGTACTTCACAAGCATTTCTATTTTATAATGTTTATTATAATAAAGGATTAACAAATATTTCAGTTCAAAATTGCCCAAGATAATTTAGAAATAATTTGCTTTATTATCTCAAAAATTGACATGTTGACAAATTTTTCCTTCATTTAGGATCACTGTAAGTGTTTTTGGGATATAATAAAAAGTAGGTGGAAGTTATATCATGGCTTAGTTTTCCTATTGTTTTATTTCTGTTTTGTATTGTATTGTATTATTCCTATTTTCATTCCAAGAACTTCTGATTTCCTGTGACTTGTTTTAAATTGTATCCTTAAACATAAAATGCACAGATCAAGCATAATAGCCTATGTTAACAGTTGCTACAATAATCCTTTTCTTGTGTCTCTTTATAGATTGCCTTTTTAAATTATGCCCCATGAATCGCTATTCTGCACAGAAGCAGTTCTGGAAAGCTGCTAAACCAGGAGCTAATAGCACAACTGATGCGGTTTTGCTCAACAAACTACATGTGAGTATCTGTTCTGGAGTGACAGTCTTCAAGCTGGTCTCAATCTAATTTCAGGGCTACCAATTAGCTGTTCCAAAAGAATGTTGCACTGAGTTCTAACTAAAGATTTAAAAAGGGAACTATTTACCTATGGTAATAAAGATAGATTTAAATACCGTATTTTTCGGAGTATAAGACACACCTTTTCCCCCCAAAAAAGAGGGTGAAAATCTGGGTGCGTCTTATACTCCGAATGTAGCCCTGCCCGGCTTCTCAAACGGAGGTTTCAGAGGCTGAAAAAAGCATCAGAAATGAAGTTTCAAAAAAGAAGCCCCCAAACAGAGCTTCAGAGGCTTTTTTTTCTGAAGCTCTGTTTCAGAGGCTTTCAGAGGCAGGAAAAAAAGTTTTTTCTGAAATGGAGTTTCAGAAGTTTCAGAGGCAGAAAACAAAGCAAAAAAAAAAAGCAAGGCACAGACCTCACAACCAAGGAACCTGTTGCTAAAATTCACCTCTGGGAACAGCTGATAGGGGGTATTCTGGAAGGTCGATCCACCTCCCAATCAGCTTTTTTCTTATTTTCCTCCCAAAAAACTGAGGTGCATTTTATACTCCGGTGCGTCTTATACTCCGAAAAATATGGTATGTGTCAATTATTTTTTGAAAGGTGGACTTTATATTTGAGGCCAGATATGTATGTATTCTTATATTTTTTGCAGCATGTAGATTCATATGACATGCTGAAACCTTCCCCTCCCCTCTCCCTTTCCTCCCCCTTACCCTCCCCCCCCCCCTCCATCCCATCCCACTCTGACTCAAACAGCATGGCTCTGGGAGAGCATATAGCTCAAAATCAATAAATAATAAACAAAAACAAACAAACAAATAAATAATAAATAAGTAACTCACCATCTCCCAATTTAATTACAAAATATAAATATTATAAATATTAAATGGCAAATAAACACTAATCCAAACAACCAAAATGAAACTTTTAGTTAAGTGGCCCCTAATGTCCAGGGGAAGAGCCTGGTTTTACATGATTTTCCAATGACAAAACAGAGTTGGGGTGTGTTATATATTGGGGGGGGGGGAAGGGTCAGTCCAAAGACCAATCATACAATGACAAGGTTTAAAAGAAAGAACCTGGAACATGCCCTCTGTAGGAGCATATGGGTTGGGGAGGCGTTCTTAGAAGAAGGCGGTCCCTCGTGTTTTTGTGAAATGTAGGCTTTAAAATTGATAACCAGCATTTTGAATTGCAGCTGTGAGCCTATTGGAAGTTAGTGCAGTCCACAGAGTAGGGTGTTGCATGGGCATAGTAAAATGTTCCCATAACTCCTGTGTCATTGCATTCAGAACCAACAGAAGCTTCTGGACAGTCTTCACGGGCAGCTCCATGTAGAATGTATTGCACTAGTTCAATCAGAAATGACTAAGGTTGAGTGACCATGAACAGGTCCTCCTGGTCCAGGAATGGGTACAACTGGTACACAAAGTGCAGTTGTGCAAAGCTACTTCCCCTAAACACAGCTGTCACCAGCTTTTTGAACAGGAGCTGTGAATGCAGGAGAAACCCCCAAGTTTCAGTGGGGTAGAGGTACCCCACCCCAAACCAAAGAGCAAACCCCAGATCTGAGGGACTCCAAACACTTAGCCCCTTTCTCTTGGCAGGCTTGAACCACAACCCATTCCTTCTTGTTGAGTCCTTCACAGCATCCAAATGCTGGAAAAGAAGTTGACCACTTCCCTGAATGGCTGAGGACAAAGATGTTGATCATACCATATTCCAAAATGACCTCCCAGTGGCTTCATGTAAATATTTTTAAAAAGGGAGGAAGGCAGAGCCCTGAGGCAAAGCAGGAGCCTTGGGCTTGACTACTCTCCTCGCACCAATAAAGGCTGGAACTGGCCTTGGAAGGAGAACCACACACAGAACAGTGCTTTCCACGCCCAATCCCCTTTGCCTGATATAGTGTGCAAACCCAGAAAATGGGGAGGGGAGGAATGAATAAACCATCATTATGACTCGCTTATTTATTGAGCCTTATAAAGTCAGCCAGTATTCACTTTATCTGAAAAAACAGAAAGCAAAACAAATATTTACGTTTGTACAAAATGGAAGTAGAAAGTCGAAGCACTTATTTTTAACCAATGAATTATTTAAAATTGCACTCTTCTACAGGGAACAGGTTTTGTTGTTTACTTTATATTCTTTTTTAATTGTTTTTAATATGTTGTGAGCCACCCAGAGTTGCAACATTTATTAATCGATGGGATAAATGAATACCGTAAATATCCCTTTTCTATATATCTGGTCCTTCTGAGGAAGGAAGGAACCAAATTGAATCCAAAGAACTAGCATTATGAGCCATAGTGGCACAGTGGTTAGAGTGCAGCACTGCAGGCTACTGACCGGCAGCTGCCTGCAATTTGGCAGTTCGAATCTCAGCAGGCTCAAGGTTGACTCAGCCTTCCCTCCTTCCGAGGTGGGTAAAATGAGGACCCAAATTGTTGGGGGCAATATGCTGACTCTGTAAACCTTAGAGAGAGCTGTAAAGCTCTGTGAAGCGGTATATAAGTCTAAGTGCTATTGCTCTTACAGTACGTGTGACTGGAAATGTGTAACTTCTGTTCAGGGAACATAATTACAAATTATTTGATCCTTTATGTTGGTTCAGTTCCTGGTATTAAAAATGCCTTTGGTTAATCTTGTAAACATTTCATGTGGTTAGAACAGATTAAGAACCTGTTCTTTATTGTCCGGCAGTGCACACAGTCTCAGCTGAATTGAAACAGAGGAGCGTTTCAAAAATAGCTTGATGGGATCTAGGCTGGGTAAGAATACAAAACAGTCAGGCAAGCCCAAGCAAGCATTTGGATCTTAGCCATATTTAGCAGCACTAAGAAAAGGCGTCCTTTTTGTGTGTATGTAAGATTATTTGAAATGCTACAGGGCTCTTGGCTGAAGCAGGCTGAGCCTCTTCTGAACAGAGGAATGCAATAGAGAAAGCACAGATAACACAGTGGTTGGTTTTTAAATGAATAATTTCTCCCAGTATAAGGAGTACACAACATCTGGATGCAGAGCGTTCATTGAGAATCAAGGCTGTTTCCTGTCTTGGTACTTTTTCTTCCATGTGGTTTGAAGTAATCTGTAAAAAAATGTTCAACATGCATTTTTAGTCACATGCATTTTTGGCTTGTGTATCTAATGGTGGAATTCAGGATCTTCTGCTGTAGATCAAGCTGTGCTAAGGGTCAGGTTATTTTAAACTAATACCATTTAAGGGATTTAGGAATCTGGGACGGGTTTTAACTGGAATACAAAATCAATTCTTCTTTTAACAAAGTGACACCTAGTGGCTGCTACACAGAATGATTCCTTTGCTTGTTTTAAAAAAGGTACTAAAAATGACATCCTTTTTTTAAAAAAAATAATGGAAATCATGCTACAACCTCATCAACAACAACAATAATGTAAAACATGCACACTTTTTATTTTAAAAAAATCTCAAGAGGATTTAATAATTTGAAATAGACGCACTGGTTTAGGGTTTCCTAAAAATCAAGACAAGAAGGAAAGAGAAAGCTAGAGAAAATAATTTGCATGTTGGCTGTATTAGGTTCCAATGCCAGCAGCACTGAAAAAAGTGACTTATGACCATTTTTCACACTTATGACTGTTGCGGCATCCCCCCATGGCCAAGTGATCAAAATTTGGACGCTTGGCAACTGGCTCGTATGATTGACAGTTGGAGTGTCCTGGGGCTATGTGGTCGGCTTTTGTGACCTTCTGACAAGCAAAGTCAATGGGGAAGCCAGATTCCCTTAACAACAATGTTACTAACTTAACAGCTGCAATGATTCACTTAACAACTGTGGCAAGAAAAATCATAAAATGGGGCATAACTCACTTAACAACTGTCTTGCTGGGCAATGGAAATTTTTGGCTAAATTGTGGTTGTAAGTTGAGGACTACCTTTTTAGACCAGTAATTCTTAAACTTTTTGCTCTAAGGACACTTTCCCACTTTTAAAAATTATGGAGGATCCCAAAAGAACTTTTGTTGTATATAGCAGTAGCACTTAGACTTATACAGGTAGTCCTCAACTTATCACCACAGTTGATCACCAAAATTTATGTTGTTAAATGAGACAATTGTTAAGTGACTTTGTCCCATTTTCTTGCCACATTTGTTAAGTGAAACACTGCAGTTGTTAAGTTAGTAACACAGTTGTTAAGTGAATCTGGCTTCTCCATAGACTTTGCTTGCCAGAAGGTCACAAAACATGTACCCAGGACATTACAACTGTCATAAATATGAACCACTTGTCAAACATCCAAATGTAAATCACATGACCATAGGGATGCTGCAACAATCATAAGAGTGAAAAATAGTCATGTCACTTTTTTCAGTGCCATGGTAACTTCGAACAGTCACTAAATGAACTGTTGTAAGTCAAGGACTACCTGTACACTACCCCATAGTATTTTACAGCACTCTCTAGGCAATTTAAAACATCAGCATATTGCCCCCAACAATCTAGGTCCTCATTTTACCAACCTTGGAAGGATGGAAGGCTGAATTAATCTTGAGCCCTGTCTGGATTGAACTCTAGGCTGTGGGCAGAGTTTTCCTGCAATCCTGCGTTCTAACCACTGTACCTATAGGACTCCTATATCACATCCTGTGCTAAGCACATTGGGCTAGAGGTTCACTCCACAATTCTTGGTCCACAGCTACAGTCTCCACATCCTTCCATTTAAGATTGATATTCTTTAGATCTTCCTGAAATGTTTGGTCCCAGGTTTTCTTTGGGCTTTCTCTTTTTCTCTGACCATCTGGTGGTATCCAATTGATTGTGATCTTTGCTGGATGTTGTTCACTCATGAGGAGCAGATTTCCAGCAAAAGGCACTGTTTGTTCTGTCACTATCTCAGAGAGTTTTCGGGAATTATTTCTTTGTAGAATGAGTTCGTTTGTGACATGGTCCCAATATGAGATAAGTATCCTTCTGAGGCAACATTGTTGGAAGTCGTTGATCTAATGAATAATTCTTGTGGTAGATTTACAGGTCTCACTGGTGTAGATGGCAGTCAATGACATTAAATGATTTAATCTTGGTTTATGGTGTTTATGGTGGACGTGAGCTCCTTTGTTGGAAGACAGCAGTAGCTTTGCCTATTCAGCATTTTTATTGTATGGGTGATATTTATCAGGATTTACTATATAGTATTAAAAATTAAAATTGTATTTATAGGGATGGTTGTGGGATGCACCCAGGGCTCGTAGACCACATTTTAACAAACACGGATTTTAGCAATAACAATAGCACTTACACTTAGTACTGCTTCATTATGCTTTTACAGCCCTCTCTAAAGGTTTACAGAGTCAGCATATTGCCCCAAACAATCTGGGTCCTCATTTTACTGACCTCAGAAAGATGGAAGGCTGAGTTAACCTTGAGCTGCTCAGGATCGAACTTCTGGCAGCGAGTAGTGAGTTAGCCTGCAATACTGGATTCTAACCACTGCGCCACCACGGCTCCTTGGATTTTGATGGTTACTTAGCATTAGAATCTAGATAGAAAGCTTATTGGCATTGCAATAAATTGGCCATTTTGGTTTTTATATTTTTCCTGTCCATCCTTTCCTTCAATTTGTATGGTGGAATTTAAAATATTCTTCCAAGTCTGTGTTGAATGTACATTATTTGCAGCAGCAGCTTGTGGCCAGCTTATAGAACTATACTTGAAATGCAATTTTTGTCTTACTGTTATCTGGCGGAAGACAGATAGGTTATTTCTAAAAATAGGGCTTTAATTTACTATAAAATTTACTATACAGGTTTTGGGATTTTATCTTTGTTTTTCTTCTGTGATTCATTTTTATTCTTGAAATTAATTTAGATGGGATAACTTATTATTAAGTTCTTGTTTGATGTTGTACACCAGCTAAAGTTCTTCTGGGCAGATTAGAAATATAATACATAAATAATTATTTTGGATTTGTATACTGTCCAAAACTTCAAATTCTGTCTGTGTTCATTGGAAGGAGTTCTAAAATGGGTTGGAATATTTTGGATTAATCCACATGCTTATATAGGCTATTTCATTTCTAATGTCATCTTTTTAGTTGTATATGAGTAAATATGGATGTAATAATGGGTCTGTCCTTACAGACTTATATAACCTGTTTTTTTAAACCTCAGAATGAAAGTGGGGTTAAAAAAGAAATTTCACTGCTCTTTCTGATATAAATCTGAATGTTAACCTGAATTTATCATCTATGTCTGATTTTTAGTAAATGTGTCTTTTTTTCCTTTTTTGTTTTCCTATCACTTTTCCCTGCTTTCTACTTCCGTTTACTTTTCTTCCTCTTCCCTTTATTTCTCTTCAACTTTACCATTTATTAAAATCAAAAAAATCAATAAAGGGACCAGCATTTCTGACTTGGGTTAAAAAACAACTAATGGCTGAAAGCAGGCATTTGAAAATATAAATTTCAAAAACTGGAAATGGGAGTGGAATTACAGTGAAACAGTCAAATTTTACATAGCAACAGAAGCCTTGATACTTGAGAATGGAGTTGGATCCATTGGAGTTTAGCCTATTCTGAGGGGATTAATTACATTTAGAATGCTTTAGTTAGTCATGAGTTACAAGCATGAGTTCAGTGGGTGAACTCTAAGTGTTGTTAAATTCAATTACTGATATGCAATTTTTTTTTGAGGGGGAGGGATTGAACTATTGTTTGTAACATCTTTCATTTTAAAAAGCAACTCATTGCAGATTTTCCCATCCTTGCTCAACAGCAAATCTTTTGTTTGTTTATTAAACTTAGCATGCTGCAGATTTGGAAAAAAAGCAGAATGAGACAGAAAATAGGAAGCTGCTTGGTACAGTTATCCAGTATGGTAATGTTATTCAGGTAAGCAGTGTCTTCCATAAGTTGTGTGTAGTACAGGTAATTTATTTTCAAACCAGCCTACAGAAAAATGCAAAATGATATTTCTGAAAACATTTTGATTTTAAAATTTCTGTGGAAAACAAAAAAAATATAGTATTGCTTTTCTTATTTGTTCAGAGATTATATCCTAGTTAGCAGTTCAGTCAGAATGAGAAACCTTTGGTTCTCAAGATGTTGCTGACATCCAACAACCAGCAGCCTCTGCTTGTGTGGCCAAAGGTGAGGGATTTCATCAGCAACTTTTGAGATGTTACAGGTTCCCCCCAACATAAGTTAAGTTGTTAGACTATGTCATCCTTAAACCACCTATTTCTCTGTCCTCTTAGAAGCATTAAGATTCTGGGAAAGAGAGGTCTATCTTTTGGGATGATAGGAAGCACCCACTCCTACCTGCTACTTCCTTTGCCCCAGAGTAAGTTACTGGGTGTTGGCAACCAAGAAGCAGAATTGTAACTCAGAGTTAGGGCTTTGCAGGGGTGATCTGTTTGAACATCTGAAGGATAGCTATGGGATATGCCAGTTCTTTCAGACTCTTGCTCTGTTTCATCAAATAAACTGGCTACTAAGTATTCATGTTTCAATGTCAGAATGTAGATTTGATTCTGCAGTGGCTGAAATGCCACTGTGAGAGGGGAGGGGGCTCCCAATTTTCTCATGTTTTTTCTTTGCTAAAATTAATATCTGATAGAAGCTTTTTGAGATTATGATTTTTCCAAGTTCCACATCTGGCTTTATTGGTACAGGAAGCTTGAGTGGTACTCAGAGTTGAATTGTTTCCCAGTATCAACATCATATCTTCATCTTCATCATGTTTCCATTACCCAAATATTTATTTAACACAGAAACATTCTTTAAATACTTTGAGAGAGTCATATGTGTACTGGTTTCAGTAAGATAAAAAATCCAGTTGAAAGTTCCTGCGATGTCATGAAAATTGTCGGGAAACTTGGACTGAAAGGTTTTAGAGAGAATAAAAGCTTTTAAGCATATTAAATGTCTACTTGTCAAGTGCCATTCACCAACTATTCTGCATGGCTGATGTAACTATACAAGTCTTCAACAAGTCTTGAAGTAACTATACAAGTCTTCAATAAACTTTCTAAAGTGGGAAATATTGCTAGAACTGTAGAAAATTGTGGGTGGAATACTCAACTGTTGCATATCATTCTGCATTATCATATGAACAGTACAGGAATTTTAAAAGCATCAATAAATTACATTTCCACTTCGAACAGTAATCAGCTGTTAAGCTATGGTTTGAGTAGCCATTGCTGCCTATGCCACAATGTGATGATTTCTCACATTACCCCATTACTTGTGATCTTCAACCACTATGTACATTGTACTAAGCCAAAAGCAAATCAAATGATGATCTATATCAGGGGTGTCAAACTTGATTTCATTGAGGGCCGCATCAGGGTTGTGTTTGAGTTCTGGAGGCCAGGGTGGGCATGTCCAGGATGGGCGTGGCCAGCTCAACGTCAAATGTGTCAGGGGGCCTGTGGTGGCCCGAATGCTCTGCCAGTGAAAACGGGCTTCTGAGCTCCATTTTTGACTGCCATGGCCTCTCTGCCAGTGAAAAAGGAGCTCCCTTTTCACTGGCAGAGGGTTGTAGGAGGCCATGGCAGCCGAAAATGGAGCTCGGGAGCCCGTTTTCGCTGGTAGAAGCACTGCGGGCCGGTCTTCCACTGTTTCCAGGGCAGCCCCACGGGCCAGAACTAAGTACCCCATGGGCCAAATTCGGGCCCCAGCCTTGAGTTTGACCCCCCTGATCTATATAAAATATCAGCCTTGTGAACAATTATTGCAGTAGGCACAACAATTTTAATTTGTTGTTGCTTTTCTTTCGTTCTTTCTTTCCAGCTTCTGCATTTAAAAAGCAACAAATATTTAACAGTAAATAAGAGACTTCCAGCTCTGCTAGAGAAGAATGCTATGAGAGTGACACTAGATGAAGCTGGCAATGAAGGTTCCTGGTTTTATATACAACCCTTCTACAAACTGCGTTCTATAGGAGACAGTGTAAGTTTACAGAACTGTCAGGGAAAATTGTTTGCAATATGAAATGTTAAATGTTTTCTTCATTGCATACTTTCTTGTAATTAATTAAATGCATTGTTTATATAATTCAGTGCTTCTTCTCCTTGCCCTCCTATGAAAACAATTGTGCATGAGAGAAAGAAAATTACTATAGAAACAAATGTTTTGGAAGCAAACATTTTTAAAGAGTACAAGAGTAACTGTTTAGATTTTGAATGATTATGAAAATAAAGTCATTCTGTTCACTTAAGAACTCCTGTGCTGGATATTTTAGTTTATATCAATGCATCAGTAATTTATTTATTTATTGCAATAAATATTAGCCTCAAGGCTCCATAGAATTCTTTCTCTTCTTTCTATTCACCATGGCTTATTTAATGCATTTAATTACTCTCTTTATTAAATTCATTCAATTTATTTTAAGTAAATTATCTGTGCCATTCTTCAGCAACTCATTCAGTTCATGTATACCAAAAACTGTTATTGTGGTATATCAAAATAAAAATAATATACTCAACTTCGCCAATCCCTGAAAGAATTAGCAAGACTAAAAGTTAGAGAGGGAATTCCCTAAAGTCTCTGTGTGTCACCATCTCTTCGGTCACCACTTTCCTAATTTTAGATGGTGTGAGTATTGAGGATACCCTCTAAAGATGATCTTGGTTTATGTGAACAAACGCACATGGAAGATGTCAAGATAAAGTCTGAATGGCATGGCTTAAATAATGTTATTTTTACTTAAAATGTTACTTTATTTTCTTAATACTTTTGATACCCTAAATCTAACTATGTTAATTTCCAAATAAATTTGTAGCCAGTTCCCAGTAGTGGTAGCTTTATATTGCCTTTGTAAAGGTAAATGAAAATGAAATGGAAACCTTGTTTTACAGGTGGTGATTGGGGACAAGGTAGTCTTAAATCCTGTTAATGCTGGCCAGCCTTTGCACGCCAGTAGTCATCAACTAGTGGATAACCCGGGCTGCAATGAGGTAAGTTAAGAGCTCATGAGAGTTAGAAATAATTGAAGCGCCATTTAGTTTTCCACAGAATTGTCAAGAAGGACAATTAATTTGTGCATCATGGTGTGTCTTTGTACTCTTGTTTTATCTGAGGCATTCTATTTTTATAGGTAAATTCAGTGAATTGCAATACAAGCTGGAAAATAGTTCTTTTTATGAAATGGAGTGACAATAAGGATGATATTCTCAAAGGAGTAAGTTGAAAGATGTACCTAATCATAACTTTTTCACAAAAACACAACCTGAAACTTCTGTTGATTGATCTCTCATTGTCCTCACAGGGGGATGTGGTACGGTTGTTCCATGCAGAGCAGGAGAAATTTCTTACTTGTGATGAACATCGAAAGAAGCAACATGTTTTTCTGAGAACTACTGGGAGGCAGTCAGCCACTTCAGCAACTAGCTCAAAAGCTCTGTGGGAAGTTGAGGTAAAGATGGGTTTAAAAATAGCTAATGTGGCTTTCTAATGAGTATTCCTACACTGAGAATTTCAAACCTTGATGAAAAGCTGAAAGCTGTGCTGAAACACAGGTCGGTCTGTTCTTGATTATCATATTTCTAACATGGCAGGGATGTTTCATATAGAATAAATAATTGAATAGGTTTTGCTCCAGAATAAATTAGGATGGTCCCAATGAATAAAAGGAAATTCAGATTTGAGTTTCGATTGTTTGCTTGGTACTCTTTATTCTACAGCTGGATATTCACACAGTGTGTTGCTGCTGAGCAATGGAAAATAAAACATTGATGCCTTCCAAAGCAAACAATAGTGTTTCCTATTAATAGAAGTGGTTTTGCTTAAAATTATTTTAATTGCAATAAAACAAAATAACATACTTGTTTTCATACAATTATCTGATTTAAGATTTCACAGAAAAGACCACAACAATTAATCTTTTATGAATGGAGCAATGGTAATTTCAGCTAGTATCACTGTATTGTGTGTTACAAAGAAATTCGCCTTTTTATTATGTACACACTTTCTTTAAGAGGTCCTTGAAAGCAACTCGCTAGGAACAGCAATTATTGCAAGACAGAGCAACATTTTAGGGTAATACAAATGTTCAGGGGAAATGGAAAGGGCTGCGATGATGGGACATTGTTAGAAAGGGGGAGACCATTCCGCACATGTAGATCTAGTTTTAGGACACTGTATCTGTGGCTTTTATTTGTTTAGTAGGAAAAGTTGTTACCAGTTTCAGACAAATTGAATCCCAGGAGTTGCAAAAGAAAAGTAATTCAGAGCCTGTTTGTGGTCTTGGGATCATAGATTGCCTACTTCTAATTTAATGCTCTTTATTGTATGGGAACATAGTGCTCAAATAAGAATTCTTTCTACTCCATGTGACAGCAACTCTTATCTAATATTAGCAGAGTCTCTTCTTTTCTTTAAAAACAAATCAACCCCACAGTAGTTAACAAAGCCATCCTATATATCTATAGCTCTATCTACTGAAAAGTCTCATAAAGCCAATAGTCTTCTTTCTAAGTAAGAGTGTATGGGATTGCAACTATAGTCGCCAGCTGCTACAAGCATATATTTAGAAAAAGCTGAACAATAGTGCAGAGAATGGAACACCTCTTTAACAATCCAGTATAAAACTTTGACAAGACAAATGATTTAATAAAATTTGCTTGCATATATTTTAGTTTATTTTTTTTCTTTTAAAGGATATATGCTTTATTAAGACATATTTTGAGAAATCATTGTATTATCTTAGTCTTTTTCCAGAAAAAGATTGTATTGTTATACAATACAAAGGGATATTAAGAAGCTCTATAAAAATAATTTTCCCATACCTAATATAGAACCTGGACAAATTTAGAAAAAAAGTGGAAGCAGAGCTGGTCATTCCCCCCCCCCCCCCCCCCCGTCCATGAATATTATGAGAGTTCATATCAATATATATGTTATATCTCTGGAGTCATTCAGTAAACATTTCTGTCCCAAAGTTGCTTTTTCAAAAGGCAACTGAACTTTCTGGTTTTTCTTTGAAGATGTTTCACTTCTATCCAAGAAGCTTCTTCAACTCTGACTGGATGGTCGGAATGGAAGGATTTATAGTCCTTGCAGACAGCTGGACATTTGCATCCAGTCAGAGCTGAAGAAGCTTCTGGATGAGAAGTGAAATGTCTTCAAAGAAAAACTAGAAAGTCCAGTTGCCTCTTGAAAAAGCACCTTTTGGACAACCATGACCTGGATGACTGAGAATCTCCATAGATAGTAAACATTTCTTTTAAACAGATTGAAGAATTCATCCAGCAAATACAGCCAAACTTGGACTTCTGAATGTTTCCATCTTTATTAAGCAATAAAAAAATAAAAACTCCAAAGTGATTAAATGTTTGGTTTAATTGAATCTTGAGTCCATAAAAGACTACATTAAGTGTTCTGAGTTTGGTGGACTATCGTAACACCCAGCTGTTTGCAAGAGACTACAAAAATGTCAGTTTTTACCATCTATTCACTCAATTCCCACGGCTCTCCAGAGTACATATGGATAATCTCAAATTCTCTCCTTGGTCTGGAGAGAATTTTTAGCAATCTGGATCCAGCATCTAGCTGTCTTTCAGTTGTAATGTTTTCCACTATTCACGGGGCACCAATTTGCTATTCCTCACTAAAAGCAACAATGCACAACTATTGAATATTCTTGATTTAGAAAATATACTTTCTCATTTTTCACGTATATTTTCATAGAGAAATATAACATTACAAATAAATTGAAGTAACCAGTCATTTTTGGATGAGTCCTATTATCCTCTTGATTTTCTAGCTAATGTTTTGTAGCTAATTTAAATAAGATTTTGGTTTGTTTATTCCCTTTTCTTTTTCTAAAGTACTATTTTTGGGCATTTTGTTGACAATCCTATCTGTTTAAGGAGAAATAACCAATACTATTCAGAAAGGCAATTCTCAAGAATTATTATTACTTTATAGGTAGTACAACATGATCCTTGTCGTGGTGGTGCAGGCTATTGGAATAGCCTTTTTCGGTTTAAACATCTTGCTACTGGACATTATTTAGCAGCTGAGGTATGTAATCACAAGAAATCCTCTTAGAATATTTTTTTTCTTAACAACCTGATTTCTTATGTTCCAAATACAGATACATTTACCAGGTAACTATCAAGAGTTGCAAATGATTAGAAAGCTGATGTGTTATTTGGAAATATCACAAGTCAATACCACTGGCATTTATTTGCAAGAAATTATGAAAATGTGCTAAAATCTATGCCAATGACTTTTTGTTACTACTTCTTGGATATACCTTCTATTAATAGAAACCAGTATTGAAAAAAAAAATATTGGCTCGTATCTTTCCACAATATGAATGAATTGAGATATTCACATATCCCATATAATTTTGCTGATAACTGTTTCTGAAATGATCTTGCATGTCTCAGATTTTTGCTTTCAAACTTTTTGGGTGTCTGCTTTGATTTTTATGAGTGAATTACGTAGCATGGAGTTTTCTAAGGGTGTAATATTTATACAACAAATATATTTCACTACAGTATTTAGATATTGAGAAGGGAGAAGTCCAGTTGGCCTTTTTCTTTTCTTTTGACCTGCTTGTGATTCTTTTCCATCAGATAAATCCTGACTATATGGAAGATAACCAGGAATGTCAGTCTTCAGTAAGTGTAGGGAAGAAAACCCTTAATTAAAAAGTGTTGACCAATGTTCAAATTACTGGGATAACAGGAAGGGAGGCTGGTGATGGAATCTATGTGCTCCATCTCCTGTCTCTGAATTTTGGTCTAATTATGGCCTTTGTGTGGCTTTTCGGTTTCTAATAGGAGTCTATAAGGAGACTGCCACAGATGTAATAGGGGCAAGTCCCTACTGGTTGCCCAGAAATTTGAATATTTCTCCTGGTATGATATTTACTGGGAAGCAGGGGGGATAAATCAATGCTGCAAATGTTGCAGAGGAAAGATTTACCATGGTGTTACAATATTCAGTATTGTGACTAATGAATATTGAAAAGAGCCTGTAGTACAGTGGACTAAAGCACTGTTATTAACATCTGCTGCTTGCAATTACTGCAAGTTCAAATCTCACCAGGCTCAAGGTTGACTCAGCCTTCCATCCTTTCAAAGGTAGGTGAAATGAGGACCCAGATTGTGGGGGCAATAAGCTGACTTTGTATAAATATACAAAAGTATGAAAGCTATTGCTTAACGCATTGTAAGCCGCCCTGAGTCTCCGGAGAAGGGCGGCATATAAATTAAAGCAAAACAAACAAACAAACAAACAAAAAACAGGGCAATGATAATTTTAGACATCTAAGTAAGCAAATTTACTTTTATTCTTGCCACCCTAATTTAACTTCTGTGGTTTGACTCAAACAATGTTTTCCTAAATTACATCTTCTTAAATAATAGGGTTTTTAGTTGATGGAGAGATAGCCAGGGCAACATTTTTGGTGGGAGAGGGTAGGGTGTGCATGATAAGGTAATATAGTTTCCCTTACCCAGCAAGAGACAATATACTTTCTGGACAATATGCTTTTTGACTACATTAGTTCATGCTCTTATCCCATGCTTGGATTAACCACAATTCTTTCTGAAAAAGACTGTTATTGAAGGCAAGTTGAAATCTACATTTGGATAAAAATTGCTTGCTGTCCACTCTGCAAGTAGAATAATTGTGATTCAGCTGGAACTGCATTGACTAGCAGTAGGCTTTCAGATTCAATTCAAAGTGCTGCTTTATTTGTTTATTTGTTTGTTCATTTATTTATTATTATCTCTTTTATTCATTAAACATGAAACTCGGTCAACTGAACATTTAAAAATGTATCACAAATATCATTGACTGGCTCTGATGGTTGATACAGGTTGCTGCTAGCATCCTAGGTATCAACCGAGTATCTTCTTAAAATGTGCTGCTATTATTATTATTATTATTATTATTATTATTATTATTATTATTATTATTATTATTATTATTCATAGGCTCCTGATTTTTAGGCTGGTGCCTTCACTATTCCAAATTGGCTTATTTTTAATACTGCTTTTAGGATCTGATTTTGCAGGATTTTTTGCCTGCCCACTTTATGCTAGTTGATAATCTCTACTAGGTGAGAAGTCAAGAGGAAACCACACAGTTCTTTCAAGTGATGTTGAACATGGCAGTCAGGTTCCAAGAACTATTATTGGCCCTTCAAAATTGGATTTCCCTGGTTTAATATGCTAGTGGGAGATGGTTAGGAGCTTGAATTTGTAAGAGTTTTGTGGTCAGGATATGAATATGAATATGAAACTGGTTATTTCTGATAACAGGGCACATGGGATGCACGGAAAATATCTGCACACACTATTGAGACACAGTACCAATTTTATCTCTTTTAAGTAGAAGGATTATCCATGGGGCATAAGCATTTGAAAACCAAATACTATATAAATTTCTCAACTTAGATACTATGTACGTGTGTATGAAAGAGCTACTGTATTTCAGATAATAATGTCCAGTTGGTATTGAGCAGAAAGATGGTATTTCAATATTAATTCAGGAGGATCATCTGGATTTTTATAGAAACTATTTGTGGTTTCTCCTTGTGTATATACAGCTAATCTCAGATTCTTTGCTATCAGGAAATGTCAAAGCATACAGAAAGAGTTAGTGGAAAGTAGGAAAATCAAGGAAGAGGTTCTTTATATGTTTGGTTTGTTTTAGTTAGTTTTCCTTCACTTTGCAATCCCATGAAAACTGCCCCAGAGAGGAAGAGTATTACATTAGAGCACCATAAGGAGGGCTCTTTGTTCATGGGAAATGTGATTGGCAGCTCCAGGTAAGTGAATGGAATGCTTGCTGATTATTGTCATGTCATCTATTTGGTAACTCCAGAAAAGATCGAATAGGCAACCAATGTAGATGAACAAAGAGAAGAAGCTAAAATGGTCAAATTTGCCCACATATTATTTTAATTTGGCTATAGTGACAAAACATAGCCAAATCTAACTATAGCTTTTCAAAGAAAACAATAAAATATTATATTATGATACTATTGATACTTGGATTGATGATCACCAGGAAACCTCTAGGCTGTTGATTATAATCTAAATTGAACAAACATCTGTAAAATAGTAATGGCAAACTGCCCTTTTCCCAAGAAAATTATTCTGGGTAGTTACCAGGAGTCAATTTAGATGGTAAGGAGATTTTACATGTAGAAAAATACCTCAGTACCCTTGAAATGAAGAATCAATGACTCTTGGACAATAAATCAAATCAACAAATGGTCATTTATTGTGCAAAACCTATCATGGAGAAATATCTTCTGTCAAACTGCCGTTTTTCATTACTTGCTTTTCTCCACCAGAGGGCAAAATTAGAGTAAGATAAATGTAAAGGTATCCTTCAAATTGAGCAATTCTCATTAGACACATCTGTGCAGTTATCTTGACAACAATATGAAAGTGGCTTGCCATTTCCATCTTCATGTTTTTCAACTTTCTGTACTATTTATTCTATGGAGTGTCCAAATGTATAAATAATTCTAAGTGTACACCTGTATTTCAAGTAATTTTGCTTATTTAAACTCATGGCTGCAAAGGATGATCAATAGACTTTCCAAAGAACATGTCATTCTGCTTTTTGTAAAGGAGACTGTTTTTCCTCTTCCCTCCACTTCAGTCATTCATTTGAACCATATATCTTCTACCAAGCTCTGTGTTTGAAGGGAATGCTGGGAAAAATCCAGCACAGCTGATATATGCACCTGTCTTTTGTTTTGGTGAAGTGCTTCCAGTTTAAACATATCTAATCCATTCATTATGTTTTGTACAAATTCTATTAAATTGCATGAAAATTCATGTGGTTGGTTGAGGTTAACATTTTCCCCAGGCAATTCCTTAATGAGAAATGAAGAACTTCAGGAATAGCTTCTTATGACATATGGAGGATCTACCTGTACTTATTCATTTTGTCTATGTGCTATAATAGAACATTCTTCAGATATCATCACAGAAGTGAAAAAAACTGATTTTTACTATATTATTGCTGTACTGTAATCCAGCTTTCTAACCTTTATTGTTTCAGAATGCAATTTTGATATTTTCCTTTGTTTCTTACTCTCCCAAAAATCTCTGCTAATTAAAATGTGATTCTGTGGTTTTATTTTATAATTTGCATCCATAATAATAATGCCGCATAAATACTTACCAATAAAATTAATATTAATACCTATTAATGTTTGACCATTATTTAAAAGCTTTCAGATGTTTTAAAATTGAAGTCTAGATCATGTGATGATTTCTTAATTGCTATAAACACATATATTAAGCTATGGTTTGTTCTACATGTTATAAACAAGCCAGAGTAAGTTTTACAGACACGTGAGCTTGACACTTTTTGTCAGATTTTGGTTTCTTTAACATTTTAGCACTTTTTGATTTGAAATTATAAAGATTGATTAATGATTTTAAGGGTCATTAAGGGTGGAGAAAAAAGAAAGGAAGCCAGGAGTGAGCTTGTTAATCATAAACTACATTCATCCATTAACATATTACCATATCATGCTAAGCTAAGTTACAGTCTGTAAGCGAACAATAGCATAATTTATTTTATTCTTCTGAAACAAGCCATACTTTATTCACTGATGGCATTTACCCCATGAAGTCAAATAGAACCAAAGTCTATTTTGCTTTAGCACAATATATGAATGTATTCAAGATTTAGAAGCAACTGAGCTTGATGGTAGCTTTTGTACAAGATTGATTAAAACCTGAGAGTTAATGATACAGATGTCAGCATTCCAGAAAAAGCTCTGCTCCAATTAAAAATTCTGAGGCAAGCATTTTCTCAAAGTTCCATTTATTAGAGTAGGTATACTGGCACATCTTTGGAAGACCCAAATCTGAGAGTTCCGGTTTTCTCTCAGTAAATCAAAACCCCCAAAACCATCCCCTCACTCATCATTCCATCACATGCTCCAATCATCATCCGTCCCATCATGAGGCAGCACTCCAACCACTCCTTCTCCAGATGCAGACTCATCCTGACCTTGACTGATGGGAAGAATGCTATTTTGTCTAAATACAAACCCTCAATTAAATCCCCCCTCCTACTTTCCCACACATGAGAAGGTGGCAGCTTGGAAGCTTCTGGCCTAATATGGCTTCCAAAATTGACAACAGATACAGATTAACAGAGTTGGAAGGGACCTTGTAGGTCATCTAGTCCAAACCCCCCCCCCCCAAGCAGACCCCACACTATTTTTGACAGATGGCAGTCCAGTCTCTTCTTGAAAGCTTCCAATGAGTGGAGCTCCCACAACTTCTGGAGGCAACCTCTTTTCCATGGGTTGATTGCTCTCACTGTCAGAAAATTTCTCCTTATTTCCAGGTTGAATTTCTCCTTGTTCAGTTTCCATTCATTATTCCTTGATATGTAGTATGATATGGTTTCTATGTCTACACTTGAATTGGAGGTGTGAATTCCAAGACTGCGTTTCTGCATAGCACTTCATTGTTTTATCTGAAAAATCGTTGCAATTTTGTCTGATTTGAAATTCTCTACACAGCTGGATCCTGACCAAGATGCAGACAGAAGGGGACTCCATAATACTTCAGAGAAGATGGCATACTCTTTAGTCTCTGTGCCTGAAGGAAATGACATTTCTTCCATCTTTGAGCTTGATCCCACCACACTGCGAGGAGGAGACAGCTTAGTCCCAAGGTATGATGCTGCGAATAATAAAGAAATGTGTGTGTTTGTAACTGAGATGATTTACCTAGGCAGATCATCATAGAGAACAGCATTTTAATAGAAATAGATTGAATAAATTTCAACTCAAGGTTTTTCTTTATATGATTATTTTTTTTAAGGATTGTAAATCACCCTGTTCATTCCAGCTTGTTGTTGTTAGTTGCAAAGTCGTGTCCGACCCATCGCGACCCCATGGACAACATTCCTCCAGGCCTTCCATTTAAGCTCATGCCTACTGCTTCAGTGACTCCATCCAGCCACATCATTCTCTGTCGTCCCCTTCCTCTTTTGCCCTCAATCTTTCCCAACATTAGGCTCTTCTCCAGTGAGTCCTTCCTTCTCATTAGGTGGCCAAAGTATTTGAGTTTCATCTTCAGGATCTGGCCTTCTAAAGAGCAGTCAGGGTTGATCTCCTCTAGGACTGACTGGTTTGATCACCTTGCAGTCCAAGGGACTCACAGGAGTCTTCTATAGCACCATAGTTCAAAGGCCTCAATTCTTTGGTGCTCAGCCTTCCTTATGATCCAACTTTCACATTTTCACATCATTCATCATTTTCACATCATTCCAGCTTAGTATATAGCACAGCAAGAAACATCAAATATTACAACAATGAAATAATAACAAATTAGCCACATCTGATTATCAAAGGAATGCTTGAGCCTATAGTCTTAGGCCTTGCAATATGCAAGGAAAGTCAAATGTACCTGCAGGGGAAAAGTGTTCCAAAGCACGAAGGCTACCACTGAATAGGACTGTCTACTGGTCCATATTCCATGAACTTCGGGAAGGTTTAAGATGTTCAGTGAGCGCCTCTCTCTATTACCTGATGCACCTTGAAGCTATTTTGTAAACATTAAATAACAGAATTCTGTGGGAAAGATGAAGAACAGAGACCTGACCCTATTTTGTGTTTGACATCATCCAAGGAGAAACCATTTAGTTGCTTCAGCAGAAAAGGAATTGCGGTTTGGCCAAAGCAATTCATTGCAAAGTTCCTCTGTTCCCAGGTATTCCTAAGGAATTGTTTCCCTACCAGAAATATCTGTAGTTTTAGTCACAAAAGTACATTAAAAGTTCTGAATCTAGTCTGATTCTTAGTAAATAAAAAAGTGACATCTGGGTGAGAGGTCTGAACATTTTTTTAAAAAAAAAATTGGGATGCTAAACTAGTTTATTTCAAACTGTTTCAAGTGCAATATTTCATTGGCATGAAATGGAATATTCTGAACAGTTTCTAACTGCTAATGTTTGAAACAGCTCTTTCTAAGCTCAAAGTACTTCATTTCATGCTTGAATCAGCAATTTAGTGCTTAAAACGACGTTTTATGAAATTTTGTGTTCAGAGCAGGTAGAAATGAAACATTTTCCATAATCCATTAATTCCATGGTATGAACTGGGCATTTGAATGGGCCCTTAAAAAGTGGAGTGATGCTTAAAAAGCAGAAGCAAGATGTTCCAGAAGCAAATTTAAATCTACAACTTTATCAGCGATTTCAGATTTAGACCGACGCTGGCAATATTATCTGGGACAGATATTCCAACTTAATTTTTTTTAAAAAAAATTTACTCTTCAAAGAAGTATTTTGATGCAAAATGCCTGGTTGTTTCAATTCAGCTTCATTCACTACCACGCCATAAAAATTGATTGTTTGAAAAGTTCATTTTATTTATTTTGTTTTTCACGAACATCTTCAGAAATTACTACAGATTTGTGCATCTGGAATCTCTTTAATGTAAATGTATCTGGTCCTTTCAGGAACTCTTACGTCAGGCTTAGACATCTATGTACAAACACCTGGGTTCACAGCACAAATATCCCGATTGATAAAGAAGAAGAAAAACCTGTGATGCTTAAAGTAAGTCCTGCAAGGAACTCAGTTCATGGAACTGTTTAGAGAACAAAATTAGCAAGTCTAAGATTATCACATGTTTGACCTACCAATAAAGGAGGATAGAATCAAGATCATGTGAAGTGTTAATACCACTTTATAATGCCTTGGTAAGGCCACACTTGGAATACTGCATCCAATTTTGGTCACCACGATGTAAAAAAAATGTTGAGAGTCTAGAAAGAGTGCAGAGAAGAGCAACAGAGATCATTAGGGGACTGGAGGCTAAAACATATAAAGAACGGTTGTTGGAATTGGGTATGTCTAGTTTAATGAAAAGAAGGACTAGGGATGACATGATAGCAGGGTTCCAATATCTCAGGGGTTGTCACAAAGAAGAGAGAGTCAAGCTATTCTCCAAAGCACCTAAAGGCAGGACAAGAAGCAATGGATGGAAACTAATCAAGGAGAGAAGCAACCTAGAACTAAGAAGTAATTTCCTGACAGAACAATTAACCAGTGGAACAACTTGCTTCCAGAAGTTGTGAATTCTCCAATCCTGGAAGTTTTTTAAAAAGAGTTTGGACAACCATTTGTCTGAAATGGTGTAGGGTTTCCTGCTTGAGCTGGGGGTTGGACTAGAAGACTTCCAAGATCCCTTCCAACTCTGTTATTCTATTCTATTCTATTTGTAGCTCAGGGTTGAAATTAAGGGTCATTGATGCTTTCTGAGCTGGTCGTTTTCTTGCACATGATTCATCAACCAAACTAGATAACATCATCAGTGGTAGTCTTGATGATGTTACCCAGTTTGGGTAATGAAATATCTGCAAGAAAACAACCAAGCTCAGAGATCACCAAGGACCCATCAAATATGACCTAGTACATTACTAATAAAGTTATAACAATGTTTAATTGAGAAGCTTAGGGTAGTGCATAGGCATCAGGTTAGAAACCAGGAGAACATGAGTTCTAGTCTTGCCTTAGGCACTGAGCCAGTTTGGGCCAGTCACTTTCTCTGAGCCCTGGGAAAAAGAAAGCAGTGGCAAAACACTTTGAAAACTGTTGTCCAGAGAAGTACATGAACTTCCTATGTAGCTATTGATACAAGTCTGATTGAAGACATGAAAGTGTTTATGTATTGCATGTTTATAATTCAGTGTAGGTTCAGTGCAGTGGTGAAAGCCAATTTTTTTTACTACCGGTTCTGTAGGTGTGGCTTGGTGGGCATGGCAGAGGAAGGATACTGCAAAATCTCCATTCCCACCCCACTCTGGGTCCAGCCAGAGGTGGTATTTGCCAGTTCTCCAAACTACTCGAATATTTCACTACCGGTTCTCCGAACTGCTCAAAATTTCCATTACCGGTTCTCCGGAACCTGTCAGAACCTGCTGGATTTCACCCCGGTTCAGTGTAGATACAATTTACAATTAAGCACAATACAGTAAATCAGTTAAATAAAGCATTTCTATCCAGCCTCACTCATTACTGGGACAAATCATATAACTAAAGAACTACAAGGGGACTCCCACTCCTCTGGCACCGATGCCTGGTTGAAGAGCCAGGTTTTAAGAACTTTCCTAAAGGTAAAAAGAGTTGGGGGTCTCTCACACATTGGAGGGAGAGCATTCCAGAGAACAGGTACAGCTGCAGAAAAGGCCAAACTTCCTTGGTCCCATAAGATGACAAGATTTAAAAAAAGGAACCTGGATCATACTCTCCCCATGGAAGTATGTAGGGCGCCCATGTGTTCTTATGAGAATGTGATCCCTCAAATAGCCCAGTCTTATGCCACGTAAGGCTCTAGAGGTAATAATCAGCACCCTGAATTGCATGTGGAAGCCTATTGGGAATCAGTACCAGGTATTACAAGAGCATAATGAGATGTACCATAACTATCTGTGTTGCTGCATTCAGAATAAATTGAAGCTTCTGGATAGCTTTCAAAGTAGTTCCATTTAGAGCTTGTTGTAACAGTTCAATCAGGAGGTGACCAAAGTGTAAGTGACCATACTTGTACTGATCCTGTGCTGATTATACAGACCCTGTGCTGATTGCTAGCTTTTTGGACTGACATACTTGGCAAACGTCCCCCTTATTGTAACAGCCTTGAACCTATTATTTTTGTATTTTTTGTAATGTTACGATTTCTGCTAATGACAAAGAGGGGAACTCTTTTTCCACAAACCTGGCATTTATTAGTGTAATGCATACTGGCACAACTCTCCTAAATAAATAATTGAAATACTTAAGATATGGGTTTCATGTATATCTTATAAAAAAAAAGAAATTGAATTGTGCACTACAGTGTTTCCTATTAAAATGTCAACCACTATTTCTCTAATGCATTCCTTACCACCATTTCTTTTGTTCTTAAGTACTAAAATTACTTTTTTTTTTAAAAAAAAAAAGATTGGCACCTCTCCTGTAAAAGAGGACAAAGAAGCTTTTGCCGTGGTACCAGTTTCTCCTGCCGAAGTTCGAGATTTGGACTTTGCAAACGATGCAAGCAAAGTATTGGGCTCCATTGCTGGCAAACTGGAGAAAGGAACAGTAACTCAGAATGAAAGGAGGTAAGAGGGTCATAATCTGTTTTTTTTAAAAAGAGAATTACCATTCAAGCAATATAGTTTTTATATTGATTTTTGCAGCATCAATATGAAACCTGCAATACCTCCAGAACTAGTTACAGAGCTCAAAATGAAACGAAAATAGGCACTTTAAAAATGGCTAAAACTGTATCAGATGATTCAGTCTTACAGAATCTCCATGTTTGTATTAGTAATTTTGTAAGAGCATGTCAAGATCATATCCAGATTGAAAATCTTACATTAGTTTAGGCAGTGGTGAAATGTAAAATCTGTTACTCCCGGTTCTGTGGGCATGGCTGGGGGTGGTGATAATGTGACTGGGTGGGCGTGGCCAACTTTTTTTTTTTAACTTTTAAAAGCATTTTTTATACAACCTCAAGAGGTTGTAGAAAAAATGCTTTTAAAAGGCTCTGACGATGCCAGCTGAACCCCGCGATCATCAGAGGCTTTTTAAAAAACTTTTAATAGCATTTTTTTGACCGAAGAAAAAATGCTTTTAAAAGTTTTTTAAAAAGCCTCTGATGATCGTGGGGCTCTGCTGGGCATGGGGGGCGGGCAGGGATTTTTGCTACCAGTTCTCCGAACCACCCGCTGCCATCGCTACCGGATCAGGTGATCCAGTCCGAACTGGGAGCATTTCACCCCTGACTTTAGGCAATAGAAAATATTGCTAAATTCATCTTGGATTTGCACTTCTGAAATGTTTTTTTTAAGAATTTAAAGAAATTTTGTGACTGGTTTTGGATTAAATATTCTTAAAACAGTATGCACCTGTTTTCTTAAACTGAATAGAGTTACAGAATGCATTACTGTGTGGGTATGTTGGTATTAAATTTCGGACTAAGAACTAGATTTTTCTTTAAAAAAAATATATCTCTAGGTCTGTTACAAAGTTGCTGGAAGATTTGGTATATTTTGTTACCGGTGGAACAAATTCTGGTCAAGATGTACTCGAAGTCATGTTCTCAAAGCCAAACCGAGAACGGCAAAAACTAATGAGAGAGCAAAATATTCTAAAGCAGGTAGAGTACACAACTCCTGTAATTGCTAAGACCTTATACACATTTCTGATTGTGATGATAGGAAAGGTAATTTCTTCCTTCCTCAAATAATGCTCCAGATTTTCAAGTTATTGCAAGCACCATTTACTGACTGTGGAGATGGGCCGATGCTGAGATTGGAGGAACTTGGAGATCAACGCCATGCTCCGTTCAGACATATCTGCCGCCTCTGTTACAGAGTGTTAAGACATTCCCAACAAGACTACAGGAAAAATCAAGTGAGTAAAATTTGAAAGAATTTAAGTTTACCAGGCTCAGCACCTAGCTAGCCTTAGCTGATCTAAAACAATAAACTTAACAGAAATGGTTCGATGGACCAAATCACCAGTAGATTGAGAAAGAAGATGGCCATGGCAAGCCACTTCTGTGTTTTTGACAAGAATCATAGTCACCGAGTCACTAAGCCACTAAATCTAAGCACCTGCTCTATGCAGTACTCCAAATGAAAGCATCCCTAAGAGATTGCTTGCCTCCTCTTTAACTCATCTAACCAAGATGAGTCCAGTGCCTTTCTTGGTCTGTGTTTGTGACACAGAATGCTCTTACTGTTAGGAAGAATAGTTCTTACTTATCACAACATATCTTTCTGCTAACTTGACCATGATTTGCATTTTACAATCTGGAGTGAAAGAAAACAAGATGGTGACCTTTTACTGTGTAATATCCTTCCATGTATGAAGAATGCTGTGGTATCCTCCCTCAGCATCTTTCTTGAGATGATATGATACTCCTAACTTCTTCAATCTCTTTTATTCCCAATGCTTTTGTATGTACCTGTTATTTCTCTGAACTATTCTTAAATTCCTAGGATTGGATCCAGTACTTCATGTAGATTCTGAGTAGAGATACTGCCATGATTTGGAAATTATACTTCTGCTGTTCCCAGCTATGTCATGCTACTTGCTTATTTTCTGTTTGCGTCCAACTACAATCACAGGACCTTTTTTTCACAAGAACTAAGTAATGCTACATCATGCCAGATACATCCCATCCTATACCTGCACCTGCTTTCTGTTTTCTAATTGTTCTAATTATTTCTAAAAAATAATTCTAATTATTTTTTTTACTTTGGATTGAATAAATCCAAAGATTTATCCATCATTCTGAATGGATCTTCAACTTGCAAACTTCCATCATCTAATATTTGGACCTTCTGTTTAAATGGAAAATAATTGTCAGTTGCTTAATGCAAAGTGGATAAACTATGATTTAATTTGAATAGCAATTGGGCCAAAAATCAGATTCAGTTTTAGGAATATGTCTGGCTTTTGATTAAGAACAACAAATAGCTTCTTTAAATCTATAAAAATAAATATTATATTGGAATTAGCATTTGTTTTCTTTCTCCCTCCCCACCTTTAATACTTTGCCAGGAATATATAGCCAAGCAGTTTGGCTTCATGCAGAAACAAATTGGCTATGATGTCTTAGCCGAAGACACTATAACAGCCTTGCTCCACAACAATCGCAAACTGTTGGAGAAACACATCACAGCTGCTGAGATTGATACCTTTGTTAGCCTTGTAAGAAAAAACCGAGAACCCAGGTAAATTTTTCTGTTAAAAAAAAAAATAGAGGATGCACAAACACTTTAATTGTGGCTCAGATAGCCATACGGCTAATAGCAGTTTGGAGTTTATGTATATGTTTGCTATTTATTTATGTCTTATTCTGCTGCTATACTGTGATATCCCTCCTAATCGCCAGACTTCTAATAATTCCTAAGATGTTGAACAGGTTATCCAAATATCTGTTCTTTGAGCACAACCCTTGCGATTTCACATTTTATTGGAGATCCTTTTTTTTTTTTTAGCTTTATTCTACCTTACATTATTATGGATTAGTATAGTTTATTGAAATGGAATCTGCTGCTATTTGAAAATGGATGCTTCTTGATTCTGTGAGAGTCTTAGCAATTTTTGTTATGTTTAGTTAATTTAGTTAATTTAATTAATTTAGTTAATTTAGTTATGTAGTACTGTATGAAGCCACAAATATATTTCTGCAAATCTTTATCATGTTGTTTATAATATATATTATAATCTGAAATATTGTGCCCATTTTATAGACTTTGTTTTCTTCTCTGAATAGATTCTTAGACTATCTTTCTGATCTTTGTGTGTCTATGAACAAGTCTATTCCGGTCACCCAGGAGCTGATTTGTAAAGCTGTATTAAATCCAGCAAATGCTGACATACTTATCGAGACTAAGTAAGTTTAGACATTTTTAAATAGATTTATTCATTTTAGAAAGAAAACAACTATAGCAAAGATGGCAAATAAAATTACTACCAATTTGGAAGAAATTATATATATATATATTTGTTTATGTAAGTTTTCACGGGTATGTATGTGTGTATAGTTAATATTTCGGGTTTCTTCCCGTGTAATTGTGGATATATCCCTAAAAGGGTAGAAGCGACGTTTCGGCAGAATCCCATCTGCCATCATCAGGCTTATGTCAGCAGTCATTTTGCACTTGCAAAATGACTGCTGACATAAGCCTGATGATGGCAGATGGGATTCTGCCGAAATGTCGCTTCTACCCTTTTAGGGATATATCCACAATTACACGGGAAGAAACCCGAAATATTAACTATACACACACACACACACACACATAATGTATGTGTGTGTGTGTGTGTGTGTGTGTGTATAGTTAATATTTCGGGTTTCTTCCCGTGTAATTGTGGATATATATATAAGTTATTTATAGCAATAGCATGTGTGCTTTCTGGAATCTCCAATCAGTTTATAAGCCTAGAACTAGACATATTTGATGAAATAGATTTTAAAACAATCACCAAGAATCATCGCTGTAAAATGCATGATTTGTTACTATAGGTAGTCCTCAACATATGATTATATTTGGGACCAGAATTTCCACGGCTAAGCAAGGCAGTTGTTGAATGAGTCATGTGGTTGTTAAGTGAACCTGGCTTTCCCTATTGACTTTGCTTATCAAAAGCTGGCTGGGAAGGTTTCAAATGGGCATACTACAACTCTGGAATTCTGCAACCATCATAAATACACATCGGTTGTCAGGTGCCTGAATTTTGATCCTGTAACTGTGGGGATGCTGCAGTTGTTGTAAGTGCAAAATTGGCTGTAAATCACATTTTTCCAGTGCCGTTGTAACTTCAGGCAGTCATTAAATAAATGGTGGTAAGTTGAGGACTACTGTATTTTTCGGAGTATAAGATGCACTGGACTACAAGACGCACCTACCTTTTTTGGTGAGGAAAAGAAGAAAAAGAAATCTGCCTCTGGGCAATTTTGCCTTGTTGCAAACAGCCTGCTTTACTTTCATTTTCGTTTTCAGCATAGCTTGATTAGCACAAGGGGGAAAAAATCTGCTCCAGCAATTTTCTTCCTTGCAGCAAGCAGCAGAGGCCTGCGCAGAACAGCTGAGAGCAAGACAGCTGAGAGTCGGGAGGCTGATCCAATCAACTTATGCTAATTAGGCTGTGCTGAAGCTAAAAGGAGCTGTTTTGTCTTGCTGTTTGCTGTAAGGAGGTAACTGCTGGGGGGGCAGAGGCCAAAGGGTGGGGGCCAGTGGGTGGGCGGGGCTACATTCGTGTATAAGATGCACCTAAATATTCACCCCCTTTTAGGGGGGGGGAAGGTGCGTCTTATACTCTGAAAAATACGGTACCTTGAAAGGATGTGATGTTACCTCAGGTTTGGAAATCTAATGGAAATCCACCCATACATCCCTGAAGGTAGAAATACAAGTAACTGTTCTTCATTTTTGTACAATTCTTCAGACTGGTCCTGTCTCGTTTTGAGTTTGAGGAGTTATCATCTGGAGAGAACTCACTGGAGGTTGGTGAGGACGAAGAAGAAGTCTGGTTATTCTGGCGAGACAGCAGCAAAGAGGTCCGCAGTAAGAGTATCAGAGAGCTGGCACAAGATGCCAAAGAAGGACAGAAGGAAGACCGAGATGTCCTAAGCTACTACAGGTTAACATGACAAGTAATCCTTGGCTTTGGCAGCATAACCTGAAATGTGTACACTAGAGCTGTTTGTAATTTTATTAAATGGCCTATTCTTACGACTTGAACGCTAATATTTATAATTAATTTTAAATGGTAGCTATCAAAACATTTTCAATTTGGAATTATTTGGATATAATACTAAAGGTGCTTTTTTAAGAGCCACTGGACTTTCTGATTTTTTTTTTAAAGACGTTTCGCTTCTTATCCAAGAAGCTTCTTCAGCTCTGAGCTGAAGAAGGTCCAGTTGCCACTTGAAAAAGCACTTTTGGGACAACCATGACCTGGATGACTGTGAATCTCCATAGATATTTGGATATAGGAAAGAACTTGGTCTGATAACAATTTCATAAAGCTCTGACAACAGATTCATAGATTCATTCTGCTTCATGCAGTGACCATGTACTGAGTGTGGTATACAACTGCTTCTGAATTACAAATAGTCAAAAGGATTAAGAAAATCAGCTGTCACTGTGAAAATCCTTTATTTTCTAGAATATAGATCTATTATTTTGTTCTTTATAGGCTGTTTTTTTAGAGGTAAATAGCATTGGTCAATCTGATACATTTTTAAAAAATATTTGGCTATGTGGTAGTGTTATTCAAAACATTCTGTAAGTAGTTTGGATTCTCAAGGCTGTATTTGTATAATGTAATATACACAAAAAAAGCTAATTTAGTGAGAACTTGCCATCATTTTAGCCTCATTTGAATGCTTCACTTTTACATTTGATAATTTCCATGTCCTGTAAGCATGGAATGTCTACCAGTTTGGAACTGGATGTTGGACACTAACAATATATATTTTGTACATGATCCAGTTTACTCATATACACAATGTCAGCTGCTCCAGTTTCCAGTTTCATGGCAGAATTCCGAGTTTAATTAAATAGGGAATGAGGTCTTGAAGCATGAATATGTGTTAACTAAATTTACAGTGTAATTTATCCTCTATTTTTAAAATCTGATTAATTTATACATAAAATGTATTTCCCACTCTTCTCATCAGAATATGTATTTTATCATGTGTTAAGTGTACCTTCTCTGTAGCAGTGCCTGTCCTCTAGAATGAGGTTTCATTCCCCCCCAAGATCCAGATGTCCCCCACTCTGCTATAATTGTACCCCAAACCTTTGGCAATGGAGAGTGAGACCTCTTGCTTCATTACAACTGATCTGTTCTGCTTGGCATTTTTTATCTTTCATTAATTTGATTATAATTTCTTTAATGTGAACTGCCACGGTGATGATGACGATTTTTCAGTCTCTCCAGTAAAATGATGCTTTCCTAATTTTTCTTCTGCTTTACAAGGTACCAGCTGAATCTTTTTGCTCGGATGTGCCTTGATCGCCAGTACTTAGCTATAAATGAAATATCTGGGCAGTTGGATGTAGACCTTATTCTTCGCTGCATGTCGGATGAGAATTTGCCTTATGACTTGAGAGCTTCATTTTGTCGACTGATGTTGCATATGCATGTTGACCGAGATCCGCAAGAACAAGTGACGCCAGTGAAATATGCTCGACTATGGTCAGAGATACCATCTGAAATAGCAATTGATGAGTGAGTATTTGTGACCAAATAATTCTCTAAATCAGGGATATCAAACTCAATTTCATTGAGGGCCACATCAGGGTTGTGTTTGATCTCGGGGGGTGGGGGTGGCCAGGGTGGGAATGGCCAGTTCAACATCACTTGTGTCAGGGGCCTGAGCGCTCTGCCAATGAAAACGGGCTCCTGAACTCCGTTTCTGGCTGCGATGGCCTCCTGCAACCCTCTGCCAGCCAAAACGAAGCTCAGAAGGGCCGCATCCGGCCTCCAGAGCTCCGTTTTCACTGGCAGAGATACTGCGAGCCGGTCCTTTGATGTTTCCAGGGCGGCCCCGCGAGCCAGATCTAAGCACCCTGCAGGCCAAATTCGGCTCGCGGGCCTTGAGTTCAACACCCCTGCTCTAAATGAAGCATGGTGACTTTAAATCCTTGAGAGTCCTCTTACTCTTAAAGAATTCTCTTGTAGGAGAATTGTTGTGTTAGCCTGTTGGAAAAAAAAAAACAAAAAAAAACCCAACCCAAATCAGAAAGAGTCTAATACCATCTTTTCCAGCTCCCAAATTTTGATGCCTTCTAATAAAATTGGTTAGTTGAAAAAAGTGCCTACTATATTCCTTCTGGTAAGAATATCCAGTATCACTGGATATTCCAGAATATTTCCAGTACAAAATATTCTGTAAATGTTTTGGACTCCAAGGCTGTGTTTGCATACTGTAATGAACACAAAAAACCTACATTTTTTTGTGAGAACCTACAATTGTACAAATTATAAAATTATGGTTGAGCCCAAAATTTATGTTGCTAGGTAAGACATTTGCTAAGTGAGTTTTGCCCCATTTTACGACCTCTCTTGCCATAGCTGTTAAGTGAATCATTGCAGGTGTTAGCAACACAGTTATTAAGTGAATCTATCTTCCCCATTAACTTTGCTTGTCAGAAGGTTGCAAAAGGGGATCACATGACCCCGGGACACTGCAGCCATCATAAATATGAATCAGGTGCTTAGCATCTGAATTTTGATCACATGACCATGGGAATGCTGCAATGGTCGTAAGTGTGAAAAATGGTTATAAGTAACTTTTTTCAATGCCTTCTAACTTTGAATGGTCAATAAATGAACTGTTGTAAGTCGAGGACTACCTATATTTTCATAAAGTGTTTAGTGTTAATCTAAATCAAGTAATAAATTTCTTGTAGATAATTTTTTCCAAAGAGAAAAAGGAGGCAGGACTCTTTAAAGATTGTCACTTTTTGTTTTCTTGTTTTTGGATTGTTGTTTAGCTATGACAGCAGTGGAACTTCCAAAGACGAAATCAAGGAGAGGTTTGCACAAACTATGGAGTTTGTGGAGGAATATTTAAGAGATGTTGTTTGCCAAAGATTCCCATTTTCTGATAAAGAAAAAAATAAACTCACCTTCGAGGTAAATGTTTTATGCATCAAACTGAGCTGCAAGACCAAATGTTGGTCATGCTAACTATAAGTGATTCAATGGTCAGATCATGCACACATATTTGTATATTTTCTCAAGTCTGCCAGTTGATTTATTCATAAATAAGTTTCATAGCACCTGCCTAGCATACAAACAAACAAACAAACAAAAATTAAAAACCCAGATTCCAAAATTAGTTAAAAGGATAAGGACAAGAGAAGAGAAAGATTTCTCTAGTAAATCCTGCACCAGCTGAAAAGATAGTATCAATAGTTAAAGGCAGCTTCAAATATTTTCCAGCAACTTATTCTATTTGCTTAGTTTTATACCTTTCCAACCAGTAGGTTGCCTTGAATAGGAAGTTTGCTAGAAAATTATAGCAATAACTATGCAATAAAAACAGCAGTAAAATACAGTAGGGCACACATCTCAGTATGCTAATAGCAGTATCTTAAAATACCTGAGAGAACAAGGAGGTTTTCATGTGGCACTGAAAAACCATAATGGAGATGCTGAATGGCCTCTCCGGAAAGAATTTTCGGCAAATATGTGAAGCTGCCGCAGAAATGACAATCTTTTTTTGCTCCCATCTACCTCATGTAAAAGACCTAGAAAATTTGTCATCTGCTATAAATGCTGGAGATTCCAGCAAAATCATCAATAGAAGTTTTTATTCACTAGAAAGTGTTTTTGTCATTAAAAATCCCTAACATATAATCAACATGAAAAAAATAATAATAATTAAATGGCTGACAGATGTAATGATATGTTAAAACGAAATTGTTCTTTTGCTATTCTTTGTGTTGTATTCTATTTATTATGTAAATAGTAACAGAAAATAAACAACCCTCTCGACGTCAGAGAACCTAAATTATCTGGAATATAAAAATCAGTTCTAAAAAATGAAAAGTATAAAATCTGGAAAAAAAATATAGGCACTGATTAATCAGTACTATAGCACTAGTAGGTATTTTAGAATAAGGATATTTAGAAACTTACCATTTTGCATACAAATATTATTTCTACATTTATTTATTTGTCAGATTTAAGAACTGCCCATCTCCCTCACAGAGAGATTCTGGGTGGTGTGTAATAAAATATTAAAAGCATAAAAATAGCATATAAAATTTCAGCGAGGCAAGGAATGTTAAAAATTAATTAAAAGGCAGGAGAGGACTTTGAGGGCTGACTTTCGTATCTTAGACAATTTTATGAATTTCAAAAAGAATATTGGGTTTGTAAAAGAAAAAATCCAGTTCTTTCTTTTATCTTTCCTTCTTTTAAAAACAGGTTGTGAATTTAGCCCGAAATCTGATATATTTTGGCTTCTATAATTTTTGTGATCTTCTAAGACTAACAAAAATTCTCCTGGCTATTCTGGACTGTGTTCATGTGGCAACTATTTTCCCTATTACAAAGGCTACAAAAGGGGAAGAAAGTAAAGGTAAGAATGGCAAGGAAAAGTGGAGGAGATGTTGAGAGACATTTCACCCATCTGTTGTGGCCTGTTGGCTACCAGCAGAGATAGCTGCAGACACAGATAAGGAAGAGGTTGAGGGAGAACCTGGGCCAGCTTCAGAGCCTTTGGAAGGCTCTTATAAGGAAACGGCAGCAGAGGCAGAGCCGGGGCCTTCTGTCCTCCCCCAGGTGGAGAGGCAGCTGTTTTCAGGACCTGAGCTGAGTGAGGGGGAGGAACAGATGGGGCCCATCCCAGATGTGCGTATGCATAGAGAGGAAAAGAGAGGAGAGCAAAGGAAAGCAGTAAGCCGGCTCTCAGGGAGAGGCAGACGCAGATATAACCAGCCCCTCCCTGGCTGGGAAATAAATAGGAGGGGTTTGCCTGTTGTCACAGACAGCCATTCGTTGCTAGTATACAGCAAGCAATTAGAACAGGCCATTTTCACTCTCTCCAGGTTCCAAGAAAGCCTCTGGAGCCTGGGGAGGGTGAAAAATGGGCCTACTGGGCCTTCTAGTAACCTTTTTGCCACTGTGTGCCAAAAGCAGGGGGAGCGGCAGGGGGTGTGCACGCATGCGTGGGGGGCGGGAAGGCATTGAATTATGGGTGTGGGCACATGGACACGCGACCACCCTGCGCTCCCGCCACTTTTGGCACACAACAGCAAAAAGGTTAGCCATCACTGGACTAGTGTTTAAGGTACCAGGCTAGAAAGCAGGAGACTATGAGTTCTAGTCCCGCTTTAGATATGAAAGCTGGCTGGGTGATTTTAAGCCAGTCAATTCCTCTTAGCCCACCTCACCTCACCTCGCCACACAGGGTGTTGTTGTTGTTGTTGTTGTGAGGAAAATAGGAGGAGAAGGATTATTAGGTATGTTTACCACCTTGAGTTATTTATAAAAATAATAAATGTGGCGTATAAATAAATAAATAAATGCAAATTTAAAATATTTGTCGGGGGTATTTATCTGTTTCTGAAGGGAGCAATGTGATGAGATCGATCCATGGTGTTGGAGAGCTCATGACCCAAGTGGTACTCAGAGGTGGTGGGTTCTTGCCTATGACGCCCTTGGCTGCTGTCCCGGAAGGCAACGTGAAACAAGTTGAACCTGAGAAAGAGGACATCCTGGTAATGGATACCAAACTGAAAATAATTGAAATCCTCCAGGTAAACTTCACATGACACGGCATGGACATTTTTGTTGATGTCAATTTATTCTTATATGGTTTGATTTTTATTCCACAGAAGTTTATTCTAATTTATTCAATTAGAATTGAAAGTAATCAAATGTTTTTTTCTCAACTATATTAACCATAAGGTAATTGTTGATTGCAATTTTTTGCAGTAAATCATTGAATAAGTAGAAGGAAAATATTATTGAAAAGATGAGGAGCAGAGCAATTTAATAGAAATGGAAGCAGGAACTGGCGCTGAGGATTTTCATGCCTGCTATAAAGCTGTAAGCCTCCTAGAATCACCTTATAGCGGAGATGGTGGCTTAAAAATTGATTGAATGATAAAGCTTGGCGTATTCTTGACTATGGAGAAATGTCTATACAGAAGTGATTGGACATACAGATTTATTTTCTGATAGCTCTAGCTAGAAAGCGTCTTAATTTGTTAAAAAGATTTATACCTTTTTGTTGTTGTTGTTGTTTCTTACAAATATTGAACATCTGTAAATTTGGATTCATTTATATCCAACACTGATGACAATGTAAGAATTTATTTATTTACTACTTTTATTACATTTATATGTCATCCATCTCACTGTTGAAGTGATTCTGGGTGGCTTAAATGCATCCAGTCGAAATTGTACTTGTATGTATGGTCAAAATATGTTTAATAGAATATAGTGCTATTCAACAGTTTTAGACAATCCAATTCTTTTTTTTTTTACAATACTGTACAATGAACATTTTAAGACTGATTACCAATATAACTGTTTTTCCAGACTTTACCTGGAATAAACAGTGTTTATTTCAATTCTAATGCTAATATAAATCTGATGTAAGCTTCAGTCAGGCGTAAAGAATTAGGACACTAGTTAGGTTGTAGCATAGAAGATTTATTCAAGCCTATGTACAAGAATCTCATCAACTAAAGTTCAACATTAAAGTGGTGCCAGATATGGCTCAACAAAATTCAGGAGGCATTGGACTTTGAGCCCTTATGGGAATGCAACAGCTCTAAACTGATGGTGAATTTAACTCTGCCCCCTAGCAATGTCAACTCTGCTCCTACTATTCATTCTCAACCTTAAAAAAGAAGGCAGCCTTCAGATTTACAGTTTTTTGATTATCTTTAGAGGTCTCAGAACTGCATGAAGCTTTGCTTCTGCTGTTCCCCTCTCAAATCACTTGATTCAAATTAAATTTCTTCATATTTCAGTTGACTTTAAGTATAGAAAATAACCCCAGTTACTTAATATAGTTCAAAAATTTATTTGTTGTTTCTGTTTATATCATGCATTTCTGGCTAAGGTTCACGGATACTTTAAATGTGTCAAACCTAAGATCCATCAAATGTTTAAGCTCATTTGTCTCTTGGAATACAACCTGGATAAAATTGTATTATTAATATTGTTTTCATTTTTGTTCAAATGTTGGAACCACCAGTTCATTTTGAATGTGAGATTGGATTACCGAATCTCATGCCTTCTGTGTATATTTAAACGAGAATTTGATGAAAGCAACGCACAGACATCTGATTCACCTTCAGGGGGCAATAATCAAGAAATGCCAAATGTACCAGGTCAGTAATTTGAATATTGTGTATTACAGAGTACGAACAAACATTTTTCAGTTTGGCAGCTGCTGTTTTCTCTATCGCTGATGATGGATCCCTTCCAATGAGATCCCCTTACTCATTAAAAGAGGCAGTACAGAAAGTATTGTCCCATTATTTTTAAGATTTATGAGATGGTTTTAAGACTATTGGTGGTGCATTTTGTGTCACAAAAGCTTAAATAGAGCCATTTTCATATTGATGTTTTGCATTAACATTTGAAATACGTTTTGGCAGTTTCAACTTTTTTCCCACTGACTTTTTTTATGATAGGCAGGAATATTTTTATTTTGCCTTGCACAAGATTAGCACATTCTTTTCCAATCTAATATGCTAAAAATGTTCTGTAATATTGATTTTAGTCAATATAAATAGGTTATACTATTTATTGTAGGTTATTTGTTATGGCAATTAGTAACTAGAGCAACTCAGAATAAAATAAAGCAACATTCCACTTTCTAAGCAAAGTAGAAGTTACAGCAATTTGCTAACATATTGTATGTTGCAAAAGATGTAAGCATGGGTTAAATTAATATTTCTTGTATCTTTGTACTGGCATTGAGAGTTGCAGTCCCATACCTCTGGAAGAAGCCAGATTAGGGAAGGTATCTTAATGTTGTAATCAGTATATTTTGACTTATGCACTTGAGTGAAAGGTGAGATCTTTGAGTTACTGATACATCTACTGTTTGTATATTCTGTATATATTCATAAACCTAGTATCTTTTCACATATGAATTCATGAATAAATGGTATTAGGGAAAAAAAGCACAGATGGGTAATGTACAAGTTACTTATTCATCTTCTGCTGAACTGGGAAAATGACAAGAGTATGTTTTAAAATACTCTTTTAAAAAAATAGAACATCATCTGCTACCACCTCCCTGTCTTAGTATAAACTGTTCAATTAAGCAATATCTGTGCAAACTGTTTACATTCCCTCATTGGCTTAATTTATATAATGCTTTTTCAGTTTAGAAGCAGAGAAAACTGCCTTGCTTGTTAGGTGTAGTTCTTACAATTCAGTTATTTTATTCCAGAGAAAGGGGGGAAAAAGTGGTGGCTTGATTTGAATTATTGTTTTATTGTTCTGAACTCAGCATAGACTACATTATTTGTTTTCCTTTACAGGTGCTCTTGACTTTGAAAATATTGAAGAACAAGCAGAAGGGATATTTGGAGGCAGGAAAGTAAACTATGGCAATTTGTATTCTTTTGTTCTCAACTATATATAAAATAGATTCTGGAAACCTGATGTTCATAGTTTTAGAAGATAAATTCTTGGGGTTCACAGTACATTACTGGTGTGTCCATGGGTATCTCTTTTGGTGCCCTCTAGGACACTTTTGTGATTGAGCATACAATCTTGGCAACCGTTTCCCAAGAATGGAGTATAAATATGTTATCAAAAGTACAGATGTATCTACCTGGCCAAAACGTTTGTGAGCATTTAAATTGCTTGTACCAACTATTTGAGAACCCACTTAGTTACATACAAGCCTCCAGCATTACCTTCCTTTGAAAACACAATTGAAAGTTACAAACACGAGAGTTTTAGAAGTTTGTACAGTAAATATCGAAGCATAAACAGCAGACAAACCAGCTAGAAACATAATTAATCATTTTATAATTATTTTGTTAAAACACATTCTAGAAGTATGCATATGTAGGTATGTATATACAGGTAATCCTCGACTTACAACAGTTCATTTAGTGACCATTCAAAGTTATAATGACACTTAAAATGTGATTTATGATTGTTTTTCACAGTTATGATCTTTGCAGCATTTCCATGATCATGTGATCAAAATTCAGTTATGTTTCAATTGTTTTATTGCTTTTAATGGGCTTTTTTTGTTTGGTGGTTGTCTTTATATTGCTTTTTTTTCTTTTTAATTTTGTAAACCACCCAGAGTTACAGAATCGAGTATAGGTGGATATAAACATTTAACAAACCAACAAATAAGATTGGCCATGCACTATAATGCTTAGATCTTTCCTTTAGTTGTTTCTGTTTATGACATTTAAATGAGGCCAGTTGTAGGGTTTAGTCTGTTTTCTTCAGTTCTCTTATCTTGTTCTTTCGTTTGCTAGAAGAATACACATAGGGAGTTTTTATACCTAAGTAGTGGAGGTTATATATGCTTCAGCAATTAAAAAAAAAAAGGATGCTATAGTTTAGGAGCATCTTTTATTGTATGCTGCAATGTTGGGTGATATTCTACACTACAGAATGCAATGATGAGTGAGGACAAAATACCTTTATTATGATAAAATATGAATGTTGAATATTCCAACATTATGAAGACAAGCTGGATAGAGCTCACCTGAAAAGTTTTGCAGTCAAACTGAGAGAAAGAAGTTACTAATTTTAAAGGACAAAATGCAGATGCTTGGCATTGAGAGAAGTATGAAGGGAGAAAGTTGCTAATGAAGAAGCTGTCATCCATTTTCCACTTGTGATTAAATAGCTGACTTTATATCCAGTTTTAATTTATAGTGCTCTTTTTCTCCAGATGAAGTACAGTCAGGGAAACTGGGTTGTCCTTAAGCTTACTTAAAAAGTAAGAGTTCTTACTTTCGTTTTAACGTTGCTATATTTTGTGTTTTCAGTGAAGAGAATACACCACTAGATTTGGATGATCATGGCGGCAGAACTTTCCTGAGAGTTTTGCTCCATTTAACAATGCATGACTATCCTCCACTAGTATCTGGGGCGCTTCAGCTACTCTTCAGACACTTTAGTCAGAGGCAAGAAGTCCTCCAGGCTTTTAAACAGGTAAATGCAGTTGTGTGATGTTCTCTGTTTGCTTTGAAATATGTAGAGCAGGTGCATATTGCAACTAACCAATTTCAATTCATGTCAGGTTCAACTGCTTGTTACCAGCCAAGATGTTGACAATTACAAGCAGATAAAGCAAGATTTGGATCAGCTGAGGTCCATTGTTGAAAAATCGGAACTCTGGGTATATAAAGGACAGGGTCCTGATGAAGCTGCAGATGTAACAACAGGAGAAAATGAACATAAGAAAAAGGAGGTAAGAAAAAGAACTTTTATCAATGCTGCTTAAGAGCTGCAATGCACCCCCCTGACTTGGAATATTAATCACAACCTAACTTTGATAACTATAAAAATACCCTGTTTTCCCCCAAAAAAGACATCTCCTGATAATAAGCCCAATCGGGCTTTTGAGCGCATGGCAGTAAGGCCAAGCGCTTATTTCAGGGTTCAAAAAAATATAAGACAAGGTCTTATTTTCAGGGAAACACAGTATTAAGAATCAGTATAATAGAGTCAGTATTGTATGTTTGAGAGCCCTAGTTTTTGTATAATCTAGATGTAGTTGAATGGATCTTCTGGTACTGTATAATGTCATTTTTCCAAAAATCAAATAAATAGATAAAATATGTTTTTACTAATATTTTAATGAAATAAGTATTCTCCTTCTTGCTGCATAAAATGCATTGGCAGATTAGTGTTAATTTTTCAAAGGCTTGAAACAAATTATCTTTGAAATACTGAGCCAAACTATTTCTGTCTTCCAGTCCCATTAAGTTTGATTACTAAGCCCATGTTTTAGCCAGAGGTCCCCCAGTTCTCCTCTTGTTTTGCAAATGTTCTTGTGAACATTTTTTTATTCCAACCAGTAACTCGAGTAATAGTTCTTTTTCCACTTCTGAAATAGATTCTGGGAATAACCTCCTGTTCTCTTTTCTTTTTTTGGATTCTCATTGCTGAAACAACTGTATAACTACATAATGGTAGAAAGGGAAGGGAACCTACATTCACTTGTATTATATAGGAGTGGCATTTTTATAATCTTGGATTTAAATCTGATGCATAACTATTCAGAGATGTAATGCTTGACTTGTGCTATATTTTGAAAATATGTGTATATACACACATACATAATAATTATACGATCTGGAAAGTCTAGAATTGATTATTCTGTACTATTAATTTTTTGTTTATTACATTCAATCTTATCCCATTTAATATCTTCCCATTCTCTTCTTCCTAAGAACTATTTTTATGATCCTAACCATATATAATAAATCCAGAGTTCTTCCCAGTTTGCTAGAGTCTAAATCTGATGAATATGATTAAGATTCATACTTGTGTCTTAATCTTATTTCCCTTCCCGACATGCTATTAACAACCTAATGATTATTAAACCAAAATGTGCAACATGAAACAATCCTAAAATGAGGTCTACCTACAGTAATATTGTACTTCCAGCATTCAGAACTTGAAATAGATTCTTATTATTCATCACCCTGGGATGTCTGATGATACAAATATAGTATTTTGTAGATTTAACCACATCTTAAAATCACACCATACCGATTAAATATCTTTTAAAATTCATCCCACTGATATTCCAACCAATAGAAGAGAAGGTGTGTAGCTCAGGGTTGAACTGTGGAGTCCTTGTTGCCCTCTGTGCTTCGTTCTTTGCTCGCCCATATTTCATAACCGAGCGCCACTCATATTCTAAACCTTCACTCCAATATATAGTGTAGAATAGTTATAGTAGTTCTTTTTTAAGTTGTACATAACATTTAACTAGTTTTAAGAACCTCTAAAACCTTTCCCAATAATATTAATAGTCTAGGAGTTTTACTTATTGCTATGTGTTAGGCCTAAAGCGTAAGCTCAAAAGTTCTTTTCTCCGATTACACTGTCATTTGGCAAAGTTAAGTGACCAAAGCACATCTTAATGCTGAGAACTGTAGCTGAACAACTCTTGGAAATACCAAATCCACACAAACACCCCCCCCACCTCGCAGCTTCTTGACCAAGTGCTAAAATGGTCTAACTTAGACACACCATGAAGTAAGGCTGACAAATTATGCCATTTATTTTTTTTTATTAAAATCTACAGCTCATAAATACAAAATTCTTTTAGTTTTAAAAAATAAAGTATTTTGGCACAAATATGAGCAGTCAACTTTCCAATGTAAATGTAAATGTAAAGAGTAAAAAAACTAGAAAAACTTCACGTTATAGAGTTAATAGAGTACTGGTGTTTCTTTGTTACTATTTTTTTACTCTAAAATTGGAATGTCTCCTGTCATATTAACATTCTTGCCTCTTTTAAATCCATATGGCAAATTAATTCAGAAAATTCATCCTTGGTTATGTGCCGTAAACTGAAAGAAAAATGTTTAGTGGCATGGTGAGAAAATATCGGCTTAGATGTGTATGTGTACAATGTCAGCATGTCTCAATCTTTAGTCTGTAATAATAGCATTAAACATGCAGTACTAAAATCTAAGTGGTAATTGAAAAATTGCTATAATATTACTGTAAGGTTGACAGAAAGGAAAGAATATTGTGCTATATGCCTTCAATAACTATTACTAGATAATTAATCATAGGATAGGAATCGATCTTACATGAAGAAAAGAATCTTCATACAAATTTAAGGTTTTGTTAAAACTTCCATCCGCCTTTTCTCAATGCCTCAGTTTAGGCAACACCTGCTGCAATAGTAAACATTGGAGAGTTCTGGTAAGAAAAAAAATGCTCAAAGTGTATATTCATGAACTCCAGGATTTTAAAAAGCAATTTAATGTATTGATCTTGTTTGTCCCCTAGGAAGGTCGCAGCAAATCGTCTAAACCAGAAAGCACTAGTAGCTATAATTATAGGGTAGTAAAAGAGGTAAGATTCTTACATTTCCAAATATGCATTTCTTCTGTACTCTTTTCTTTTTTATGTATACGCTGAAGAATTTTAAATGTGTAACAGGGTAATTCTGTTTTTGTTTGAATGTAAAATATTCTTTGATTTAGGAAAGATAAAAAGGCAGTTGCTGGAATACATGGAGCTCTGTGGTTAAAGTGTTTGGGTTCCTAAGGAATGGCTAAATATTCAGTAACAGGGATAAATATTTGTTAACAATCTTAAAGATCATAACTCGGTATAACTAGATTTTAACAAGCTCAAGTTGTGATAAATTAGGCAAAATAAAGTGTTGATAATATGTGTGATATGTATATCTTAATTTGCATTTCAATTGGGGAAATAGCTTTAAATTAATCCCAATATGTACTCCCATGTTTGCTTGGAGCTGCTGTGACAGGATAGAAATGCAGACTTGCTATATAATTTCTACCTATAAAATACATGTAGGTATATGGTCTCTCTTGCCTCTCTTTTCCCTGTCCTCATTTCAAACAGAAAAAAACTGGATTGACAAATTAAGCATTTTTGTCAATCATTCTGCTTCTCCAATTTATGAAAAGTAGACTGAATACACTCCACTAGAGAGAAGTTCCTTGAGGAAGGGCTCCAATATATGTCCAAAAGCTTGGAAGACAAAAACACTGGTCCCAGTGACCGACCCAGATTGGATCCTGTAGACCTGATATTGTTTAGAGCAATGTCAGATACATTGTCAGCTAGTGGAAATATTGATTTATCCACATGAAAATTCGGTGATTTGGATGAATTGTTTGCTGCATGTTTGTTAGTGAAATATGAAGAGGCAGAAGCTTGTTTTCCTTGAATATAAAAACTAAAATGAGGGTCCAACATTGCTCTTTAGTTGTGGTAGCCACAATCCTAACAAAATTTGCTGCCTCATTTAAACAGTTCATTTTCTTGTTTTGCTCTTAAAACCAAACTCTTTGTTTTGTATCATTCTTTGTTCTGTTGAAGAAAGAGGTTTCTTCTGCCTTGTCTGGGGAGAAAAATCAGTTTCTAAAGGAATATTTATTTGCAGATTTTGCTTCGCCTTAGCAAGTTATGTGTCCAGGAGAGTATCTTGGTCAGGAAAAGCAGGAAACAGCAGCAGAGATTGCTCCGAAACATGGGGGCTCATGCGGTGGTACTGGAACTCTTACAAATCCCCTATGAGAAAGTGAGGTTTGCATGCATCTTTTACTTTAACTTTGTTGACAAAGTATTTTCATACTTTTAATTCCATCTAAAGACCACCTCTTATCAAAGAGGTGGTCTTTGCATCAAAGAAACGGCTGGTGTTAAGTCTCTATATCTTTGGAAATAGTTTATTCATTTAATGCTTAGCAATAGTACTTAGACTGATATATTGTTTCAAAGTGTTTTACAGCCCTCTCTAAGAGGTTTACAGAGCCAGTATATTGCCCCCTCTAGGTTCTTGTTTTACTGACCTCAGAAGGATGGAAGGCTGAGTCAACCTTGAGCTGATCAGGATCAAACTCCTGGCTGTAGGCAGAGTCAGCCTGCAATACTGCATTCTAGCCACTGTGCCACCATGGCTCTGTTGCTTATTGAAGCAACATTGGACAGAATTATTTTATTTATTATTTATTAGTTCATCAAATATGTACAAGATAGCAGGTATGGATATGAACATGGGCATGAATGAAGGAAATGACTATAAATAAATGGGAACAGTATGACAGGGACGGTAGGCACGCTGGTGCGCTTATGCACGCCCCCTCTTAGGAATGGGGTGAGATCCACGGTAGACAGTTTAAGGTTGAGGCTGTGAGGGTTTGAGGATGTAAAAATATCTGCCAAAGCTTTCTCTATTACAAGGATGAATTTTAAAAAACCCAGAATAATTTGGTTTTTATTAAGAAGGAGATATAAATTTCCATGAAGTGTTTAAAGAAATACCTGGTCCTTCAGTTATGCATAGAAATTAATATTGTAATCTGTGTAGCTGATTTTCTTCCAAATTTATAACAGGTAAATGTATATAGTCTTGGAGCATTCAATACAAGAAGCAAAGCATCACAAAGGATGAATGGCAGGAAGACGTACAGAACAGTTGGGTGCTGTGACTTTAAAACTAGTGAAAATGGGGGTGATCCAGCTCCCCTTCATTGGGCCAGTTGCTTTCTCTCAGTCCAATCCACTTCACAAGATTAGAGTTATAGAGAATATAAAAGGAGGGAGCATTAGGTATTTATGATGCCTTGAGTTGACCAAAAATCCAACTCATGTAAGGGAGTAAGGAATTTCTTAGTCATGATGTTTGAATGTTCTAAAAATTGTGTGCATACGGTATGTATGTTGATTGCTATGGTATGTTGATGGTATGAGGATCTTCAAAAGAGAACTTTGGAAATCTTGGCTACAATAGTTTTAAAAGCTGCATCTATTCTTCCTATTAATAAAATGATCCGTGCTAATGTTTTCTGAGCACAGACTGTTCTGTAATTGGCTATGAAATATTTAGAAACCTTGTAAGTGACTGGTGATGCTACATGTTACATCACTTTGCAACTTAATCCTTTAAACCTCACAGAACCTTACCCTGTTTTCTTTAATTTGCTTAATATAATTATTATGTACAGGCTTGGATTCTATTTGCCTAATCCCAATATCAAGCTATTAGATTAGATCATCCTGAAGCTATTGTATTCTTAATCCTTTGGGAGATTTATTTTTTGTGTGTTATAATCGTAGGCTGAAGATATACGCATGCAGGAGATCATGAAACTGGCCCATGAGTTTCTACAGAACTTCTGTGCTGGCAATCAACAAAATCAGGCTTTGCTACACAAGCATATAAATCTGTTTCTCAACCCTGGGGTAAGAAATAATTTAATTAAAATCTATTCCATAAACCTGTTTTATACTTGTCCTGGGTTGTTGAGTTTTGAGTTGCACTGAGAGTTTTCTGAATACAAATCCAATTTTGAAATCCCCATGTCTGCGTCATGCCAAAGCCTGTATGCCTTAAAAATACAAAAACAGGCAAAAAAATCCTAAGACTCTCCTCAAGCTGTTCTTTCTTGGCACAGAGCGTCACCCACAATTTTGCCGAGTTACATATCTTCTATTGCAGCATATTCAGTAGTTCGGGGTGCTGCAGTAAAATTATGTGATGGAAAATAAAGCAGAAGGAATGTGATGCGGTTCAAGGTACCTATGAAACCTGTGGTTTATGTTTTTCCATGAATGGTGCAGCACACCAATCAGGAATAGCTCATTTTCTGATCTTTTCTTTTTTCCCCCCAAATGGGTCACTGGCAGACTCTGTAGAACAAGGGTGTTGGACTCAAAGCCCATGCCCAGGTCCGGCCTGCAGGGTGCTTAGCTCTGGCCCATGGAGACGCCCTGGAAACAGCGAAGGACCGGCCTGTGGTACCTCCACCAGGAAAAACAGGAGCCCTCTGCAGCCTTCTGCCAGCAAAAACGGAGCTTGGAGGGACCACTGACTAGGGCTCTGGATAGCCTGCACCACCTTTAAGGGGTCCTCCATGTAGTCTGAGAGGATGGCGAGGCTCCTCTGGAGGACAGTGGTTTGGCCCTGTCCCTGGTCTCGCCTTCCTCCACTGGAGACAATGGATCCCCCCATTGTCTTGCTTGGTGTAGATTTGTAATCTGCAGTTTGTAAGAAAATAATCCCAAGAAGCTGAAAGATATGGATGAAACTGTCTCATTAAATTAAAGGATGCCAGGATATTTGGAATACAAGATTCCTGAATTTCTAAATCCAATATGCAGCACCTCTTGTTGAATGGTTCATATTGTTATCTTCTGTTGTTTTGCTCTTTAATAGATTCTAGAAGCCGTGACAATGCAGCATATCTTCATGAATAATTTCCAGCTTTGCAGTGAAATTAATGAGCGAGTGGTTCAACACTTTGTGCACTGCATCGAAACACATGGAAGGAATGTCCAGTACATTAAATTCCTCCAGACAATTGTTAAGGCTGAAGGGAAGTTCATTAAAAAATGTCAGGATATGGTCATGGCTGAGGTGAGAAAGATGCATCCATACTGCATATTTATAGATATAAGATCGATCTTAAGAAGCTCCAAACTATGAGAAACTAGCTGGTTATTAGATATCAATGCTCAGGAGTTGGTATTAAAAGCTATGCTGGTAGTCCACAAGGTACAATAATAATCAGGACTGAAACTAAACAATGTAATCATAAAGCACAATGTCACGCAACTGCATCCTCTAATGACAGCAGTCCCCACTTGCTGTTGTTATCCAAATCCCAGGGATCATTAGGCAAGGATTACCCTGATGCAAGCCATTCCCAGACCCAAGCCTTGGTAAAGGAAGGCAAGGAGAGATAAGGGACTGCTTCCTCTTTAATTCCCACCACCTGCTTATCACCCCACTCCCATCCCTGCCCTTTTGGCCAACCTGCACAGCTGCTCTTTGGCCAGGTGTCACTGCCCCCTTGTGGTCTCCCTTGTGCATCCCTGATGTCACAATTTTTATCAACTGTTATCACAGTTATTTGATCTAATATTTTAATGGGTTGGCAAGTAAAAAAAATGTACAATACGTTAATTTTGTAAATCTGTTTTGCTTGTGAAGAAACACAGCTATAAAAAACAAGGATCAGCTAAAGTAAATTATTCTCTAAGGAAAAAAATTAAAAATATGGTATTTAAAGAAATATCTTTCTAACAACAGCTATGTCACTTTCTTATAAGACTGCAAGTCAGTATCTTATTTTAGATGTAATCTCACATTTTTCAGTGGGATTTACATTCTAGTAAATATGTTTGCCAGAAGACATTAGTATGTCTCTTCTGGTTTTTTTGCTAATAGAAATACATCGACTTGCTTTGTGAATTAACTCAAAAGAGTATATGCATTAATTAGTTAGAATTGAAGCCACCATACCAGTTTTCTGTAACAAGATAAAGCGCTATTTCTCAGTCCTGGTATCCCATATTTGAACACCTTCCCCAGACTACCCTTATTCATAATATAAATTTAACAAAGATGTCAAAATATTGCTGAAAATGTGCAGACTGTCAAATAAATATTGTAGAAGACATGATAGTGATTGCAGCTTGCTGATTTGCTAGGAGCCTGTTGAACATTATATTAATTGTTCTTCATGTAGGGTGGAATTATGACTCTTTTCTCTTGGTAGTTGGTCAATGCAGGGGAAGATGTCCTTGTGTTCTACAATGACAGAGCCTCATTCCAGACATTGGTGCAAATGATGAGATCAGAACGGGACAGAATGGATGAAAATAGTGCTCTCATGTATCATATCCACTTAGTAGAATTGCTGGCTGTTTGCACCGAGGGCAAAAATGTCTACACTGAAATCAAGTGCAACTCTCTTCTCCCTTTGGATGACATTGTTAGAGTTGTAACCCATGAGGATTGCATACCTGAGGTAACATGCTGTTTTGCTCGCTCCCGCTTGTTAGGCTTAGGTGAACGGCCGGGGATTATGTTTTAATCAGGATGAGGAACTTGATGGAAGCTTTTATACTTTCTTTAATTTGTGGCAATGAAATCTTCATTGCCCTCTCCCCCACTTTCCCCCAAGGACAAGTATCATCCCTCCTTAGGTCAAGGATTCAAATAGGGACAGATTACGGTTTTCATTACAGTTTAAACAAGAGCAGACAATATCAAAGGCTGTTATTAGAAATTAATTCCCTTTTAGTAACTTTTTTTTCTAGTACAACACCAATAAGATGTTTGCCATTTTCACAGATAGCTAAACTAATGTTATGTATGTATGTATGTATGTATGACATTTTCTTCAGTTTGACCTTTGTTTCTTAGAAGGAATGTGTCTATAAGCATTTCCTTGGTAACTATCACACTTTTTAGCCTGATTCACTTCAATCGAGTGAGAAACTCTGTCCCACCTACAAAATGTTGTATTTTTGTATTTTATGGTTTACAGGAATAATTCTGAGCCCAAACTCCTTAGAAAATAAACATGATTGGTGGCAATCTTCTGATTTTTATAAATAAAACTTTATTTTTATAACCATTTTGTACCTATATAATCCATGTTCAATTAAATTCTTTTGATTCTGTTATCATTAAGACTATCATGAATTGTATAATGCTCCAGATAACTCTCTTAAGATTGTAAAAAGAGGCTAGCATGTATGTAGGTTGTACATAAAATGTTATTGTTGTAGCAGGACTAATATTTCTCCTTGATATTTAAGAAGAGGGAATAGCTGTCACCTACCTAATATACCATGGTTTTTATAAGGAATTTTGGATGTTATCTGTTTTAGACTGAAATACTGTACGATTGGCATTCAAATCCTGTTTGAAATTGCTGCAAAAATACTTTTGTTTCTGCTTTCAGTAGTAAATTTCTGCTGTCTCCCAGCTGCCTCACATTTCTTTTTGTGAAAATTCCTTTTGTGAAAAAAAAAATTCTCAAGCATTGTGAAGGCTAACTGCCATATCTTTTCAATCAAGGTCTAAAATGATACGTTGAACTGGTTTGTGGTTTGCAACAACTAAACTAAGATTGATAATGACTAACAGATTAACTAAGCGGGAGAATATTTTATAGAGATAAAAAAAAAGAATGTGGCAAGGAAGAGTTTTATCTCTGAGATTGGAGTTATTTTTTTTTCATCATTGTCCAGATTTATCTGACAGTTTTAATCTATTTTTAGAAGGGTATATAAATTATTTGCTTTATTATCTGCAGGTGAAAATAGCCTATATTAATTTTCTAAACCACTGCTATGTTGACACAGAAGTTGAAATGAAAGAGATTTATACGAGTAATCATATGTGGAAGCTCTTTGAAAACTTTCTTGTGGATATCTGTAGGGTAAGTGTTTGTTACTGGAAATATTAAAGCATAAATCATGCAAGTTTAAAAGAGCCTCGGTGGTGCAGTGGACTAAAGTGCTGGTAAGTGCTAGCACTTACCTGCCAGCTGCCTGCAATTAGTGCAAGTTCGAATCTCACCAGGCTCAGGGTTGACTCAGCCTTCCATCCTTTTGAGGTAGGTAAATTGAGGATCCGGATTGTGGGGGCAATAAGCCAACTTTGTATAAAACAACACCGCTTGGTGGGGCCGAAAGCCCTAATAAGCAGGTATATACAAAAAAGTATGCAGGCTATTGCTATAATGCATTGTAAGCCGCCCTGAGTCTACGGAGAAGGGCGGCATATAAATTGGACTGATAAATAAATAAATAAGTTTCATCTGAATGCTACTTATAAAATGTCTATTTGGAAAGAGCCGGAAAAGTTATATCCATTGTTTCAGGTTCATTATCACTTATATCTTTTATGTACACTGAGAGTTTATGCACTGAAGAAAAATTCCTTGTGTGTCCTATCACACTTGAGCAATAAAGAATTCTATTCTATTCTATGTGAAACATTCTCTGTTATATGGCAATTAGATTTTACAATAGTAATTAATAGCATTCCCTCATGTAATTATAGTGATAATGTCTGTTTAGATTTCTATGTGGGTTTCATATTTTGGAGATTTGCAGCCCTCTAATCCTTCTGTAATTGCCCCAAGCTTCTAGTTTCTAGTTAACTTTTCATGCTGTTGGTTTTCTGTTCTAAGGTAAGCATAGGCATTCTTCTGTGTTGAGAAATTATATTAGAAGCCTTTTTTAATGTTTTTACTGTAATGCCTGTTTTTAGATACTGCTATCTTTGTTCATGTTGGGGAGAAAAGTGATACAAAACAGAACAGAATAGTAGAGTTGGAAGGGACCTTGGAAGTCTTCTAGTCCTACTCCCTACTCAAGCAGGAGACCCTACTCCCTACTCAAGCAGGACTGTCCAATTTCTTTTTAAGCAACTCTATTTTGGTGCACCTACTACTTCTGAAGGCAAACATAACAAGCCCTTTACTTTATCCTATTTCTTAAAAAGGAGGGGTTACCGGTTTACCGGTTCTCCGAACTACTCAAAATTTCCGCTACCAGTTCTCCAGAACTGGTCAGAACCTGCTAAATACCACCTCTGGTATGTGCGTACTTAGGGGAAGTATAGCAATGGAATGCCTTGTTTGAAGGAAACGGTCATCCAGTCATCCTTGTCATCCGTTTCCTTCAAACAAGCCATTCCATTGCTATACTTCCCCTAAGTACGCACATACCAGAGGTGGTATTCAGCAGGTTCTGACCAGTTCTGGAGAACTGGTAGCGGAAATTTTGAGTAGTTCGGAGAACCGGTAAATACCACCTCTGACTGGCGCCGCCCTCATCTATTCTCGGCCTCCTGAGTCCCAGCTGATCGGGAGAAATGGGGATTTTTGCAGTAACCTTCCCCTGGAGTTGGGAAGGAATGGAGATTTTACAGTATCATTCCCCTGCCCACACCCACCAAGCCACACCCACAGAACCGGTAGTAAAAAAATTTGAATCCCACCACTGGCACATACCCTTTTATTTTTCTTTCCAAAAGTTACTTTTGAGGATACTGAGCAGACCCAATCCTCACTGCATGCTAGTGCTATTGGAGTGTGTGCGTGTTAGGGCAATGAAGTGATGTTTGGTTGACAATTGTCAGATTTTTTTCCCCCTACAATCCTAGTGACTACACTTTATTCATTGATAAGTGTGATTTGTAAGTTGGGTTTCTATCCAGCGAACAGTAAGGACATGGATAAAATCAAGTTTTCTTCTTGGAAAAAGTGAATTATGAAATATTTCCTATTATTTTCATTTTGAATGATACATCAAATGCTTGGGGAAAGTGTTGATATGTTGCTACTAGCACACCTCTACTTAAAATTATTTGCTATATAAATTCTGCTATATGGTACATAAGAAACTTAATACTGGTAGTAGATTTTTCCAACATAGGTGCAAAACTTTTTTTTTTCCTTTCTCCAAGAGGCCCTGAAGTTTCAAAAACAAAGGAGTATTTGTATTTTCTAACTTTCAGTCTAACAGTTGGTGTGTTTTTTTCCCTATTCTCCACTAAGCCTCAAAAACTGAAGTGGACATTGTAGCAACATTATTGGTGCTTATAAAAAGTTTTTTTTTTTTAATGCACATCTAGGAAGTTCCCAATTTATGAGCACAATTAAAACCAGAATTTCCATTGCTAACAAGAAAAGACTTATGTCCAATTTTCCAACCTTTTTTTGGGGGGGGCAGGGTTGTTAAACAAATCACTGCAGTTAAGTGAATAATATATATGGTTGTTAAGTGAATCTGGTTTCCCCTATTGACTTTGCTTGTTGGAAGTTGGTTAGAAAAGTGACAGATGGTTGATCACATCACATCACATCACATCACATCACACACACACACACACACACACACACACACACACCCTTCAAGATGCTGCAACCATTGTAAATACATGCTGGTTTCCAAGCCGCCAAATTTTGATCATATGACTTCAGGGATGCTATGACAGTCATAAGTGCAAGGATTGACCATAAGGCACATTTTTCAGTGCTGTTGTAACTACAAATGGTCATTAAATCAATGATTGTAAATTAAGGACTAAGCATTCTCTCCCCAAATGTGATTTACATTCTTTCAGAATTTCTAGAAAAGTTACCTTCCTAGGTATATTAAGTTTAACTGCTTGGTATTTGTGAGAGGATTAGAATTCTTGCATCATTTCGTTTTAACAGATTGCATTATTTTCCAGACTTGCAACAATACCAGTGATAGGAAGCATGCAGATTCTATATTGGAAAAATATGTGACTGAAATAGTGATGAGTATAGTTACTACCTTCTTCAGTTCTCCATTTTCAGACCAGAGCACAACTTTGCAGGTAAGAAGCCAAATTAGAAAACTAAACTAAGATATGCAAAACAAAATGAGATCTATGTTTCTTACTATGATACCCTATTTTGATCTTGGAACCACTTCTGATATTGCTCAGTTATAAATTATGTCGTTTTTCGAGTTGGAAATAATTTCTGGAAAGATTTCTGCCTTCTAATTTTTAATGTTTAACATAATTTTTAGTAATGTTACAGAGCCATCTGCTGGTCATTTAATTGCTTTCCTAGGAGCAAATTCTGTTTAAAAAATATCATCTGCATGGTATTTTTAGTCTAATTTATACACTGACATTATTGAAACATGACTTTTTTCATTGAAATTGAAATGATTGGCACTAACATTGACATTGACATTTCATTGAAATGTCTTAACAAGTTTTACACAAAGTAATAGAACTAGGTTTAAATACTGTAGGTTCCATCCACAGCTTCTGGTAGATTTTATTCCCTATTTTAGGATAGGTATTTTAACTTTACTTGGTAATTTGAAAAACATTGCAATTGCTTCAGTAAGTAATAGCGCAACTATATACCCCAAAACTTCAAGGCAATTTGCTTTTAGAATGCTGTATCTCTGAGTTTCGCACTTTTCATTTTTCATGCTTGGTTGCTTAGCTTCAGACCAACTCTTCACTTCTATAGACCTCTCTCTTTGTTACCTTCCTCTTTTCCTTGGATTGAAATGCACATAATCTTGGTATCTTTTTAGACTCGTCAGCCAGTGTTCGTGCAACTTTTACAAGGTGTGTTTCGAGTGTATCACTGTAACTGGCTCATGCCCAGTCAAAAAGCATCAGTGGAAAGTTGTATCAGAGTACTTTCAGATGTAGGTAAGAAAACTATATTGATTTATTGATTTATTAATCCATTTTCTACCTGCTGCAATCTAAACAGATTAAGTGGATTAGGACAACCACCCCCAAAGTTTATGATAGTACAAAATATGCAATACTATAATAAATACTTAAGCCCACTTGCAACGATGACATGGCTTCATATCAAAAAACGCTCCAGAAATGTTTTATCTTCAGCTTCTTCTGGAAGGTGAATAATTTTGGAATTTTACTGGGGAGCCTTATGTAGGACTGTAATGATTAATCCACATAAGCTCTTTCTCTTCAATACATCTGTCTATCATAAATATCTCAGGGGCTGCCACAAAGAAGAGTGAGTCAAGCTATTCTCCAAAGCACCTGATGACAGGACAAGAAGCAATGGATGGAAACTAATCAAGGAGAAAAGCAATTAGAACTAAGGAGAAATGTCTTGACAGTTAGACAATTAATCAGAGGAACAACTTGCCTCCAGAAGTTGTGGGTGCTCCAACACTAGAAGTTTTAAAAAAGAGATTTGTCTGAAATGGTACAGGGTTTCTTGCCTGAGCAGGGGGTTTGACTAGAAGACCTCCAAGGTCCCTTCAACTCTGTTATTCTAATTCTAAATTCTAATTCTAATCTTGCCATCAAATATTATTCCTTTTTTTTTCTTTTTTAATTTGATTTATATGCTGCCCTTCTCTGGAGACTCAGGGCGGCTTACAATGCGTTAAGCAATAGCCTTCATACTGTTGTATATTTATACAAAGTCAGTTTATTGCCCCCACAAACTGGGTCCTCAATTTATCTACCTTAGAAAGGATGGAAGGCTGAGTCAACCTTGACCCTGGTGAGATTCGAATTTACAGTAATTGCAGACAGCTGGTGTTAATCACAATGCTTTCAGTCTGCTGAGCCACAAGGCCCGAACCAAATTTTCATTGGTTACTTTAAATTAAGGTGTTTTTGTTAATAATTTGAAAAAAAATGAGCATCGGAACATATTTCTACAAGTATTTTTCTATGGAACCACAGCAGTCTAATCAAATATATGCTTTATTTTCACAATTAAGAGCATATATTAGGCATGATAACTCTGTATTACCTTCGGTTATAGAAACTTGTTCTCTTGTGCAAATTGGGAAACAAAGCACAGTAACAGGCTGCGAGATATTCATGTTTGGCTTGGGTTTTCCTTTGCCATGTTTATTTGTCAAATTTAGATACCGCCCATCTCACTGTCTAAATGACTCTGAACAGTTTACAGATGAAACTTTGGTTGGCCGTTATGGGTACAGAATCCTGGACTAAAAGGGTTTTGCCTAATAGAAGCTGCTATAGCGTACATGCAAACCCAGTGATATCAAAAACATGAACAAAAACATTTCTACAAATGTCAGTGTTGCCCATGTAAATTTGCCCTTTCATTTCTCAAGATGCAAATCTGGTTCATATCCTTCTGAAATGCATGTCATTGGCTAAACAAATGATAATACATTATATATTTCAGCAAAGAGCAGAGCGATTGCTATCCCAGTTGATCTTGACAGCCAGGTCAATAACCTTTTCCTGAAGTCTCACAATATAGTGCAAAAAACAGCAATGAACTGGAGGATGACGGCAAGAAACGCTGCTCGGAGAGATTCTGTGATGGCAGCGTCAAGGGATTATCGTAATATCATTGAGAGGTTGCAAGTGAGTATAATATCAATACCTGCTTGTAAGCATTCAGCGGATGTGTGGTTTGTATGAAGAAATAGCATGTCATCCCTTTGAGTGTTCTGCCCCAGCTCCAGATTTCCGAGGATATTGACACACACCAACGATCCTTATCAAATTTATTAAGTAGCAAGAATAAACAAGACCGGCAAAGGTTGGCAACCAGCCCAGAAAACAAGATATGATAAACCAAAATACTCTGATAATAATACAAGTTGTTTCCAGCAAGAACACACTAGCTGCGTCGACTTAAATAGGCTAAGGGAGTGGCCAATTATCCTCAAGCCTTACTCTCGAGGAGACCTCCTCCTCCTGAGTAGCCACTCCTGCCTTTTGGCAGCCCTGCGTGCTCAAGCATTGAGGAGAGGCTCCTCCACTTCGCTCTCTCCACTTGAAGGAGCCTCTGGAGGTTCTGAAGGCCCTGGCTGAGTCTCTGCCTCTGGCACCACATCCTCTTCAGCCTCCTCGCTGTCTGACACGAGCGCCGGTGCGCAGGCTGCTGGTGTGACACCACACCAGCCTCCTCGTTGTCGGGATCAGCCACAATCCGCGCAGGCCGCTGGTGGGCCACAACATTGAGGTAGTCCAGGCAACAAGCACCAACTGTGAATACTGCCTTTATTGTAAAGTTACAGTAACAGAATCTTGCAAGGCTGAAATTAAATCTCCCTCCTTCAACTTCTGAAATGTTTGCCATGCTCCTAATCCTCTAGACCAGGGGTGTCAAACTCAATTTCATTGAGAGCTGCATCAGGGTTGTGTTTGACCTCAGGGGGACAGAGTAGGCATGGCCAGGGTGGGTGTGGCTAGCTCGACGTCACTCATGTCGGGGGTGCCTGTCGTGGCCCAAGCGCTCTGCCAGAAAAAATGGGCTCCTAAGCTCCATTTTCGGCTCCGACGGGCTCCTGCAATCCTCTGCCAGCAAAAATGGAGCTCGGGAGAGCTGCATGCGGCCCTCCCAAAGTCTGTTTTCATTGGCAGAGGCATGATGGACCAGTCCTCTGCTGTTTCCAGGGTGGCCCTGCGGGCCAGATCTAAGCACCCTGTGGCTGGATCCAGGCCCCAGGCCTTGAGTTTGACACCCCTGCTTTAGACTAAACTGCCTTTTATCTGATCTTTACCTAGTCTCCGTCTCTCCGTGTTTTTGACTTTTGCTTAATATTGAAAATAACTGCCTTCTAGCAGTTCATAAGGATCTGAACTAAATACATGTCTTTCAATGGAAGCTGGATACTGATGTCTTATACAAATGGGGCTGATCAAATTGTGGTTATCTCAATAGTTATACACAAAACATTTCACTGGAGAAGCTCCTAATTAGGGCTGTAATCAATCGTGCTCAATTCTAGGTCATTTTATTGCATTTATGTTCCTCAGCCCTTCAACTCCTATATTCACCTCAGTCTTCTTTCAACTATTTTTTCCCCTGTATTTTCTCTTTTCCATTGCCCATCTTATTTTGGCGACACAATGTTTTCACTTCTGGTATGTAATAAATGCTATTAATATTAGTAGAAAATGCCTATTTTGCTGTTTATAATGTCCATTTACAGATTTTAGTAAGCAAATGTTCGCAGTGTTGTGTTGTAAGTACTTAGTGTTTGTAACCTTAAAGAAACCTATTTCTGTTAACAGTGAGAAGAGAAATGTGGAAACAATGAAATCTGTCTCTGCAGGTTCCCATTATAATGTATTAATCTTGTTTTAATTAAGCATATTCTTATTTTATTGGCATAATTGTTTTTAAAAAGTACTTGTCTGTATGCTTTGTCCATGTAAGTTTCAAACTAAATATACACTAAATATACTTCAGGATATAGTATCAGCTTTGGAAGATCGCTTACGACCACTGGTCCAAGCTGAATTATCTGTATTGGTGGATGTCCTTCATAGACCAGAACTGCTGTTCCCAGAAAATACAGATGCTAGAAGGAAATGTGAAAGTGGAGGTTTTATCTGCAAGTAAGTTGAGGGTCAGCATTTTCTTTATTATTTTAAAACAATTCTTGCTCTCTTCTAAGCTGTTACTATAGGTTAGGGCAGTGTTTCTGAACCTTGGAAGCTTGAAGATGGGTGGACTTCAACTCCCAGAATCCCCTAGCCAGCGCTGCTGGCTGGGGGATTCTGGGAGTTGAAGTCCACCCATCTTCAAGCTACCAAGGTTCAGAAACACTGGGTTAGGGTATATTGATCTTATTTTGCTATCAATTTGTTATCATGCTTTCTTTCTGTTTTTTTGTAAGATTCTAGTAGCTTTCCACATGGATCTGCTGTTACTGAAGCTGGTACTAATGGCTTTTGGAAGCAGAAAGTAATTTTAATAAAATTGTACTACAGATCATGTGCCATTACACAGTACTTAATGACTGGATTCATATTTTGCATTAGTCATTGTTTGTTTAAGCCACAACAGCATCATTCACACCGTACGCTAAAACAATCATATACAAACCACATTGTAGATTAGCATGTTATGTGAATTAGGCCTTGGTGTCCATCTTATTTATTTAGAAAATGACAATATTATTTATTTATTTATTTAATATAATTTGTATGCCGCCCTATCTCCGTAGGACTCAGGGCGGCTCACAACAAATAAAAACAAACCCAATAGAACATAAAATACATAAATATGCATAATTTAAACATAGATTAAAACCCATTAAAATAATCAAAAACCCTCTCAGTCCAGGCTGGGCAAAGTGAACAGCCATGTTTTTATTAGGAATATTAGGTAGGAATCTCTCAATCCTGTTAGAAAATATGTGTGACATCATAATGTGGCGTATTAAGTTTTCTCATCCTCTTGATGTAAAAATGCAGCATGCTATTTATATTTGCTGGACTGCATGGAATCTTGTCAAGAAAACATAAGAATGATTTCTTCTGTTAGCAACCACAACTATCTGGTAAAATTTATCCTTCGTTTAAGTATGAGGATCCTCGTTAAGTTTTGCTAGTGAACGTAACAAATGCTCCATTTTGAAAAATATGTTTATTCCTAATTTTAAAACGTTTTGTTAGGAATGAATTAATGCTTTCTTCAGAAATCCTTGTAAAATATAACAATGTGTTGTAGTTTTTTGTTTCTGATCTACCATCTCAGAACCTCCTAGTTCTTAAGCCATGAGAAGCAACTTGTATTTTATGAAATAAGCTACAAATATTGTTGTTCCATGACAGAGCTGCTTAATTTTAGTTCATTTATTCCATGTTTGTGCAACTTTATTTTCTCAGAGCAAATTATACTGCACTTCAAAGCTTTCTATTTAGAAGGGGTATGGAACAAAGTTTATTTATTGCTTCACATATATATCTGTAAAAACTATGCTTTGAAGGGGAAAATAATAATAATATGGTTGTCTTTTGGACAATTGGTTTTTTCTATCACCTTTAATGCAAATATCTACAAATGCCTTCCTAATTGAGTAGACATTCTAGTTCTGAAACAAACTGTGATCAATTGGTTGTTTTCAGGTTAATAAAACATACTAAGCAGCTGCTGGAAGAGAATGAGGAGAAACTTTGTATTAAAGTTTTACAGACACTCAGGGAAATGATGACCAAAGATAGAGGCTATGGAGAGAAGGTACTTTGATTTATAGTCTACTGTTTTGTCTTTTATTCTGTCTTTTCTTTTCTTTTCTTTTCTTTTTTTTTTGCAGCGTAGTTGAAGAAATGGCAGCATGGATTCTTTATCATTGTTGCACTTATTTTTTAAAGTTGAAAACAATGGCATACACAACTGAATTGCTTATTACTTCCAGTTCATTTTAATAGGACAACAGACTTCTAAATTCTGCAGCGTCTCTTTTCTTCACCATTGAGGATAATGGATTATATATTACTTAAGTATATTACATATTGCTTATTTGGAATGGTGTGGTGGCCTAGAGGCGAAGACAGTCACCTCCCACTTGGAAGGTTGAGAGTTCAATCCTAGGCAGTGACAGATGTTTCTCTCTCAGGGCACAAAGAGAAAATATCTGCTGTGAATTCTGCATAAGCATCAGGAAGGGCATCTGGCCAGTAAACATTTAGTTCCATTCAGTTACCCCGATAAAAGGGATTACAGGGTCATAAAAATACTAAATAGCTTTTAATCACTTTGGTAACAGAACATCATTAATAGAAAGAAGAAACTCTGTTTTTTGAGGGTTGTGGTCTAGGCATTTTTTGTCTTCAAAATTTGCTTTCTAGCTCATTCAATAAACAAATTTTGAAGAGGCAGAAATATGCAATCACTAACCCTCCAGATATCTATTTACAAAGCAGTTGAGCTTCAGCAAAATCTGGAGGATTATAGATTCCCCATCTCTGTATTCATTCAATTGTAGATAATCTAATCTCATACTGATGCTCAGGAACCTGACATTCCAAAATGGATTCTTTTTTTACTTATTGATATAAAACATGTCTTATATAAACCTTATGGATATATAAGCCTAGGAGACTAGCATTTATTCCAGTACAGGTTTGCATAAGAAGTGTTGGCACTTATAAAAGCACCAGCATAAATGACATTACCAAAATTCTTCACTGGCTGAAATGAAAAAAAATTGAGATGGAAAAGATATCGCATTTTCTTATCAGGTCTGAGCAACACCTAGTCCTGGGAGACATTCTCCCATCTACTTTCCTATATTGTTAAGTGGCATGAATGTGCAGAAAGGGTGGCATGGGGGTTTGCTTCCCTTCGTTATTGCCACAGAAAACCAAGTTAGGTATCCTAGGAAATTGGGAACAATGCATTAGCTTAGAGCAGCTGAAGTTGAGAACTATATCTCCCATGACACCCTGTCATGCTGCTGCTATGGGAGAGGAGAAAAACAAAACTATCCAGTCTTATCCCTGTGTTTGCTGCTGATTGGATGGGCAGTAAAGACAGATGGGAGTGTTTATTGGCCTTAAAATTTAAGGCTCGTCATATCAAGGCGTATTTTCTTCCAAGAAATGTAATCTGACTGCTGTAAGTATAAAGGAGATGGCCAAATAACTCTGGGTTGAATGGCTCGATAAATCAATTCATTTTGCCTTTTGAAAATTTCCCTTTGGTCCTGAAATTGTTGTGGTCCAAAGAGTTCCACAGAGGTGGAAGAATATATGCCCAAGTTGATTGGAGAACCCATGAATAGAGTTAAATGACCTGACATGATATATGCAAAAAAAAAAAAAAAAAAAAACCACCCTCATCTAACTGGATGAATTCTAGGTCTATGTGCACTTGTGATAAAAGAGTCATGATAAACAAATTATATTGAACTACCCAATCATTTAACTGCAAAACTTTTATGTGACTAAAAAACAATCAAAGAATAATATATAGGGAAAAAAAGTGACAGCAATGTTTTCTAAGAAATCTTAATTATTGATCTGTTAAGCTGGAAAGGACTTAAGCCATCAAGTTATTTGCAGAAAGTATCAAAACGGTATTTTGGCAAAAAAAAAAAAAAATCTCTCTGAACACATGAATGTGGTAATCCCAAACCAGGGGTGAAATGCTACCGGTTCAGACCAGTTCGGATGAACCGCTAGTAATAAAGCTACCGGTTCAGGCGAACCGATAATTAAAAAATGCTACCGGTTCGAATGAACCAGTATTTCGATGATCAGCTGTGCCGCGCAATTTATAATTGCTAGAAAGCAGGAAATCCTGCTAATCTAAATCACATGGCACAGCTGTTTCCCCCCACCCACTGTTCTACTTACCTTAGAAAAGGCTTCTTAAGCCTTCTTTTTCAGCTCTGCACGGTAGCGCCTGTGGTGTGCATGCATGCAAAATGCGTGTTTGAAGCACACCGCGCATGTGCGCACACAGCGAACCAGTAGCAGACCTCAAACAATTTCACTACTGTCCCAAAAACTCTAAAAGGAACCCAAAGGTGCTTTTTCAAGAGGCAAAAGAAAGCACCTTTGGGACAACCCTGAGCTGGATGACTGAGAATCTCGATAGACACTCTAAAGGGAAGTTGCTATGAAAATCTGTAAATCTGTTCTAAGGCCCTTAGGTAGTGAAAAGCAAGAGACAAATCAACAGGTCATATTGCTAATGGAGATCTAAGTGCACTTTAGGATCTCAGAAGCAACCCAGAACAGCTGTGTATATATTAGGAGGCTCTCTAACATGAACTGCTTTTAGTTTACAGAGAAGGGTATTTATACATTTCACACTTTTCATAAACAGTTGTCTGGAACATGTCTAGTTTAATCAGCTGTCTAAGATTGAGCCAATGCCCAATATTTAAAATGCATTTCCTTAAAGTTCCCAACAGAAGAGAATCAGAAGATCAGTTAGGAAGGGACAGTTTTCTTTTATATTTGTCTACTCCCGCAGTTGTAACTGTGACTGGTGATCATAAATGTCAATTTAAGCTTTAAAGAGAACATAGATATGGCTCAATGAAAGAACGTATTCACAACTGCAGCCTTTCTGAGTCTTAGCCATGCTCAAATGAAGGCAGTCACCTATGCAGATGGCCCTTTTCCTTTCCTTTCTAGCTACCACAATTGAAAAATAGTTTTGTTTGTGTGTTACACGGATGCTTCACTAGGAGCTCCTGATACCTTGAAGCTCCAAGGTTATGAGGAGAACAATTTGAAGCTCCATGCAATTAGTATGGAAAAACCTCTAAGAAAAACAGTTAATGAGCAGAAATGTTCATAGGAGATGGGGAGAGGGGTGTCAAAATGGAAAAGAAATGATACCAAGATTGATATGAAAACTAACATGGCATCTCACATTGGCAGCAATCTACTTTCATTCTTTGCAGGAAGAAAAGAATACACACCAATTGTGCGGCTAACCATTTAGCTAATTTTCAACCTGATTCTGCTTTATCAAAGTATAAACCTACTATATTGTGTGCTTCTTTGAATTTATTTAGAAATAATAATTACTATTTTTTTCCTGAAACATATTTATTTCACTTAATTATTTGTATGAAATGTTATTCTAGTTTTTTTTCACTGGCTGATGAAAAAGTGCAAACAAATTTACCCAAGTAAACTGATCAGTGTACCCTTTAAAACAAGTTTGTTGAATGTGGATTTTGGTGTTCTTGCTGACTGCGATTTGTTTTTATATCAAGAAAAAACAATATTTCCCCAGGTACCTGGAAATCTGAGCTGCAGTTTTATTCTGAATATACAGATGAAATTAAATTGTTATGTTTGTTGTACATAGACTTTCCATGAGTTGCATTGTACTGAATCAAGCCAATGAGCAATCTGTATGAAGTAAGGAAGAAATATGCCCTGGGACTCTCAGAAGGATGGATTGATTATATTAATTTTTAACACAGAGTTTACAAACTACCAAGTGGCTGTGGGTTATTGGGAGTATGCTTCCAGCATCTACTCAGTCTAATAATATTAAAACTAGATGTTTTGGGATAAGATACTATAGAAATGGTACCATAGGGGGCTATACAATATCCAATCCCAAGACACCTGGTTTTACTATTATTAGACATAGTGGATATCAGGGTTCCAATAACCCCCCCCCCCAAAAAAAAGACTCAGAGGCCAGAAGTTCCTCAAAGTTCCATTTAATTAGAGATGTCATATTGACACATCTGGGAAAACCTGAATCTGAAAGCTTCCAGGTTTTCCCCACCCAACAGAAAGTCCAAGTTCCTTTCCCTGCCCATCACATGGTCCAATCAATGCACCATCCCAACTGAAGATGCCTCCCAGTCACGCCACTCCAGGTGCTGGCCGAATGTCCTTGACTCTCAGAGAAAGGAATGTTATTATGGCTAGATATCTCCACCACTCCATGCAATCCTCCCTCCCAGGTTCCCACAGCACTAAGTGTGGCAGCCCTGAAGATCCAAAGAAAAAGATGGCCTCCAGAGCTGACAAGGATGCTGAAAGCATCCTCCTAATACAGGTACTCCTTGACTTCAACCACGATTGGTTGTGTTAAGTTTCTGTTGTTAAGTGAGACATTTATTAAGTGAGTTTTGCCCCATTTTGCTACCTTTCTTGCCATGATGGTTAAGTGAATCACTGCAGTTGATAAATTAGTAATCTGGCTTTCCCATTGACTTTGCAAAAGGCGATCATATGACCTTGGGACACAGCCACGGTCAAGAATATGGACCAGTCACCAAGCATCTAGATTTTGATCACATGATAATGGGGATGTTTCAAAGCTGTAACTCTGAAAAACGGTCACAAGTCACTTTTTTCAGTCAGTACTATTGTAAATTGAGGTCTATTCTGTAACCTGTAGCCACTTGATAGTTTGTGCACTAACTATAGTAAAAATAGTATATTATAATCAGTTAATTGTCTCACTGAAAAGTTTACATGCTTTAAAAAAAAGTTATATGAAACAACAAGGAATATTAATGCTTAATGATACAGGGGTGTAAAATAGGGGTGTACAGCCATATTTTTCAAGACACAGTTAGGTTTATCCATATCTGATAAAGGATCATATGTCGTGCTAACATAGGCTAGTATGTCAAATATATTTATATTTAGTGTTGTATTCAGGAGAGAGGATGAGGGTTTATTTTTATCAACAATCTTACAAAAAATCTGGGTTGAAAGAGTGAAAATTATGATTCTCAGTGTCTATAATTATTTGCCATTTCTCTTTCATTAATATTTATTTCCAAATTCTTTTTGTCTCCCTCTTGTTTTTCTTTTTAGCTGATTGCACTTGCTGACTTGGATAATGCTGAGGTTTTGAATTTCTTACTTTATTGTTTCTTTAGTCTTCCCTGGTGGTATCCTGAAGTCACTAGCCATGTAGTATGTCGTGCTGTCTTGTCGGTGTTTATGTATTGTGGTTCTGACGTTTGTGCTAGTGATGTAGTGGAGTGTAACTTGTCATGCCGTGAACTATTTAATTTTAATTGTGTATATTGTTTTCCTCCAAGAGTATTGTCTGAACATATTTTTGGATTCAGTCATGTGGTGTTCCTTCAAATGGTAGAACACTGAATGGATGACTTTCCAATGCAATATAAATGAAGACATTTAAACATTTCACATTCTGTTGTGTAAGAATTCTTTGAACTTAGAATTGTTACTGTGCAAAGATGAGGCAATCAAATCTTGAATCTCAAATTTGCCACTCTGTACAATTGAAAGAAAAGATGGCACATAGAATTAAATGCTGTTTTGTGTAGTTTGCCTGGTTAATTTTTTTATGGCAGTTTAATTTCTATAAATCAGCAGTTAAAAGTCTGCTATGATCTATAGTTGTTTCTTCTAACTGAACATATGATCCTAAGACATACATGGGAATATGTATACTTTCTTTGCAGTTAGACTATCTGACACTAGAGAGTATGCACTTTCTAACACAGAGAAGTAGAAGCAATGGTTTGCATGTTCTCCATACATGGCCCATTGATTAGCTCAAGTTAGCTTTGTCTTTGCTCTGCTGGATTTTCTACCGTCAAAATTCCACTCATAGTTTATAACCATCATTAACATATGATCAGATGCTGCTCCATGAAGATATTAGTATCAGAGATTTTGGGGTTTTTTTGGTATTACAAATATCGTGGGAAAGAGCATAAATTAGGTGGAGTAGTTGGTCAAGTACTTCAGTACTTTGTTTTATTTTACTGAATTTTGTCAACTAAAACTAATTCTCTTTTAAAGTGGTTTTATTGTCTCCAGAGTAATTTAAACCAAACTCATTTAGCTTCAGGGTGTCGAGAAGTACACTATATTACGAACCTGTGAACATATACGTGGAATTTAAGCTGTTTGTTTTTACTTAGATTATCTGTCAAATGAAATGGCTTTCACATATTCTGACTGGTTTTGCATTAAATCAGGATTGAGATCAAGCCCAGTTTAGAATTTAGCCCTTGATTAGCAGTGAAAACTTTGTTGGCTGATTTCAGTGGAAGGATTCCATGCTAGCAGCAGGTGTGTTTATAAATATAGGAAATGAACACTATCTGTTTATTAAAAGTGTCTTCTGGCAGGAGTTTGCATTCCCTGAAACTTTTCTCAGGAAGCACAGTGTTTTCTTTTTCTGCCAGCCAATTTACAAACACATGGTACAAAGAAAGAATTCCCTTTTTAAAACTCATATTCTGGGTCCAGTGAGCTTCTACTATTAAGGAGAAGAATAAGAACATTACAGTTCTTCCAGAGAAAAAACATGCTTGTGATTGTGACGCATGTTTCTGCAAAAGTTGTGTTTCTTCAAAAGGAATTAGAGATAAAGTGGGCTTTTTGTAACCATTTTGTTAAAAATGACACTTTAAAAGTAAAGTGCATACTGAAATGCTCTGGATAAATTTATTATTAAACCAAACTGGTGTGTGAGAGAAAATGAAAAACAAAAATACAGTAATTCTTTAAAAAAAAACCAAAACAGGGCAGAAATATTTAATTTCATTCTTAGAACTGGTCAAGATTTATAATACAGTACTTCTCAAACACAGCTCCCGAAAAAGTAGCTGAGTTTTATTCATCTGAATGTTTCAAGTATTCTTAAGTACCAAAAAAGTATTAAATAAGATACTGTCTCTCTCAGTCTCTCACACCAACTTACTTAGTAAAGGATGTTTGGAAATTACAAGAAATTTATAGCTTTTTCAGAAAGAGAAAAGGAAGACTTACCCTGTTTTCTCAAAAATAAGACCTCCCCGGATAATAAGCCCAACTGAGCTTTTGAGCGCATGCGCTAAAATAAGCCCTCTCTGAAAATAAGCCCTCCCCCAAAATATTTAAACACATGCACAGCTGGTCCTTGCCATTTCCTCTGGTTAGGGTTAGGGAGACAGAGCTGGAAATCAGGTAAGACGGCAAGAAGAGCCCCGTCTTGCTCCACACGCCCCAAAATAATAAGACCTCCCTGAAAATAAGGCCAAGCACATATTTTGGGGTTCAAAAAAATATAAGACAGGGTCTTATTTTAGGGGAAACACGGTATTAGCCAAAACTTTCTCTTCTTCATAACCGACCTTTTAATCCTATACGGATTTTTAAAAAACTTCCTATGTTCAATATTGTTGTGGTCTCGAACTAGATTGCGTAGCTGCAGTGTCACGCACATCGCATCAAGACCACAACTATTATAGTGTCATCATTACCCTGCTCGTGCATTTATCCCAGGTAGCCTGTTTATTTATTTATTTATTTAGAAAGACCTTATTTATAAAAGTGGTATCCATCACACACTCGTTCACCGTAATGCTTCATCTTAAACTTCGCCAGAAGGGGGCACCCTAATGATGCTGAAGAAACTTGAGAGATGTCCTACTTTGCTTTCCCTCCCTCCCTTCCTCCTACATTGCAGTGAACTGCTCTGTTGGACATCTGCCAGCGTTCAGGCAGCAGTTACATAACAGGCAGCTTTTTTTTTTTTCCTGGAATTTAGGCTCTCTGCTGATGTGTGACCTTCAGCAGTAATTGCCAATAGAATGTGGTGGAGCTGTTTACTGTTCAGTCCAGACTGTGGCTGTCAGTATCCCAGACTGCACTGGCAGATACTGCGTCTGAGTGGATGTTAATTCTTTTTTTTTTTTTAAATAACAAAATAAAAGGCTAGCAAAAGCTAAAGAAGCATAAAGAAAGAGCTGGGCCCAAAGCTTCAATATCCCTTTAGTGCATATGCAAAAACCTACTTATCAGAGGGATTTCCCCCCACCCACCTACCCAAAAATCCATGTCAGTTAAGATTGTATTAAGTAAAAATCATTAGGAAGCAGGAGGAAAAAAAATTAAGATAAATATTTTAGGGTAAAATATACCCCGATTGATTTTTCCTGAAAACAGTGGATTGCAGCATAGACGTTATTAGCCTTGTCTGCTATCATCCTCTGCGGACAAATAAAGTTTCCCTCTTACTGTTTGCCTATAAACTATTGTCTCCTTGTACCTGTAGAAGACAGTCCTGCCAGAATAAATTATGGTAACAAAGAAAACTCTCACAAGAGAAGAAGGTGTAAGGGGGCATTTTTGCTGCCTGGTAATTTTGACTGCAGTTCTTTCACGTAGGGAAAGCTTTTTATTCCTTGCTCCCCAAATGAGTGGAAAAGAAAAAGAAATGCACATCAGACTGAGACGAAGAGTTTCTTTGTATATTTTTCTCTGTTTCTGACAGGTACACTGAGTCTTAACATGTGTATTTAATAAAAACAACAACAACAAACTTTGCAAAGCAGTGCACAGTAGTATTCACCAATGCTGAAAGGCATTCACTGATTGCCCAATTTTTTTCCAGTCTCAAATGAAGCAGCCGGTTTTAGATGTAAATTGCTTAAGGCCTACCTACCTTAGGAGCTGCCTCTCTAATGATTTGTAAGAAAAGATGTAATTCATCTCTTTTAACTTGACTTTTAAACTTGACTTCAGGGGTGTCAAACTGGATTTCTTAGAGGGCCGGATCAGCATTGTAGTTCTCTATGGGCTGGCCGGGGGGGGGGAGACGAGACAGATGCTTCCTTCAGCAACCTGCTGGCCAAAATAGGGTGTGGGGGGCTGTGCATGGCCCCCACACCCCATTTTCTGCCTGGACAGCCTCCTGTAGCCTTTGCTAGCCAAAATGGGGCATGGGGGGGGCCACTCGCGCTCACTGCACCCCGTTTTGGCCCACAAAGTGCTGCAGGAGGCCATCCAGGCAGAAAATGGGGCACCATGGGCTGGTCCTTTACTATTTCCAGGCTGGCCCTGCGGGCCAGATTTAAGCACCCCACGGGTTGGATTCAGCCCGTGGGCCTTGAGTTTGGCATACCTGCTTTAGTTGTTTTAACTGTATAGTTATTATATACCACCATACAATAGAGAGGCAGAAAGGCAATACAGAGATATTAGTACAGGATGACTCAGAATAAAAAGTTAAATAAGCCCTAGATGAGTTGCAACCTTGCTGGGTACCAGTACTTTAAGGAAGCTGGCCAGAGTGGGCATGAGAATAACTCCAGGTGTGCTATTCAAATTGCACTGCTTTAAGAATATACTGTTCTCATTTTAAAGGTCACTCTAAATTAAAGAAGAATGAATCAGGCTTGTGATTACCTTGTATTTATACAGCCAGGTCCCAGTAAAACAAAAGCATTGGTACACGGATTGAAGGTGAGATATTCTAATAGTTTGAGGCAGATTTAGAGAGATGAATTTTTAAACATTTTCCAATCCACATATTTTAGCAGTTCTCAAACTATGAATTGAGAAACCCCTGGAGGAAGTCTTGCAAATTTGGAGACTGTTCTAGTTTTGTTTAAAAGCTAATTGGACTGACAAAGCAAGAGGTAGTCCACAAATACTCAGGTCTTTCCTCTTTATTTTGCCCATGCAAAGCCCAAGGACAGTTGCGAAACCGCAGAATAGAGAACTAGTGATTATAGATTAATATTATTTATTTATTAAAAGAAAGTGATGCTTTATTTCCTAGCATAGACCTAACCCCAGTGAAAGCATTTGTTTTACTTCTGGGGTCTTCTCATACAAGGCCATGTAGGGATCACAATTCCACAAAATTTGAGAATCCTGATTTTAAAGCAAACTTGCCCCGTAGCTTCACAAGCTGTATGCTTAATAACTTATACTATTAAATTGATGGTCAGCATTTCACATTTTGCTCTTGCAGAATGGAAAATCCTTGTATGAATATTGCAAAAAATATTGAAAACTACAATGTAAACTCAACATAAAAAATTAAACTGCAGTAAACATTACAATACAATGGTGTCAACCAGTGGTCGGTTTCTACCGGTTCACCCCAGTTCAGGCAAACCAGTAGTGGCGGTGGAAGGAGGCTCTGCCCACTCACCCGGATGTCAACACAGATGCTCCACGCATGTGCAGAAGTGCCATGCGCGAGCGAAGTGACCACGTGCACGCTCCCAATTCCAAACCAGTAGCAAAGTAAGTAGAACCCACTACTGGTATCAACCCACCTTGGGCAATATTATCTCTCAAAAGCTCTATAGTATAACTCTGTTGGTAGTTTTTTGGAAGGACGTCAAAGTTAGTTCCAGCATGATCTCTGGATGAAGGTTGTTCCATTAATTGGGGGATGTTTGCAGCTGTATTTAAATAGAGTATTTAAATTTACATTTCTCTTTCTCATACAACTGCAGCGGAAATGCAAACTTAAAAAAATTAAAGAATAGTGCAGAAAAAAAGAAAAGAGAAATGACTTTACCCTTTAAAATTGTAAACAATTTTAGTAACTTATAACCTTTTCTTAAAACACAGCAAATGATCTCTCTTCTCATCTCCCATCTCTTATCCATACACATATTTTTAAAAGCCTCCTTCTTTCAGTCCTGATTCAACAAAAATCCATTGAAGGTTGCCAGAATTAACAACATATCTATTTTAATCTTGATCAATCAAATTTAGATTCCTTCCTTTTGCTTTTAATAATCTTGATCTTTAAAGTCTTCAAATAATGCCTAAGAATTTGATTTATTTTCATTTGTTCCTTGTCCCTTCTCAAAATGTATCTTCAAAGCTTTAATCAGTTTATTTTCCAAATCCAATATAGAAAAGAAATGCAGGTCATTTTTTTTGTTTGTTATTTATATATCCCTTTTAATTACTAAGATATCAGCTGCTTTCCTTTGTATATCCAGTGTAGCATTTTTCCCCATATCATTCTTGTAGCCTGTCATTTTTAAATCCACTTTCAGATCCCCCACATTCTTGTCCAGCATGTCATGTCTGTCTACCATAACATGTCTTAAACACAGTATGTCATCTTCTACTTGAAAGTATATATCACATAATTAGCAGACGTCTGTCAGACATTCATTGGATTGTTTCCCAGCTGTTATGGGAACTATGTTACTGTAAATTACTTGTATAGCTGGGAGACCACGTTGAAGCATTTGTCCCTGAAAATTGTAATTAATGATAAATTTCTGCATAACAACACAGGGGTGTCTTCTTTCGTTGAGATTGCTATGAGACTGTAAGACAAACGTTGCTCTGAAATGATTTACGAGGTCTTCATTAGCTACAAAAATGGCTGCAACTATGTTATTTAATAATGTGGAGAGCTAGTGTGATACAATTAGTTCTTGACTTACAATCACAATTGACCCCAATGTTTCTGTTGCTAACCAAGACGGTTAAGTGAGTTTTGCCCCATTTTATAATAGCAATAGCACTTAGACTTATATACCGCTTCATAATGCTTTACAGCCTTCTCAAGTGGTTTACAGAGTCAGCATTTTGCCTCCAACAGTTTGGGTCCTCATTTTACCCACCTCGGAAGGATCGAAGGCTGAGTCAGCCTGAGCCTGGTGAGATATGAACTGCCAAATTGCAGTTAGCTGCCAGTCAGCAGAAGTAGCCTGCAGTACAGCATTCTAACCTCCTGTTAAGTGAATTACAATAGTTGTTAAATTAGTAATACAGTTGTTAAGTGAATCTGGCTTCCTTATTGACTTGCTTGTCAGAAGTTTTCAAAAGGTGATCACATGACTGCTGTACACTGCAACCATCATAAATACATGCCAGTTGCCAAGCACCTGAATTTAAGCACATGACCAGGGGATGTGGCAACTATCATAAGTGTCAAAAACAGTCCTAAGTCACTTTTTTCAGTGCCTTTATAACTTCGACTAGTCACTAAGCAAACTGTTGTAAGTTGAGGACTACCTGTACTATAAGATGTTGAACTAGAATTTGGTAGGTCAAACTCATTTTCAGCTAGAGAAATTTCACTGGATGATTTTGGGCTAGTCATTCTCTCTCGCCCAGTTTATTTCACATGGTTATTATTATGGTGGATACTGGGAGGAAAAGAATGTAAAATAGGTTCCTATCAAGTCCTACAGGAAAAACAGGGTAGAGATCTAAGAGTTAAATAAATAAAATCTGACTATTTGATGACTCTGTGAGTGTGTGTAAAATCTATATAATAATGTAGATTATTATATAATAGGTGTGACATTGATAGTCTAAACAAGTTTATCACATTTAATATTTAGTAATTTTACTCATATATTTCTGTCTTCCTAGATTCTACATGGTTTACAGACATAAAATTCCATTTATTTAAACACTACCAAAAAGGAGGAGGGGGGAAATAGCATGACACAAATTTAGTTAGAAATTATTTCAGAATTTAACTAATTGGCAATAAAACTATTTTTTTGTTCACATCTTGTGTATTGTATCCAATTAGATTCACTTAATTACTGGAGGGTGTTCACCATTGAAAAAAGGATAATTTGTGGTTAATTTCTCCCCAGTAAAAACTTTCTTTCTAAATTACTTTAATATGAGGTCTTTGGGCACATTCATTTATTCACTGAGCAGTGTTTGTAAATTGTCTCAATCTATACAATATTTTTCCAAACTATTTTGTGCTTACATATGTGCACCTGTAGATATAGGATTTTCTTGATGGATTATCATTCAAATGAGGGATATAACTACTTAAACCTTGTATATTTTAATTTTTTATGTACATTAGTCATATCAGCACCGTACTGTTATTATTGTTTAATGTTATTTATCTTCACTTGTGTGTCTTAGCCATGCATTTAAATGTAAAGTTTTCTGTTTTAATATTTGCTTTTAAACAGCTGCCTAAGTCACCTGAAATGGAAAACGATATAGAGGTGTGTCACTTATTCACCTATATTTGTAAAATGTAGAAATATTGGTGATCTTGAAAATAGCTGTGGTTGAGCATAGATCTGTGTTTTGGGATATTTGAAATTTTAAACTAATTGTTAGATATTATTCAGTGACCCTTATATGTTTTATCTCTTAGTATTTGAACCTACCATGGAGATGACCACTAAAATTAATGAATTAAAATTAATGTACATTATTTTAAAAGTGTAAAATCATTGCAAAATAATTATGCAGTGATAGAACTAGAAATTTAAACCTTAGTGCATGTAAATATGTGTGTATTTACTTATCAAAAGTAGATCTGAAAATAAATTTCAGATTTATTTTGGTTTATCAGAAATTTCACCCTGAATATTGCAGACATTAATCACAGTAATTTCCATCCTAACATAATTTCCAATTAGGAATTTGGAGTTTTAAAAAAAAGGATTAATTGACTATAAAGTCATTTTTCAACTCTTAGTGACCATAAAAATCTATCTCTGACCCTTTCTTTCAAGATGAATACCCATAGCCACTATAATTGAATCCATCACTTTTTTGCTGGTTTGTTGTTTTCTATTTCCTTCCAATTTCCCAGCATTAGAGCTTTTTCCAGAAAGCTGGATGTTTGCATAATGTGTCTGGAATAGGATAATTTAAGCCTGGTCATTTGTTCAATGATCTATCAGTTTGTTTTCTTGGCTGTCCATGGTGTATTCAGGAATCATAAAATTATAGGGTTGGAAAAACCTTGGAAGTGTTCTAGACCAGCCCCTGCTCAGGGCAGATGACATATACCAGGGATGGCTAACCTTTTTGCCATTGCGTGCCAAAAGTGGGAGTCGTGTGGGAGTGTCGCATATGTGTGTGCCCACACCCATAATTAAATGTGCCCCACCGCGCATGCGCGTGCAACACCCCCCCGCACTTCCCCCACTTTTGGCACATGATGGCACAGTGGGCCCAGTAGGCCTGTTTTTCGCTCTCCCCAGGCTCCAAAGGCTTTCTTGGAGCTTGGAGAGGGCAAAAACGGCCTTCCCCACCCCCTCCAGAGGCCAGAAACAGTCTTTTCCCCGACTTCTGGTGGGCCCAGAAAGCCCGAAAATCAGGTGGCCAGCGCACACATGTGCGCTGGAGCTGAACTAGGGCAATGCTCGCGTGCCCACAGATATGGCTCCGCGTGCCACCTGTGGCACGTGTGCCATAGGTTCGCCATCACGGACATATACCATCCCAGTCAAATGATTGTCCAGTCTGTTTTTGAAAATCTCTGGTGATGAAGCAACCACAACCACATGAAGCAAGCTATTCCATTGATTAATTGTTCTATCAGAAAAAAATCTCCTTACTTCTAGATTTAATATCTCTTTAACAAACTTCCACCCATTATTTCTTTTCCTGCCATCTGGTGCCTTAGAAAATAAGCCAACCCCTCTTCTTAGTGACAGCCCCTCAAGTACTAGAAAACAATTATCATTTAAAGACATCAATACCCTTCTTATCTTTCTTCTATAAAGTCTTTTACTTCCATAGAGATTCATAGGGAATATCATGGCACAATTCTTACCTTTGTAGGTATAGAAAAAAAAATTCTGCAAGTTAGCAGATGCTACAGAATATCTATGTGCAATAGAGACAGATAATATATTTATCCCATCTTCTAATTATTGTAGTAACTTTGTAGGACATGTCAGTGTATTTAATTCAAGAACATATATTACTGTAAGTTTATAAACACAATTAACTCTACTAAACATACTGATTTTTTTCTCTGCAATGACCTTGTCCTCCTTGAACACACATTCCTACACTCTTGACCAGAAAGACTCTTGACCAGATCAAGAACATGATCTTTCATTACTTCACATTAAAGAAATGTACCATAGGTACAAATGTCTAAGCTCTTCCTGTTTTTGTTTTCTAGAGATGTTAATTTGTGTTAAATAATAACAAAATGATATTCACATTCACTTTTACTTCTAGATTATCACTGATTTTTCCAAAAGCCTGAAATATTGTCTAAAACTCCATTTGAAATTCTGCTTCTGATTCAGACATATGTTAAACTTTAGTTAATGTTATATACATGACAGACAACGAGTCTCAGGTGTAAGTGCAGTCCTTCAGAAAGTTAAAAATAAAATTGCTGTCAGTGTTAAACTAACTGCATTTCCCCAAAAGACATATAATGCAAAGTTGAAAATAGCTCAATTGAGCTTTCCCTAAACAGATATTCTCTAGATACAGCATATAGTTGTAAAGCATCAGAAAACAGCCATTCTTAGGCTACTACAAAACTGTTGTATTAACACAAAATAGGTAGATCTGGTCTGAAGCCGGGGAAATGAGCAGTCAAGAGTATATTGACCAGAAGGGAGCAAGAGGCTTCAGATTTAAATTTTAAGGCTGTTAAACGGCTTATTTATAGGCCTTGCTTTCTGTGTTCTGCAGTAGACAGCTGTTCTGCCTTGCATCTTGTTTGCAATAAATTATACCTCTAAGCCTTGATTGGGATTATGTTCCTGGATGCAGTATTGTGTTTCTAGAGAGAAGAAAATTATAGCTATTTTGGATTTGAAGTTGGGCAGCAAGACCTGCATGCTTTTCATCTCGGGGAAAAAAATGCTTCAACCATGAGAGTAAACACTTTATACAAATATTACTGCAATGCTGTTGGCTGTGGATCAAGTTCTTTGCTCCAGAACCACGTTGCTATCCAGTTGGACCAGATAACGTCAACGAACGACCAATTTTCCAGCAGTTGGGTGGAAACTTCTACAATAAGTGGACCATTGGATGGGTGTACAACTGGTTGAAAAATCATAACCAAACAACTGCTTGTCATTGGGTCCACTGAAGAGAAGTATCAAATAGCATACTGAAAGTTGCAATCTAGACCCGCGGCTGTTCATGTTTTTATAAATGTCTATTAACCATTGAACATGCGGGGCAGGAGGCACACAGAAAGGAAGCTCTTTTTGTGCCTGATTGAATCTATACTCATCGGCAGCAAGACCTGTATGCATGGGCTGGGATAGATTGCCTTCAAGAAACTTCTTTTTGTCTCCATCTTTTTTTCTTAGGAATGGGGAAAACTGTGCCAGAATTTATTTTTATTTTTAGCTCACCTTTATTACTTGAATAATTTGCTCCTTCTGTTGAAAAAAACTTTTTCAGTTTTTCCATAACATCTGGCCAATGGAATATTTGACTATTTGAAATTCCTGTCTCCTTCGTCATGGCTTTTGATGATCTTGTGTTAGAACAGTTTTCAAGGCTCATGTTTCTTCTTATCAAACATGTTGCCCTGCCAAGCTTCTTATCTGGATGAAAAGTTAGTTCCTTTCATCTTTCTCTTTTGCTCCTGGGATAGCTCATTTGATTAATATTCAGCATGTGTTTAAAAAAAAAAACTATAGGTTTTATCGCAACTTCATTTATGATAGAAGTTTTCTTCTGGTATGTTTTTGGAATTTTTGTGTTCTCTTTTGAACAAACAACATATCCTCTGCTGATTGACAAAAGTTACATAGTAAAAGAGAGGAGGCTACTGCCCACTTTAGAGCAATACTTCCATGGGTAGGCATATTACCAATAGAACAATTGGTCTCATCTTTTATGTGAGGCTGAGTTTGCTTATAATTTGTTCATATTTCCATTCCGATGTTGACATTTTAATAGCAATAGCACTTAGATTTATATATCACTTCACAGTGCTTTATAATCCCCTCTAAGAGGTTTACAGAGCCAGCATATTGCCCCAACAATTTGGGTCCTAATTTTACTAACCTCGGAAGGATAGAAGGCTAAGTCAACCTGGAGCTGTTGAGGAGCAAACTGTTGGCAGTCATCAGAATTAGCCTGCAGTACTGGATTCCAACCACTGCATCACCACAGCTCTTCATTTTAAGCTACCTGTAATAGCCACCACCTCTTCTCCTGCATTCCCTTCCATTCCAGACATCTCCCATTTTCTCATGGGAAGCCACCCAGAACACTCAAAAATCAATTGGATCATGTCATGAGTTCCTACAAGTGCTCTGCTGTCTTTGATAGTTTTTGTCACTACTATTTAAAAAAGGGCTATGCAGATATGGGAAGATCATGGGAAGCAGCAGAAGACACATATGCCCATTGTCTCAACTGACAGTAGTATTTGCAGCACCTTAATGGCCAAATCACCTAACTGGACACAAGTTCTGTCTTCAGTGATTCCCAGGAATACTGATTCTTAGAAGAAAGGGAAGTGGATTAGGGTTAGGGATGAAAGTTGCAGAGGAGAGTTTTGGAATGGAGGGAGTACTGACAAATACAAGAGATTAATCTCCACATACACCTATCGTTTCCTATTGTTTGGAGGAAGACACAGTAGAATACCTCAAAATAAATGAATCATCCCTTATTTATGTCAAAGAATTGAATCTCCACCCAGGGGGACAAAAATGTAGAAATGGAAGAGGATAATTTCTTTCATTTCCTCCTGATCAGAGAGTAGGAATAGGAGATCCATGTGGGCTTCCAGTTCCAGTGTGGAAACAAGAGCAAAAATAGATAAGGAGGCCAAACAAAATTATTATATGGATAAAATAAATGTGAAGTCCAGGAAAAGAAAAATCAACAATTCATCGGTCAGGGAAAATAAGAGGACTTAAATCCTGAGGTCTTTATTTTATATGATTTCTATATAATTATTATTTTTTGTATCGGGCAAATCTCCCATACATATGTAACATATTTGCAGCAATAAAACTCTTATCTATCAGTTTTGAGCCTGATCATCTTCTAATTCCTATAAATCAAAGCTTTACTATACCTCGTGCACTCACTATTAAGCTATAATTTTAGCATTGTCTTAAAAAAAATCATTCGCCCCTAGAATCTTTTAAAAGGTAATCAAGACAACATATAAATTACCGTATCTAGGAAAAAAGTTATGATAAAGGGAGGATATCTCTTCAGGAAGAAAATAAATGTTTTTTCCATGTTTGGAAAGATTTTGAGTAAAGTGAATTGTATGTAAAGTTCAGTGTGTTCAGTGTAAAATATGTGTTTGCATGGTGACGGCCAATTTTTTTTTGCATTTGCTATTGTTACGTAAATCAAACTGTTTTCTGTATTTATTATGCAAAGCAGCAAGCAAACCATGAATGTAAATATTAATACTATCAAAGTTAAATGATGGAAACTTTGAGTAGTTCAGGAGTGGGCAATCCTTGAGTTTGAACCCCCACTGTGCTGGTCTCCAAGATCCACAGAAAGTCGACCTAGTGATGTCCCTGAGAGGCATGAAAGATGAAAAAAGCGGATCTTTTGGTGAGAATTTTAAGGATTGGAGATTTTTTAGGATAAAATGATATCTGGATTTCCATAGAATAGAATTTTTATTGGCCAAGTGTGATTGGACACACAAGGAATTTGTCTTGGTGCATATGCTCTCAGTGTACATAAAAGAAAAGATACGTTCATCAAGAATCATAAGGTACAACACTTAATGATAGTCATAGGTTACAAATAAGCAATCAGGAAACAATATCAATATAAATCATAAGGATACCAGCAACAAGGTTACAGTCATAAGTGGGAGGAGATGGGTGATGGAAATGATGCATAAGATTAGGGATAAGATACCAATTTCCACTTTTATCCTGAAAATTTTTGCTGCTCAAAATTGGCCGTATTTTTTGAGTATGTGGTGGCAATTGGGATCTGCGGGCTGCAGATTGCCCACCCCTGCATTTGTTTAATCACATGATTTAATCTCCTGTAGTACTCTGAGTAATATAAACCGTTGTATAAGAGCAATGCTTGTTTATTTTAAATTTATTTAGTATCTCTGTAGTACCAATCTTTTAAAAAATTTCTCCATACTCGCCAGGAGCTTGATCAAAGTCTACCAGAGAGACAGCTTGAAGATCAAAAAAGGGTATGTATCTGCAGCAGCGGACTAAAAATGAATATGATGTGAATTGCAGAAGGGCTTCATTGTTTTTTATATATTTATTTTAATTAAGGAAAATACATATCTAAAAAATGAGAATGTTCTCTCAAAATGTTATGAAAACAAAAGAGGCTTTAATCAGTTTTTAAAGTGTGGATTGTACATTTAGAAGTTGTTATGTAGGTTGTTAAATAATATTCTCTCTTCCTATTTTAAATATGTTACTACTGCTGAATTTTACTTGCAAAAATTATTGATTCCCAATTTGCTTCGTATGATATTGAAAAACAAGTCAATCTACTATGTTCCTAAAATCTGTGGGCTGATGAAGTATTTGGTGATGCACTGTTGCTTTGATTATATAATGTCTTTACCACATTAGATTTCAGGGAATGAATTAAGAAAGAAATACTGTAGTAGAAGCAAAATTCCATTTAACTCTGAATGATTGGAGCCTTGGTAAACCATGTTTCCTTATCTTTTTCTGTCAGTTGAGCATGGCACAGAATTGCTCTGTGAGAAGGATGAGTGATTTGATAATCAATCAATCAATGAATGAAATAATATCTATTGCACAGAGAATTAGAAACAAAAATATATTTACAAACTGAATGGCTGTAATCATCCTGAAGATTTATTGTAGCAGTATAAAGTATACAATTCTTTTACATATAACACTTATTTCAGAAAGGATGAATCATGGAAGATTTTTATTTATTTATTTATTTATTTATTTATTTTATTTCTATACCGCCCTTCTCCCAAAGGACTCAGGGCGGTGTACAGCCTAATTAAAAACACAAAGACAGACAAAATGTAAAAATAATTAAAATTATTAAATAATAGGCCCAATTTGTAAAACCCCAAATTTAAAATCCCATTTAAAACCAATTAAAATCTTTGCATTGATAGCCCAGCCTGGCGGAACAACATGGTTTTGAGGGCACAGCGAAACACACGGAGATCAGAGATTTTACGAATTTCTGGGGACAGATCATTCCAAAGGACAGGGGCTCCCACGGAAAAGGCCCTCCCCCTGGGTGTCACCAGCTGACATAATTTGGCCGATGGCACCCTGAGGAGACCCTCTCTGTGGGAGCGAACTGGCCAGTGGGAGGCTACTGGTGGCAGAAGACGGTCTCGAAGGTATCCAGGTCCAATGCCATGGAGCGCTTTAAAGGTGGTAACCAACACCTTGAATCGCACCCGGAAGACCACTGGGAGCCAGTGCAGCTCGCGCAGGAGGGGTGTCACGTGGGCACAACGAGTTGCACCCATAACCACCCGCGCGGCCGCATTCTGGACCAGTTGGAGCCTCTGGGTGCTTTTCAAGGGGAACCTCATGTAGAGAGCATTGCAGTAGTCCAGTCAGGAGGTGACAAGGGCGTGAGTGACTGTGTGCAAGGCATCGCGGTCCAGAAAGGGCTGCAACTGGCGGATCAGGCGAACCTGATAAAAAGCCCCCCTGGCCACGGCCGTCATATGTTCTTCTAAAGACAGCCGTGCGTGCAGGAGGACGCCCAGGTTGCAGGCCCTCTCTGTGGGGGTAAAGACTCACCCCCAATAGTCAGCGATGGCACCAGCTGACTATATTGTGACGCCGGGAACCATAGCCACTCGGTCTTGGAGGGGTTGAGTCTGAGCCTATTTGTCCCCATCCAGACCCGCACGGCCTCCAGGCAGCGAGAGGGCATCGTTTATCCTTTTGCACTAGTAATAGCTTTCTTTTACAAATACTGCAATTCTCTGGATAATTACTCTTTATTGGGAGTAACACAGACATCTACATCTAATTATCACTAGTGCTTTCTTTTTTTCTGTGAAGATGACAATTATCTTCAATGTATATCTAAAATATATGTAGTGATATCATTGTTGCTCTGGTAACAAATACTAAAGTTTTCTTTGAAGCAGAAAGATGACATAGTTGAAGTGCAATTAATTTGCTTGATTTTATTGTTTTCAAATTATACAAATGAAACAATTGATCTCAGTAGATAGATTGATAGGTAGATAGATTATTTATTTTGTTTTATGTAACCCAAACTGTATGCAACCATCATTAGTTGAATTCAGCTTTTATCAGGCCTGAAAATTATTATTGTTCAGCTTGATACATGTAATTATATTCTGTTCTTACATTAATACTGTTTACAGCAGATATTAGTATTGCTTAATTTGGGATATGTATATATGCTAAGAATTATAGGAGTGAAAGTTCGGTATATCTGAAAGCATGATACTGAAAAGTTTGCTTTAATGAAGCATATTTAAATGTCACTATAACATAGTTCATGAAAAACTGTTACTAGAGCATTGTCTCTTGGTCAAACACAGCTCAAGTAACTGAGCTGAAATTCTTTCTACCTGATAAAACCGACTCAAATATTTTTCAACTTTTTTTTTTAAAAGGGCAAATATGTGAAGTGCAGGCGAACCAAATTCAATCTGAGTGACACTCCTTTCTCATTGGAGTCAGTAGAGTGTGTGAATAAGATCTCTTACTGAAGACAAAATTCATATTACCTTGTTAGTGTTTGAGGAAATGCTTCCTATAATCCTTGATATAGTTATCTTTAGTTACGGTAAAACCAGTACAGACTCTGAGACATCTATTATCTGTTCCTGTAAAACAGGAGATATACATAAAAATGAAAAATACAAAAGTGATTTTTATTTGCAGAAGATTATTAATATTCTTTTCCCTGCTCTCTTAAGAAACTATGTACATAGGCGACTTTTAAACAGTATACCTTAATATCTTAAATATTCAAAGCACATGGAAATAATTACTTCATGTGGATACAAAAGTTATTTCCAGGCTGTTGTTGTTGTTGTTGTTGTTGTTGTTGTTGTTGTTATTGTTATTATTATTATTATTATTATTATTTATTGAATTTGTATACCGCCCTACTCCCGAAGGACTCAGAGCGGTGAACAGCCAAAAGATAAAATATATATAATACAAATGTTAAAAAAAAACGTTAAAATACAATTAAATAAATTGGCCCAGAGAACAAAATTTAAAACACCCCAAATTTATAAGACAAATATAAAATTTAAAAAATTTAAAAACAGTTTAAAAGAGAGGTTAGACCAGGCCGGCCTGCTGGAATAGGAATGTTTTGAGGGCATGGTGGAAAGTGCGCAGATCCAGGATCCTCCGTATCTCCGGGGGGAGTTTGTTCCAGATGACGGGTGCCCCACAGAGAAGTCTCTCCCCCTGGGGGCCGCCAGTCGACACTGTTTGACCAACGGCACCCTAAGAAGCCCCTCTCTATGGGAGCGTACTGGTCGGTGAGAGGTACTGGTGGCAGAAGGCGGTCTTGTAGATACTCCGGTCCTAGGCCATGGAGCGCTCTAAAGGTGGTAACCAAAACCTTGAAGCGCACCCAGAAGACCACTGGGAGCCAGTGCAGCTCGCGCAGGAGGGGGGTCACATGGGAGCGCCACGTCGCTCCCATAACCACCCGCGCGGCTGCATTCTGGACCAGCTGGAGCCTCCGGATGCTCCTCAAGGGGAGACCCATGTAGAGAGCATTGCAGTAGTCCAGGCAGGAAGTGACGAGGGCATGAGTGACCGTATTTAATGAGTCCCAATCCAGAAATGGCGAATCAGGCGAACCTGATAAAATGCCCTCCTGTCCACAGCCATCAAGTGCTCTTCTAAAGACAGCTGTGAGTCCAGGAAGACACCCAATTTGCGAGCCCACTCCGTGGGGGCCAACGACTCGCCCCCAATAGTCAGTGATGGCACCAACTGACTATATCGGGATGTCGGAAACCACAGCCACTCGGTCTTGGATGGGTTGAGCCTTAGTCTGTTTCTCCCCATCCAGATCCGTACAGCCTCCAGGCACCGGGACATCACTTCAAGGGCATCACTGGGGTGGTCCGGGGTGGAGATGTACAGATGAGTGTCATCAGCGTACTGGTGGTACTTCACCCTGAAACCACAGATATCTCACCCAGCAGCTTCACATAAATGTTGAACAGAAGGGGTGAGATGACCGACCCCTGTGGCACCCCACATACAAGGGGCTTCAGGGTCAACCTCTGCCCCCTGCCAACACAGACTGCGACCGGTTGGAGAGAAAGGAGGAGAACCACCGCAAGACGGTGCCCCCCACCCCCAACTCTTCTAGCCGGTGCAGAATGATACCATGGTCGATGGTATCAAAAGCTGCTGAGAGGTCTAATAGGACCAGGACAGAGGAGCAACCCCTGTCCCGAGCCCTCCAGAGATCATCAACCAATGCGACCAGTGCCATTTCCGTGCTGTACCCAGGCCTGAAGCCCGACTAGAACTGATCCAGATAAGCCGATTCATCCAGGTACTGAGGGAGCTGTCATGCTACCACACTCTCAACAACCTTCGCAACAAAGCAAAGGTTGGAGACTGGACGGTAATTAGGCAACACTGCCGGGTCCAGCGAAGGCTTCTTGAGGAGAGGTCTCACCACCGCCTCTTTCAAGGAAGACACCCTCACTCAAAGAAGCATTTATAATCCCCTGGAGCCAGCCTCAGTAACCTCCCGAGAGGTCAGCACCAACCAGGAGGGACACGGGTCGAATAAACATGTGGCAGCATTCAGTCTACTCAGTATCCTGTCCACGTCTTCGGGAGTCACAGAATCAAACTCTTCCCAGATAATATTCTCAAGACCTGCCTCCATCCTCCCCCTAAATCTACCCCATCAGAGTCCAGATGTTCCCGAATCTGAACGATTTTATCATACAGATACTGTACAAAATCCTCGGCTCCACCCTCCAAGGGGTCCTCCCGCACTTCCTGAAGGAGCAGGGAGTGGGTCACCCTAAACAGGGCGGCCGGGCAATTATCTGATGACGCAATAAGAGCGGAAAAATAGTTATATTTTGCCGCTTTTATTGCCACTAGGTAAGTCTTAATATGAGACCTTACCAGTGTTCAGTCAGATTCAGACCGCTCTGGCCCTCCAACCGCTCTCCAGGCGTCTTTTCCGGTGCTTCATCTCCCTCAGCTCCTCGGTAAAACAAAGAGCCAAGCGAGATCGGCGCCGAGTCAGAGGCCGCAAAGGCACGACCCGATCCAAAGCTCCAGCAGCCACCCTATCCCAGGCGGCCACCAGGTCTTCGGTTGAGCTGGGAGCCAGAGCCTCAGGAAAGGCCCAAGTTCCGTCTGGAACCGATCCGGGTCCATCAGGCGCCTGGGGCGGAACCACCTCATCGGTTCCACCTCCCTGCAGTGGGGTGTAGTGGTTCGAAGGTCAAAACAAAGGAGAGAATGATCCGACCACAACAAGGGTTCAGTCACTATATCCCCAATATCGAGATCATTCAGCCACTGACCAGAGACAAAAACCAAGTCCAGAGTGTTTCCCCCCGTGCGAGTAGGGCCGTGCACTAACTGGGTCAGGTCCATAGCCATCATGGAAGCCATGAACTCCTGCACTGCCTCAGACATAAGCCTCGGGTTATCAACCGCCACCCCGGCTATAACGTTGAGCAGTTCGGGTAGGGCTGCTGCCACGTGGTAGGGAGCCAGGTATGTGATCAGCAAGCCCATGACCCCACTTCACCAGGAGAGACTCACATCCGGCAATTTGAGGAACAGTGGCCTCCCTCGGACCAAGACCTTCTTTTATAACAACTGCCACCACGTCGCCTCTACCCTCATGAAATGCACGGAAACCAGGAGGGCACATTTCAACGAGGGGGACCCCCCTCTTGGCCCAACCAGGTCTCCATAATTCCTGCCAGATCCGCTCCCCCTCCTGAACAAGATCACAAATGAGGGGGGCTTTATTTACTACGGATCTGGCATTGCATAACATCAGCCAAAGGTCCGGGCCCTGAGAATCTGAACTACCTGGGGAACGAGAGGAGCCTTGGGGGCCGGAGCACGCCACCGCTTGAAGACAGCGGGCGCGCACTCCCACAACCAGGTTTGGCCCCCAGCTCCCGCCATATCTGCCCCTCCCACTCACAGTACTAATGTACTGGCCCTCATCGTTACAAACTCTAACCCCCTCATCGACCCGGAGCCCTGCGCCTCCCGTGCCATGCCCCCCAGCCGGGCCTGGTCCCACCCTCAGTGGGTTATCCCCCAAACCCACCACCCTAGTTCCAATCCAACCCTCCCCCCCCCAGAACCCCTTAAAAATTTAATTAAAAATTTGGATAGAAAACTCCTCAGCCACCTTTTTGCTGCATGCCACCTCTTGGGGTTCCAAAACCCGTCATCAAGGTAGGCCCTCGATAGTGTGGAGGGCCAGACCTGTGAGAGGGGGGAATCTCGCAACACCAAAAGTTCGGCCGCTGAATACATCCAAAAACAGCCTGGGATAAAGATGATATATAGCCGGGGATTCAATCATGATAGTTAAGTAAAATGGTCCCGGAGAGAAAATACAGAGCCTTTGGGTATGGGTCATCAGGAATCCACTGCCCTTTCATGGCAGTGAAATGGAGTCTCAAGCCGTTCAAAAGAAACCGGAGGATAAAAAACTCCAAAACCACCCTTTCACGGTGGCTGGCATTAAAAAGATGGACTATCACCTCCTAATAGTTTACTGCTAATATTATTTATTTTATTATTGAGAGTATCTATTTTCCACTTCTTAAAGATACTGAACATCTTGGGAGATAGTGAAAGTGATATATAAGGAAATATAGATCCAGTGCTTGGACAAAGCCTGCCAAATTTGGGGATATAATAAATAGTGTGTTTAACTCCTCAAGAAATTTGGATGAGGCTGATTCATTTCCAAGGATATGTTGTGCAACAAAGGAATGCTCAAGAGGCTTGCTCATACTGAATTTTCTATGCATTTGAGTTTTGTATAACTCTTAAATTAAAAAAGAAAAGAAACCTTTTGCAAGTTATCTCATGCTAACTTGAAATTAGATGAAATTACACTTCAGGAATATTTAGACAGTGTTAAAGATGTTTCAATCTCATAAAAGAGTGGCCAATATTCACCGCTTGCAAAATTGATATATTGGGACTTCTAACTATTCTAATCTGTTCCCCTTTTCACAACAACTGTTCACGAGAGCAGTGCTGAACGTGCCAGGAGTGGATGTGTCAAGAATAGTGGTTCATCTGATAAGGGTGATGGAGCATAAAATGAGACAAAATACAAATGGACTCTGATTCTATCCTGCAGGTTTATTGCTGACAGGGGAGAATAGCTCTTCCTCTCTTTTTTTTTCAGAAGTCAATAATAAGACAGGGGAAAAAAACCCTGAAACAATATTTATTATTAGATTTACAGTGTTAACTTTACCTGCTTGGACTTCCTTCCAATATCACTTCTCCAAGTTGAGATATTTGGATGGGCTTCTCTTTATGGCAATCATCTCTGCAGTATTCTGTAAAACAAGAAAACTTGTTTGCCCTCATACGCAGCTGCTGAAAACTAAAGGAGAAATACAAGTGTACACTACCAACTTTAATTGCTTAGTCTTATATTTGTAGACAGTTCTAATATTAATGGTTATCATTATGCTTATAAAGGTAGGAAAGAAGGATATTAGGAAAGGGGCAGTGGTATCCATTTCCTATCATGTGACATTTCTGTTGAAATATTTGCATTTCATGATCCTCCTTTTCGAAATTTAAGAAATTGTTAGTCAGAGTGTGTATCTTAGGTTGTAATTATCTGAATTTAAAAGTTAATATAACTGAATTAGGAAATTCTAAAGTATAGGACACCCATTCAGCTTACTTCACTGATAGAGACAATAGATGCACATATATATATTTTTTGTGATAAGAAATATCTTTCTGGAAGTCTAAGAAGGAAAAATTTGCATAATATATACTTTCAATAATTGGGATCAGTCACAGAACTATACTATAATTACTTTCCTAAATATTTAAGGACAGTGTCCTATATGCAATTTTCACTGCTTTTTCCATGTTTCATTCATATTAGAATATGCTATTTTTTTTTAGTGTAAAGCTATTTATTAGTAGCAATTATAAATGTATCTGAAGATCTAGACATAACATAAATGGGTATAAGTACACCCATTTCTGTTGTTGTTTATATACATTCATAGCTCTTCTTCCCAGTTTTATTTCTGTTGTGTCTCTGCCAGCTGAAATCGTTTTACTATTTTTGTTGACTTTGGCTCACTTGTTCCATTCATTGTGTGTTTCTGTCTTTCAATATCTTTGAATCAAGGGGGAGGCCCTGAGACAGGTTTTGGTAAATCGTTACTACGGGAACATCAGAAGTGGAGGAAGACGAGAGAGCCTCACCAGCTTTGGCAATGGACCTTTATCTCCTGCAGGGCCCAACAAACCTGGAGGAGCAGGTAGGATGTTTTGAATGCTGCTTGTGAGACTGCCATGTTGGCTCTTCTGTCTCCTAACTGCTAGATAAATCTGGCTGACAGTCTCTGCAGCTGTTTCAGCAGGTATTTTTCATTCTGTATTACCTCTCTGTCACTCAGAAAGTTGGCTCTTGAATTAAAGTATTGGAAATTGGTCTGTTCGTTAACTTCCTCCCATCCTCCCTGTCAGCACTTCAAACTGCATTTACTCTAGTGCTGACATAAGAAGGAGAAGCGGAGGCATCTGGAAAGGGACGTTTGACTTTTCACTTACTTATTTTCCCTGGAGATAATATCCCCTAGAAGATGGGATGGGAGGAGGGAAATTCCTTTGAGCTGGAGCAGTAGATTAGGGGTAGAGTGACTTGGAAGATGGCCAATGAGTGCAGAGGAGTGGGGAAAGAAAAGGGAGGGTTTTGGGTCAGGAAGTCAGTGTTGGCTGCGATGGAGTCGGAGTTAGAATGTCGTGCTTAATAAATGGGAGTTTTTCATCAAAGACTTTGTTTGAAATGCAATTTATTTGAGACGACCTCGAAACCTGACACTCCCTTTTTTTCTAATTTATTATGCATGCATTTTTACTAGTGTGAAACTTATTGATATTCATAATTTTCTCGGTACAGTCTCTTTATTAAAATCAGTAACTGGTTTTATTTATTCTTTATTTCTTTGTTTATATATATATATATCACATTTTTCAAACACCCATCTCTCACAGGGGAATTATTTATTAAATATTAGCATTTATTAAAGAGATAGACACAGCAAAAACCAAGTAGCCCATTTGTGTAGTGGGTAATGTGCTTGGCTAGAAACCAAGAGGCTGTGAGTTATAGTCCTCCCTTAGCATGGAAACTAGGTGGATGATTTTGGGCCAATCCTGCCCTCAAATCATGCACCACAAAGAGTTATTCTTGTGGGGAAAACAGCTGGTATATATGCATATATACATATATACACACACACACACACACACACACACACACACACACATACATACATACACACACACACCATCAGGTTTTGACCATTAATTGAGAAGATTTTTGTGCATAGGCTTTAGCAATAAATCAGTTTAATTGAATCTTCATGTGTGGATCTTAGCTTTCATGCCTACATGCATTTATGACAACAATTGTGGTATTACTGGTTGCCATTGTTAAGTAAATCCTGCAAAGTTGTCAGGTGCATGTTGTCATATGATTGTCATCCTGTCTCCTTCCCTATCGACTTTGCATGTTGGAAGCTGGAAGTGAATGACGTAAATGGCAATCACACAACTGTGGAGTACAATGACATTTGTAATTGTGAGCTGGTTGCTAAGCACCAAAATCATGATTACATAATGGCAGGCAATTCCGAGGACTGATCATAACAGCAGTAGCACTTAGGCTTATATACCGCTTCATAGTGCTTTACAGCCCTGTCTAAGTAGTTTACAGAGTCAGCATATTGCCCCCAACAATCTGGGTTCTCATTTTACCAACTTTGGAAGGATGGAAGACTAAGTCAACCTTGAGCTGATCAGGATTGAACTCCTGGTTGTGTTTGCCTGCAAGACTGCATTCTAGTCACTACACCACCATGGCTCATAAGCTAGTGGTGAAATGTAAAATTAGTTACTACCGGTTCTGTGGGCGTGGCTTTGTGGGGGGTAATGTGATTGGGTGGGTATGGCCAACTTTTTTTAAAAAAAACTTTTAAAAGCATTTTTTCTACAACCTCTTCAAAGAGTTGTGAAAAAATGGCTTTTAAAAGGCTCTGACGATCCCAGCTGAGTTGCCTGATTGTCAGAGGCTTTTTTTTTTACTTTTAAAAGCATTTTTTTCGGCCGAAGAGGTTGTAGAAAAAATGCTTTTAAAAGTAAAAAAAAAAGCCTCTGATGATTGCGCGGCTCAGCTGGGCATGGGGGGGCGCAGGGATTTTTGCTACCGGTTCTCCGAACCACCCGCCACCATCGCTACCGGATCAGGCGATCCGGTCCGAACCGGGAGCATTTCACCTCTGCTCATAAGCCTTCAAGTCCATCATAGCTTAGAACAGTCACTGAACATGTGATCATTAAAGGAGGACTATATGTAATGTCAGACTATCTGACCTAAGGAAAAATGTGGGACTGCTTAAAGAGATTATAACTTTCAATATTTGCATGCAAAAATTGTCCAGTGATATCTCTGTATTAAAGAATGAAACAAGAGGTGATAAACTTGGAGAGACCACATGGGTACAAATAATAATCTTTGTAAATCCTAAATTCTGAATAATATGTATTCTAACAGGCCCAAATGACATTTATTTTTATTGTCTTAACCAACGTAACCAACAGGATCGAAAGGAGAATGGGAATTAAATGAATAATTATATTCATTTAATTAATTGATTAATTGATTATACTAGTTTGCACCAGTAGTGAAATTCAATTTTTTTTACTACCAGTTCTTTGGGCCCACAGGTATGGGCTTGGTGGGCATGGTGTGACTTGGTGGGTGTGGCAGGGGAAGGATACTGCAAAATCTCCATTCCCTCCCCACTCCTGCGGGAAGGATATTGCAAATGTCCATTCCCACCCCACTCTGGGGCCAGCCAGAGGTGGTGTTTGCCGGTTCTCCAAACTACCCAAAATTTCCGCTACCAGTTCTCCAGAACCTGTCAGAACCTGCTGAATTTTACCCCTGGTTTGCACCTAATAATAGAAATTTTCTGGGTGATTTATAATCAGTCTGTAATAGGTCTGAACTAGCCTTTTTAGAAAAGTTTTGTAGACTCTCTTTTTCAAATGGTTTGAATTACATTGGTTAAATTTATTCCTGGTTTAGTAATTTATTATTATTATTTATTTTTTTAAAATTTGATTTATATGCCGCCCTTCTCCGGAGACTCAGGACGGCTTACAATGTGTTAAGCAATAGCCTTCATACTTTTGTATATTTATACAAAGTCAGCTTATTGCCCCCACAAACTGGGTCCTCAATTTACCTACCTTAGAAAGGATGGAAGGCTGAGTCGACCTTGAGCCTGGTGAGAATTGAACTCACAGTAATTGCAGGCAGCTGGATGTTAAATGCTGCCTTAGGAGGCATTAGCCTCCTACGCCACTCAGGCTCCTTATTATTGTTTTATGATAGTTATGAAACCATTCTAACATTGTTTCTATTTATAATGCTATCACATTTGAGCTCCTTGAGGTTGGAGAGAATATTAAAAAAATAAACAACGTTTCTAATAACACCATCACTTGCTAACACCATAAAGAGCAAAGCATGATAGTGCAAAGCAGATAATAAACGAGGACACATTCATAGTTAAAACTTTCTTTGCTTGCTTTAATTGTTTGAAGGAAAGCAACACCTTTTCTAATGCTGAGAAACCCCAAAGGCTTCATTTTTGTTTGTTTCTTTTTGTAGGAGGTGGGTCGGGATCCAGCTCAACAAACCGTGGTGAAATGAGTTTGACAGAAGTCCAGTGTCACTTGGATAAGGAAGGAGCGTCCAATCTAGTTATAGACCTCATCATGAATGCCACTAGTGATAGAGTTTTCCATGAAAGCATCCTGTTGGCTATTGCCCTACTGGAAGGTGGCAACACAATTATACAGGTAGGAAAAGTATTCCCATGCTTCTGTTTCTGAATCTTTACAGAAAAAAAAAAAAAAACACCCAAGAAGCAGGAAACTGCTAGTTAGAGATCTGTTAGTATACAATATTTGGAATTGTGTATGAATTCTCAGAAATGGCTGCCATGGGAGTATCAATAGTCAAAAAATATTTTTATTCAGAGGCAGATGGGTGCAGTATCCTGTTTCCAGTATCTCAAATCACCATAGATTATTTTTTTAAAAGACAAAAACAAAGAGCTCTATTAACAATAGCACTTAGACTTATATACCACTTCATTGTGCTTTTACAGCCTTCTCTAAGTGGTTTACAGAGTCAGCATATTGCCCCCAATGATCTGGGTCCTCATTTTATCCACTTCAGAAGGATGGAAAGCTGAGTCAACCTTGAGCCGCTGAGATTTGAACTGCTGAACTGCAGCTAGCAGTCAGCTGAAGTAGCCTGCGGTACTGCACTCTAATCACTGTGCCACCTTGGCTCTCTATTGCAGCCATACCTCATTTTTTTTGTCCCTTTAAGTCAGTTTTTACTCCTGGTGACTGCCTGCACTAGTCCCTGAGATTTTGGCAAGATTTTGCAAGTGGTTTGTTGTTGCTTACTTCTTACAGTTTGAGAGAGAGGGATAGATCCAAGGTCACTCAGCTGACTTATACCAAATGTGGGACTAGAAATCACAGTCTCCTGGTTTCTCGGCAGTTCGAGTCTCACTGGCTCAAGGTTGACTCAGCCTTCTGATGTCAGTAAAATGAGGACCCAGATTGTTGAGGTCAATATGCTGACACTTAGAGAAGGCTGTAAAGCACTGTGAAATGGTATATAAGTCTAAGTGCTATTGCTATTCTAGCCTGGTGCCTTAATCACTATATCAAACTGGCTCTCTGTTAGAAAATAGCATTTTTAAATACTATTCATTCATTTATGGTACCCATGTCACAAACGCTACTAATAATACATACAATATGTTAAAACACTAAAAAATAATATTAGCAAAGAATTAAAAGCAACAATGATCACTCAGAATGAATCCAGCTAAACAATAGATGGAAAGTTTTCAATGGGCCAATTCGCCTATCAATCCCCTGGCCCAGGAACATATCCAGGTCTTCATCAGTTTACAAAAGGCTAGCAGGGACAATCTATCTCACGTGATATGATGCTGCAGAGTGCAGATACTGCAACCAAATACCATGTTTCCAAGGATGCATAAGATGTCATTCTTTAACTGAAGGACCCATTGCATGCCCCTCCTGTCAAACATACTGGGATAATAGGTAGAAACAATCATGGAGAAGCAGCCCTGCAAATATCTGAACTCCATGCCATGGAGGGCTTTATGGGTGACCACTAGTACCTTGAATTCCACCCGAAAGCATACTAATGCAGCTCACAGAGGAGTGGTGTAAAATGGGCCTACCAAGGTGTGCTCATAACTGCTCATACACTGTATTCTGGAATAGCTGCAACTTTTGGATAGTCTTCAAGGGCAGCCCTACATAGAGCCCATTGCAGTAAACCATTGTGCAGGTGTCTAAGCCAAGTGTAACATGAGCAGTGCTGCAAGTATTATATTTTCTGTAAAAGCCCTTTTGGCCATGGCTGCCACCTGCTCTTTAAACAGAAATCTTCACTTCAGAAAGACCTCCAAATTGCATACCAATTTTTTTCCAGGGATAGTGCAACTCCATCTAGAACCAAAGAGCAAAAAAACCTGAAGCCACAATCCCCAAAACTCAGTTGAGCTAATCTGGTTGTTTCCCATCCAGACTCCTATATTCTCCAGTCACTGAGGCAGAACCTGCATAAACATCATTTGTTTGATCCAGGACACAGATATATCATCAGCATAAGGATAACAGTTTCACCCCATGTCATCAGATTCCCATATTTAAGCCTGAATCCTTTAACTGGGCTATATTTTAAATGAATAGCAATAGCACTTAGACTTATATACCACTGCACAGTGCTTTACAGCACTCTCTTGGTTAACAAAGTTAGCATATTGCCCCCAACAATCTAGGTCCTCGTTTTATTGAACTCGAAAGGATGAAAGGTTGAGTCAACCTTGAGCCTTGTCAGGATCAACCTCCAATCTGTGAGCAGAGTTTGCTTGGAATACTGCATTCTAACTAATGGCCCACTAGGATGTAATTCTTGTTACATATTGTAACAAGTTGTCCAATATTTAATTTAAAGAGGGAAACATGAAAAGATAAACAGGTAAGAACAGAACCACCTAGGACTGGAATCAAAGAGACTTCGAACAGAAAAGGAGGACATCATATCAAAGCCAAAAGGAGACATGATAGCAGTCTTTCAATATTTGAAGGGCTGTCACAGATAAGAGGGGATCAAGCTATTTTCCAAGGTACCTGAAGGTCAGACAAGGAATAATGGATGGAAACTGATCAAGGAGAGATTCAACCTAGAAATAAAGAGAAATTTTCTGACAGTGAGAGCAATCAACCAATGGAACAGAGGTTGCCTTCAGAAGTTGTGGGGGCTTCATCACTGGAAGCTTTCAAGAAGAGACTGGACTGCCATCTGTCAGAAATGGTGTAGGGTCTCCTGTTTGGGGGGGGTGTTGGACTAGATGACCTACAAGGTCCCCTCCAGTTCTATTAATCTGTTAAAAAAATAATGGAATAGTGGAGTTATAGCAGCAAGATAAGGCTTAACTGGAACTTGAGATAATAAAATGTAAGAGAAAGAAGTTTGATAGGCAGGAGTGTTATTTAAGCAACCTTCAATTCTTTTCTGTTCCAAAACATTAAAGACAAATCTATTTTCTTTCTTCCCCTCATCTCTATATATAGAAGACCAACTACATTGCTTATTCTTCCCCAGCCCCTGGCCCATACCTAAGTAGAAGAGTCTTAAAAACTGTTTTTCAACCTGATAAAAGCACAGTTATTCCAAGTTGCACAGTGTACTGGTCACCTGTTCTGAAGCTTCATCCATTCCTGTAATACTGTAGCTAGAAGAGGTGGTTAAGCAATAGCATTTGGGTAATGAGCAGCATGCAGACTAAGTTCAGGGAGCGGGTATGACTCTCCTTAGACAGAAGCTCAGAATAAGCAAAAACCCTCAGCTAACTTTCAAGTACCAAACTTAACTAGCTAACTTTCCTGTTGATGGGTAGTCAAGTCATCCTATGTGACTGTGGAGGAGAAATGGCTGAACAAAATACCAAGGGTGTAAAACAGTGGTGGGTTGCTCCTGGTTCTGTCCGGTTCTATAGAACCGGTAGTAAAACCGGCAGGAGGCTCCGCCTACCTGCCCCTTGATGTCATCAAGGGTGATCTGCGCATGCTCTCCTGTTGCGAACCAGTAGTAAAGGTAAGTAGAACCTACCCCTGGTGTAAAAGGGGAGAAAGAGAATTGATAGCAACCCTGTTCAGTTTAGCTTTAGTTGTTTTTAATTTTTGATGTATTTGCTACAAATGGAAATCATAGTCCAGTCTTCTGCTCTATAGGTATAAACAAAATGCAATTATCCAAGCTAATTAAAACGGCTTCCTAAGATGAGATTTTCCCAGGTAATTAACGTACAAATTTTAGAGCATATCAGAAAATCAGGACAGAACAGCACAGAGCTTGCTTCTTTTGAATGTAACTTTCTTTCAGCATGTAAATCAGCTACAGGTGGATTCAGGTTAATCCCTATAAGGATTAGTCCTTGATAAGCAGGAAGAGGCAGGCTTTTTTAAAACAAGGTCATGTTACTTTTTTTTTTTAACACAGGAACCAACAAGGATGTTATATAACTTCTATTTATATTCAACTGGCTAGTAGCTGCAGGCACACAAGACAAGCGAAGGGAGGAATTTAATGAGCTCTGAGGGTTTGCTCACCTTCTCAAGCTGGTAGAGACAGCTTGAGATCTTTTGGTCGACTTTTTTTTTTTTATGCGTCAGCAAATGAAGCTAGTGGGTGGTGTGGGTAGGTGTACTAACTGGTTGCCATGGTTTTCTTCAGTTCCCTTTTCTCTGCTGTCTCTTCCCAAAAAAAAAGAAAGAAAGAAAGAAAGAAAATATTTTAAAGGATTGCTGACTTCCAGGAGCCAGTAAAATGTCCTTGTTCTCACACCCACATACGCATCCTTCATTCAGGAAGGAAGTAGGATGTGTCTCTCTCTCTCTCCTGTACCGATAATGTGTGGTTTAAAGGCTCACTATACTTCTGTGGGTGGGTGTTTGCTGCAGCTGTGTTAAATGTGTGAAGAAAGTGGTATTTTTTAAAAATATATTGAAATCGTAGTCCCACGACTCCCACAGACCCAGAATCATCTGCTTGTTCTGCTACATTTTTAATCAGTGCAAGGAAAAAAAAAGAGCAGAACTTGTGATACTACCTGTAATTTTTGCACATTAACCCACCCTTAGCTCACTTGAAATCTTCTTCCCTTTTCTGTTGCTTTCTATGCTCGCCCTGGATGTTTGTCCCTAATATAAAGCTGGTGGCCAATTAGCATTTTGGGTTGCAGAGGCTCATCTCATGCAAGACTTTTTCAGAAATCAAGTGGTAGCCATGGCCCATTTGACAGTGTAGCTTGCTCCCAGTGGAAGAAATCTAGTAACTTTGGCCTCAGTTCTGAGGATTGATTTGTCACAGCATAACTAATACTGGACCGTATTAGTTATGGATAATCTACTGGTGCTTCTGGTTATTTTAAAATCAGAATGTAGTTCCTTGTCATAAGTCTTAAGGAACAAAAGAGAGATCCCTTACCAGACGTCTTGCTAGCTGTAAAAGCTTGCCCTAATCCAAGAGTGTCAAACTTGATTTCACTGAGGGCCGCATCAGGGTTGTGTTTGACCTTGGGGGTGGGCGTGGCCAGGGTGGGCATGGCCAGCTTGATGTCACTCGTGTCAGGGGCGTCTGTGGTGGCCCAAGCACCTTGCCAGCAAAAACGAGTTCCCGAGCTCTGTTTTTAGCTGCTATGGCCTTCTGCCAGTGAAAACAGAGCTTGGCGGCCCCACAC